TAAATAAATAAATAAATAAATAAATAAATAAATAAATAAATAAATAAATAAATAAATAAATAAATAAATAAATAAATAAATATGTTTAAAAAGGCGGGAGGAGAAGATGATCCACTCCTCTGGAGAACTGGAGCCGAGCCAGTCCTTGGAAAGGGGCTCAAGCTGGCTGAGGGTTCCCGGGTCTTTATCCTATAAACAAAATTGCTGTGCTTGCTGGCGGTAGATTTCTCTCTCCCGCCTTGCCTCTTTCACTGAGCTGAAAGAGGAGTACATTTCCTCTCTTTCTTCCCACGGCGGGAGGAGAAGATGATCCACTCCTCTGGAGAACTGGAGCCGAGCCAGTCCTTGGAAAGGGGCTCAAGCTGGCTGAGGGTTCCCGGGTCTTTATCCTATAAACAAAATTGCTGTGCTTGCTGGCGGTAGATTTCTCTCTCCCGCCTTGCCTCTTTCACTGAGCTGAAAGAGGAGTACATTTCCTCTCTTTCTTCCCACCTTATCCTCACAACAACCCTGTGAGGTTTGGCTGGCCCAAGGTCACCAGGCGGCCTTCATGGATATTGGAAGCACCCTGATCCCTGGACCCCATTGGCACAATGGCTTGCATACACAAAAACTTCATTTCCTTGGAGATGCCTGTTCCCACACACATACACACACAGAGAGAGTTTTCTATGCCTGTGTCTCCTTCCCCAGGCCTGTCATTGTGCGATGCTGACTCTCTCTCGACATGTACACAGTGCAGGTAAATAAGCACAGGGCACTTCTGCCTATCCCAGCACCCCTTCCCTGTCCTCCGCTTCCCATCTTTTGGTGCCTCCCTATTGGCATTGCATTTCAGTTCAAGGCCAATGCAGGATACCTTAGTCAAGGTTTTGTCTGCACCCACCCCAGGTGATTCTGCTTGGGGCAGATATGAGGTGGTTGATTCACAGGAGTCTCCCTCTTTCTCTCCTCCCCCACCTTGAACTATTATTGCTTAACTAAAAAGAAGTGGGTCTTTCTGTCCAAACCAAAAAATGCTTACTAACCCTTAGGTAGTAATTTTCTAGGCATTGTTTAGCTTGCTGTATCAGTACCTTCATGTATGTATTTCAGATCATTTTGAAGTGTTGCTGTAATCTATCTGTTCAGCAAAAGCAGATATCCAGCTTTAACCACAAATTTCCTGGGATACACCCAGCCCAGCCTGTGCTGTGGAAATAGGCTTAACCTGGGTGAAGGATCTCCTTTCATACTGGGGTGAGGATGGAGGACTGGGAAAGAAAGCTAAAAGACGCCCATGTCCATGCAGGACAAAGCAACTATAGTAATGGCATCAGGAAATAATCCAGCTCTTTGCTTTCATTTACTTCTGGCTTTTAGCCAACAAATTAGTCCTCCTTCAAAACGGTGCAGCTTGAATCTAGCTGGTGGGGTCTTGGACATGGACAGAACTGAGAGCAATGCCTTGTTTTCAGTTTTGTGGGTGTTCTGAAAAATGCTTGAATTGGAAAATTTGTCAGATTAAAATCTGATTTAGCATTTTGCTTTATTTATATTTAGAAAGCAACACTTTTCAAAAGCAATGTTAGTGGTTCTCTCTCTCTCTCTCTCTCTCTCTGTGTGTGTGTGTAAAATTTAGTATCTCAAAGTTTTTCCAGTACTAAACACATGTTAAACTGAAATATGTGATTACAAAAAAATATAATAAATTGCATAGAGATATTTACTAAGCCTTGTGCATGAATGATACCTTAAAGTTGGTGCTAGAAGCTAGGATTTGTAAATATTTTCTAGACCTCAAAGGGGCAGTATAACTGGATGACCATCTAGTGCTTCTGTATGAATGTTATTTGTTCTACAATGGCATATAGCTAGTGTTTATTATTTCAGGTGATATAACTCAGATTTCATAATCAGGGAGATTTCCCAAGTTTTCAATAACTTTGTTTGTATGAGTTGCATTTGAAAAAAGAATATTTGCAGAATCCATTACAAAATGATGGCAAGCTGAAAGTTATTTTAGGCAGGAATACAAAATCTGCACAAAATGTTATGAAACCCATTGCTTTAGAATTGTAACTTTCAGCTTTATGGAAATTGCCCATTTGTGTTCAACAGCATTCAGTGGTGCTTTTGAAATGAAATAAGTGCATCATTTTGTAATAAAAAAAATGTCCTGATTCTGGTGAACTGCTAAATAACTTATCACTGGAATAACAGATGGATAAAGACCCCTAATTGTGGTTCAGAGTTTCAGAGGGAGATCTTTCCATGGAATTGTTCAATTGAGATTTACCAAGCTGTTAAATTGTATCACTGTGGACTGAGCCAAGGTAACAATTTGTGTCCAGCTGTAGGTGTTAACCAGCTTAGCAGTGCTAAGATGTTTGTGTTACCTTTACATCCACGGTGTCATAACACTGTTTATTTTATTTTATTTTATAACACTGTTTATTTTATTTTATTTTATTTGCTGCAGCAGACTAACATACCTACTACCTGAAAATGGTAGAGGGGTGTCCTGAGACAATGCAGTTTGCCCAAGGCCACATAGGTTGGCTCTTTTCTTGGGAGGTACAGTGAGGAATTGAATTCCTGACCTCTGAGCTACCCAGCCAGATACTGTATCTAACTGACAGCATGGTTACACTAGGGAAAACATGTATGTAAATTGGATTTAGTATGTTTTAAATTGATTTTGAAAAGCCAACATGGCACCCATGGAAGTGCAGATTGTTTAGTCAAAGAATCATGTTGAAACAAGAAATTTTATGCTTCCGCCAGAGTTGCTTATTTTAATGTCAGATTGATTTAATTTGGAAGATTTGACAAACCTGAATGTCTCTGTCAGTGTAAACTGTGTCTCTGGGGTTTGCCACTCATTGGTATGCCTGCCATCCTTTGTGTATGTTTTTGTGTGTGTACACCTCTTTCCTTTGCAAGCCTAGTTGTGTCTCTGGTCAGTTTTAGCCCTGTTCTGTGTCTCTTTCCTTGGCAAGCCTACTCAGTTATATCTCTGGTCAGTTTCAGCCCTGGCCCTTTGGCATGTATGGGGCTCAAGGTTTCCTCTAAGGTGTACAACTGTGCAAGTGCACATGACTCCACCCCCCACACACACACACAGCTTTCCTCCTTCACCCCCCCCCCTCCACACAGCTTTCCTCCTCCTCCTCACACCCACAGTGATTGTTTCTGACTCCTTTCATTCCGGCTGCAACAGAAGCCCGTGTGGGGCAGGGGCGAAGTCAAACATGGGGTGGTGGTGGAGCCCTGCACAGTAGGGCTGAAAATTAGAGGGAATGTTGGTGGGGTTGCCGGTAAACCTCTGTTTAATTTTTTTTTCTATCTGTCATTCTGTTCTAGCGTTATGCCAGATTGCAAGAATTAAAAAAAATAAAATAGTAAAAAAAAAAAGACCACAGCAGCAGCAGCTAGTGGCTGTGAGAGGTAGCCAGCCTGCGAGCAGGTGGGTGCAGGACAAAGCCTCAAATGCAACAATTCTGAAAGTTTTCCCAACAGGGAAACACACCGACCCAAAGACCACGTGACTACCATGTGATGTTAAACCAAATTTTAAAAAAACCTGATCCATCATCTGATATATTTCATTAGTGCAACTGCACCCTCACCTAGCTATCCATCCGCTTTGTTTAAAACCAGCAATTGGATTTAGGTGGCAGTGGCAGTGGGAGGGTGGCCCTGTTGCTGCAAAGTTCCAGGAATCCATGACCATCTTTGTTCAACATGTTTTTTTAAAATCTAAATGCTTAGAATGCATTTTCAAAGTGTGATGTAGGATGGATCTGTTTTTAAATGAAAACAAAATCCGCGAGAGCAGAGGAGGAGGAGGGCAGTCTTCTTTCCTGGCACTTGACAGGTGTCTTGAGAAGTTGCATGTCCCTCCTTTGAGCTTTGGTGATCATATGTAAGGCCCATGCCAATAAACTGACTTGCATCAACTCGTCTGTATTGCCCACCCCAGTCCATTCATGATCCTTTGCTGGTTTGCAATAAGAAATAGGGAAATCAGCCCTTGGTGAAGCTTTGCTGCCTTTGGAGCTTGTCAACTATTCTTCTGCAAGGTTCTCTCTCCTCCTTGTGAGACAGGGCAGCGGGAAAGGCTGTGCATGTCCCTTCCCATCTCATGTGCCCTTCACAGAACCTCCCATTTGATACAGGATTGTGCAGAGAAAAACTGAGGACACAGCACTGTTTTCCAATTGCATTGCAGTGTCAGACTCAAAGTTGGTGCTCAGCTCTTATTCCCCCCCTGCCCCCATGTATACACTTGCTTTAGTGACAGCTTGATTCCCCCTCCTTTTCATTTCACATTTACTCCTAGTGATTTAATTCTTTGAGGAAGCCTTATTTTTTGTCAGTTTGCACCTTTGGCATGTTTTTGAGTCAAGAGAAGTTTACTGAGATTTGCATCCAAACCGTTATCTACAGGGCTGGAATCAGGCACGTCCCCCGCCCCCATGTATACACTTCCTTTAGTGACAGCTTGATTCCCCCCCCCCACTTTTCATTTCACATTTACTCCTAGTGACTTAATTCTTTTAGGAAGCCTTATTTTTTGTCAGTTTGCACCTTTGGCATGTTTTTGAGTCAAGAGAAGTTTACTGAGATTTGCATCCAAACCGTTATCTACAGGGCTGGAATCAGGCACGAAATGTAACCTGGAGGCATTCCCATTCTTCCGCTTCGCACATTCTCTAAGAAATTCCAGGTGTTTCCTCCACTAGAGGAAGTTAAGTGGGCTCTTCCTATCTGGAGCAGGCTTGAGGCAACAGCTTTTCTCCATTCTCTGCTGCCTTCTGGGAGCCCTCCCCACCTGTTTCACCCAAAGTGGTCTTTCACTTTGCCATTTGTGGTTGGAGACGGCACAGAATGTGATGTGACTGCCTTGAGCAACCAACTGAGCAAGCAGGGAGGCAAGGGTACAGTCATCATTGCTGCTTCAATGTGTGTGTAGTGGGGATGTTGTTTCAGTATTTTTTGTTGGCTGGTTGCATTAGTATTAGGAAGTGCCATAGTGCTAAACTCTTTTTGAATATAAATCATTACAAAAGCAAGCAAGCAAGCAAGCAAACAAAGGGTTTGGGGAGAGTAAAAAAGGCCGATAAACTCATGAAAAATAAAGCAATCCAAAGGGAGATGAGAGGAACATTATCTGGATGCTGGAGCAATTTCTATGAACATCAGGGCTTAATAGGGAACAGTTTAATAGGAAACTGAAATAGGTACATATGCTCCATCTGGGAGAATTTAGTTGCAAGTACTGTAATCTGTTCTTATTGCTGATATGCTGGTTTGTGAAACTTCTGTATTTGCTTATTTTAGAGTCAAATATTCTATACCCTTTTCTTTTTTTAAAAAAAAAATAGTACTATTAGGAGTACAGGCTGTAACTCTCCTTTTTTTTTCTTCTTCTGCCCAGCTCATTTTCCTAGGTACCACCATGGAAAAATACAAAGGTCTGACAGATAATGAACTCATTGCACAGCTGAAGAAATACAGCATCCCCCATGGGCCCATTGTTGGTATGGATTGTGGTATTACATTTGAATTTATCCAGGGCACACCTGCATTTGATAAGGCCCAGAGACCTTTGGGTAGTGTGGGTGGCATATAAGTTAAATCAATCAATCAATCAATCAATCAATCAATCAATCAATCAATCAATCAATCAATCAATCAATCAATCAATCAATCAATCAAATATTGACAAAGGCGAAAGCAGCATACTGAAAAAGAAAAAGAAAGGAATGCCAGTTCAGAGCATAATGGTGGGAGGCTATGTTTACAAGGCAGAAGCATCACATAGCTTAGGAATTATGAACTTGCCTGATTCCAGCTAGGTTTATCTGCACATCCTCACATTAAACAGTTTTCTCTGAGCCCACCTCTGGTGGTCTAAGCTATTAAGGAAAATGTCTGAAGGGATGGGGTAGGAGGAGGTATTGTGGAGTGGAAAAAGAATTCTTTATCCCTCAAATAAGTTATCCTTTAAAAAATTAGATCCATCTTCATTCACTCATTAAAAGGAAATGAGGAACGTGGAATAGCAAATGTGTTTACCTTTCTTATGTCTTGTGTAGCCTCAGAAGGAAAACAGAGAGGAAGGCTGCAAACGACCAGGAACTGCTAGTGTGTTGAACCTCCATGTTGCTTTGAAATAAATGAAAAGCATCATTTGAGGTTGTAGAAATGGTTTGTTGAGGGAGGCATTTGGCATGTGTTTGCTAAAGATTTCTGTTAGAGCATCAGAGAGTAATTAAGGAAAGGTTAAAGGTGACCTGGTGGGAAGGTTTCAAAGAGGGAAAGCAGTTAGAGGTCTTAGTAGCTATCAAAAGAGTGACTGGCTTGTAGAAGGTATTAGGAAATAGTAATCCTCTGTCAGTGGGAAGTTAACCTCTGGACACAATTTTATACTCCAGGGTCAACCCGAAAACTTTATGAAAAGAAAGTCTATGAATACGAGACTGAGCGGACAAAGTTCCCTTCCCCTCAAGGAACCGTGTTGTACACAGGTGAGAGAACTGGGCACAACATAGAGAAAGGGATTCCTGTCAGGCATTAAGCGTCCCTTCTGACAGTCTGTGTCTTTTGCCCCTATAGAGCCAAGTACTAGTGAAAGCTACGTACAAGAGACCTTCATTAGTCCACGGGGCAGGGAAAGTCTCAGCTATGGGAGAGAAGGTGAGGCATCTTGGACAGAGAACTGCTGAACCAAATTGCTGGGGTGGAATCAAAGAGGAGAAATCACCATTCAAGGGCATGAGGGGAACGTGATCTAGGGAACAAGAAGGGCATCTCTGGCAGAGGAGAATACCTGGGAGAAAGCAGAGGTGGATTGTAACATGTGTTTTGAAATCATAGGTTGTTTTGGGGGAATAATGTTCAGTCTCTAGTGTCAATCCAGACTCCTCCTAATTCTTCCTATATTTTCCCAGCTCTAGGCTCTACAAGGACTTACTTAAGAGGAAACTACGACTCTCCAAGAACTGAGGAATACTACTCTGAGTATCACAACGAAGGTAGCTGTGGGAGAGGCACCCTTTACCAAAGGAAAGTGGATTGTGTTAGAGGGTCAGAAATGTTTTTGGGGAAAGCATATTTTCCTATCGTTCATAATTTATACCACGCCTAGAGTGGTCGAAATGACTAGATAGGTAGTTCATAATTAACATGAAGAGCTCACTATCTCATCTGAAATATGAAATGATCTCCGTCTTATCATTTCAATGCAGTATCATGCCCAGCCTTGTTAGTCCTGTGAAACCAGAGCACATACCTAATGGAAGCTTAGTTGTGCTGAAAATTTAGTTGAAGTTATTTGAACTTTATTTATCGGGGCAGTAGTTGTGATTTTGCATGATTTAGACAGTCTACAGAGCAAGAAGCTAAAGTCTGCACTGGCAAAATCAGCCTTCTAGACCATTAACAGATATATTCTAATTTCCGTGTTTTGGATATTTTTGTACAATTTGTTTGATTTCTGTACCTTAGGGGAAGAGATGTGTGGGGCTGGCAGGAATAGCAGCAGCCACTCCCCAAACTGTTCTGCTCTGGGTTCTGAAACCTCCTCAGGTATTAAAACACAGGCCCTGTGGGTTTAGGGGCAACTAGGCTATTTGGCCTGGACCTCACCGACCGGGGCTGCCTCGCCTCAGCCAAGGGTGCACCATCCTTCCCTTTCTCCCTTTTTATGTACCATTCTTTACATTGGAAATATCTGTACTTTTCTTTTCAAACAATGACATTGGTCTCACTATGCGAAATGGCCCCGGTTTCATCTAAGCCCTCACCAAGCCTCCTAGCACACTTGCATTCCTCCTCCATTTTTGCAATCATAAAGGCTAAATGTCTGGCTTTTCTTTCAGGGTGTATTTGATGTCTAGGAAGGATGAACAAGTTGCCAGGAGTGTCCAGGGTCACTCCTTGCTCTCCACCTTTCCCTCAATCTATTCACTATGCCATGAGGGCTAGGAATGCGTTTTAACACACAATGAAATCTAAAATAATGGGAGGGTGGAAACTCTTTTGCTAAGCATCCTTCTTCTCCTGTGCTTTTCTAGATGCCAGTCCCTACCTGAGTCATAATTATCGTTCGCTTCATCATGAAGGACGCTCCAGCTACACTCCAGAAGGTAAAAACAAGAGAGAGACCATAAATATCGATCTGCGAGGATTTGAGTCTCTGTTTAGAACAGATTTAGAACGATGCATCCTCATTCAGAGCAGTGTAGAAAGCAGTTTCAGATCTTCTGGTAGATCTGTGTGATGGGCAGTCGGTTAACAAGGATTTCTGACACCATGGTTCCCAGAGAACAACTGCACCAGAAGAAGGATTGCCCCAAGTTACGCTGTTAACGTGAAGAAAATTGGAAGAAAGTAGAAATTAATCAGGACTGCATGGAAGGATGCTGAGGGCTAAGAATTCTTTCATTTTGTATGTTTTGTACTATATTGGTAGATCTTAAAGTTGCTGGTAAAAAAAGAAAATAGATCCGGAAAACCTAGTCTCCTTCCCACCTTGCTCCAACTCTGCCTCAGTCCAGTGCTAATCGCTTTGTATATCTTTCCCACACACCTGCCCCCCATCTCATTTCAGACAGGGATCTCAATTCTTCTGAGACTTCCCCGTCTTCCTACCGTCAGTATGTGTCCTCATTAAGCAGCAACGTCCCTCAAGGATTTGTGAGTGCCCGTCAACCGGTAAGTTGTCTCCGATGTCTGCAAAGAGGTTAAGAAAGCTACGGATGCTGGGATCCTTCCTTAGGCCTTGTACTGACAGGCCCCTGTGCCTCCTTTCAGATTGCAGAGCCGTATCCTTACAATGCTGGCCAGAAGGACGTGTCGACTGAGAGGTAAGCAAGGCCTGTGCAGGGGCCGCCTCAGGAAAGAGCATTACAGGGAGGCAGTAGTGGGCAGGTTGCCAAATTTGTCAAGGACATCTTGGTCCAGAGCTGGAATGACCAGAGGTCATCCTACCATGTGTTTCGGCAGAGGTGGACAGCCGTGATTCTCCATATTTTGGGTCTGTAGCTCCCATAGTTGCTCCCTATTGACTATGCTGGCTCAAGCTCATGGCTATCATAAGTTTAAAAGCATCTAAAGGACCGTAGCTGCTCACCTTGATGTTGTCTGAGGCAGCAGATTTTGAGAATGGCAGTCGTATTAATGATCACATCTGTGCAGTGTGTTTTCAGATGATGAAAGTACTGTGTACAGATTTATCATTTGGAATTCTTGCAACAATTCTCAAAGGTAGACTAGCCTTATTATATCAATACTGGAGCTACTAGAAAGGAAGAGGAAGTTACTTGCCTCAGGTCTCTAGTGAAATCACAGCATCCACAATCCTTGAACCAGAGACGTTCCTGATCACAGCGAAGGCTGTTAATCATTATGATGCGATGTCACTTCTCACCATTAAGAACTCCCCACTAGACTTCTCTTGTACAAGCTTCATTATATAAATTAGCATTTCTGTACAACTCTTGGTTAATGGAGTGGGTTTAAGTGTGGTTTGTGCCTCAAGTAATGTTCTTTGTAAAATCTGTTACCCAGAAGGTTTGGACACACTTGCCAGTTGCTGATTAATTCTGTGGCTACACAGTGGCTCACTTAACAACGGCAGAAGTCCATTTTTTAAAAGTAATAGAGCAGACTGCTATCTAGAAAGAACAGAAGAATGCCTATGCTACACATCTATAGCTATTTAATGCTCCTTTAACTGGCAAGGCTCCATCCCATGGAATGCTGGGCTTTGTAGTTGATGTGGTGCCTATACTGTGCTACCCAACTCTAGCTACCCAACTAGCAGCGAACTCACCAAACTACAGATCTCAAAATTCTATTAGTTGGAGGTAAACTAGATGCACTGTAGGTTTCCTTAACAGCTTCTGGTTTATCCTAAGAATAAACCAGATTTTGCAGTTATGAGGAAGCTACAGGAGACTTTCTCTTGGTCTGACTGCATGAGAAGGAAGGTGGATCAGAAAAAGAAGAAAGGGAAGACGTCACCAGGCTTGAGACGAAAATTGCCAGCCGGTCATTTCCTTGCAGATTTTAGCATCTTCTGATTAAAAAATAGGGTGGTGACATCTTCAAGAGCTGGCCTAAGTAGACAAACAAAGAGCCATTGGACTTCAGGGCTGACTGTGTATTGATACTGTAATATCTCTGTCTTAACCGTTCTGCCACCAAATGATAAGTAAGATGAGATCAAGGACCAAGTTAAAATGTGGCCTATGTGCAGGAGACTTAAGGGAGGTCCTGAGAGGGTGGGATTCCTATTGCCCTCCGGTAGAAGGAGATCATTAAATCTGTAATGATCTTTCTCCTCTGTTGCACTTTGCAGGGACAGCAGCAGTTCCTACCAGAGCATCTTTCATCGGAAATCAACCGGCTCGTCCTCTCTGGGTGTGGAACCACGCCGTGCCATCCACACTGAGCGCCGAGCCCAAGAAGCAGAAAAGGCTGCGGGTAGTAGCGCTGGAGTCAAGCGTTACTTCCCCTTCTGGCCCCAGCTCCTCATTTTTCTCCTGCTGGCTGGCTTCTTAGCCTTCATCTACTTCTTCCTGCAAGATGGTGCTGATGATAACCCCTTCATGAATTATCTGAAGCAGTGAAGCCTCCTGTCTCAATTCCCATCAAATCACTAGACTGGCTCCTTGAGAGCCCGGAATGTTTCTATAGGACATCCACTAAGTGCCTTCCTGTTTGTTTTTGTTTTTTCTAAGCCCTGAAGTGAAGTGCTATATTTGGGGGCAGGAAAGGAGGGAGGGTTTCCTACCAACTTTGCTAAATCATGGCAGCTGCCCATCTGTCCCTTCAATCAGCTAACGTGGGGCATTTGTATTTGCTAATTTTGTAGCTTGTGCTTTATATAATTGTGGGTGTGGGTGGCTTTTATCTCAAGAGGGCAGGGCAGGGAGGAGCCAGAAGAAAAGGGAACCAGTGTTTGCCTATAACCAGCTTAAAAAAACCCCACACACAACTGTCTGAAACCTCTAATAAACCCACCTATATTTTTTGGTAAGGTTGTCTCTCTTTGGTGGTTTAAACTCTCTCCACACCAGGGCTGTTTCCATCCTACATATTACTGTTTTCTTTTCATTGCTGAAAGTCTTTTTCCTGAGCTGCGGATAACAAACAAACAAACAAACAAAAACAGAAGTAAACCTTGATGAGGCAGGCTTTTATTAGTGAGAGGGAGGACATGGGATCCAGATGAAACCTAACCCCAGCCTCCCTTCCCTTTCCGATTATCCCAGCTCTAAAGGGCAGAGTGAGTCCCTTGACTTAGAACCAAGGGTTGTAGGAAATTCAGGCTGCCCTGAGGTCTGGAAGAGGAAGGAGCCCTGGTGTGTCTGCTCGCACTCTGTGTTTGTGGGGTCATGTGTTGGCAAGAGGGCACTGAGGTGGGGCTGAAGAGAGAGGGGGGGCTTCTGGGGAGCCCTGGAGTGGTTGCCCTTCGGCCTGAGGGGCCACAAGGGAATGTGTGGCTGGGGCCTTCAAGGGCTGTCTTTTGGTGAGAGGAGAGCGCAGGAAGGGGCTGGATGTTGGGGAAAGGGCCGTGCGGTGGGGAGAGGGATCCCGCGAGTGGAGCGTCCTTCGTAGGTTTTCCCGGACTCGGATGAACTCTGGCTGGTTCCCAACAGTGTCGCCTGTTGCTTCCTGCTGCAGGTTCTGAAGACAAACAACAACAAAGCCGGGTTTGTTTGAGGCAGCTGTGAAAGGCCATTTGCAAGACACCAACCACACACACACACCGTCCCACCTGCAACAGCTGCTGGCAGAGTCTGCTCTCTCACAAGCAGGGCTGACCCTGCCATGAGGCTGAGTGAAGCATATTTTGGGTGGTGTAAAAAGGGTATAAAATTGCCACTTATTTGCTTTTACTATTTCCTTTGTACAGTCAGGGACAAGGAGATGTGGCATTTTCTGAACGACTGAAATCATTTGACTATATTGGTGTACTACGTACTGTGTAGTGTAGCAGATAGAGTGTCCTGGGTTCAAATCCCTACTTGGCCTTAGAAATTTACTGGGGGGAGTAATGATAAAACTCTTTTTAAATGTCTCACATATCTTCTAAATTGGAAACGACTTTATGGCACATAACCCGCAAACCTTGATTTGTGGGTTGTGCGGGTGCCATTTGCTGCTCCATCTCAAGGGGCAAAATGTCTTGGGTCCTGAGAACTGGGTTGACTTTGGAGCCTTACCTGTCCTCGTTTTTGTTGCCGGCGCAGAAGCTCCTGCTCCAGAGGCGACTGCTCTGAGGCACTTTCTGGGCCTTCCCGGCGCCGGTTCCGATGCTCCAGAACCTGCAGCAGCTCTGGCTTAGAACGGAGGCTCAAACCTCTGAAAGGAGAAACATTAAAAATAATACAGCAGTAATTGCCCCTTCTTACTAGTGGCTGTGGCCAAAAAATAATAAATTACATGCATTCCACTTTCACAGAATCAAAGCACAGATCCTGGGCGGGTCTGTGCTACAGTTGTTCCAATGGCAGCCCTCCATGAATGTCTTAGAACACCTCGTCCTTTCTCTGAGGAAGAATGATGTAACATCTTCATAAGAATGCTGTGAGATAAACATAAATTGAAAATATTTACAGAACATTGCCCCTTAAACTCTGTATATTTCGTAGCCTTATCATGAAGATGTTACATAATTCTTGATTCTTTTTCCTCAGAAAAAGGTTAACATTCAAATGGGGGGAAAAGGTGAGATGTAACTCTGAGGGACAATTGTGTCTGAGGTAAAAAATCTGGAGTAGCCATTGCTTCTCAAGGTAAAACTATAATATTAAAAGTGACTAAATCTGCCCCTCCCCCCCCTTTCTAAGGTGGGCAGCATCTTCCCAGAGCAAAATAGTCCAGTTTCCCTGATGCCATAATGTTTTAAACTGAGCACCTTAGGCAGGGACATGAGATTGTGTACTCTACTAAGATCTACAGTGATATTACTTTAGAAAGAATGGTTTGTATCTCATCCCCTTCAAAGGCAGCCTATGCTTACCTGGGAGTTTTGGTGTGACAGAAGTGGCCTCTAGCAGCCAGCATGCTATTTACCATGACCTATTAAGCTGACACCTTGGCTGCCCTGCCCACAGCTCACAATCAACCTTTCTTTCTTTCTTTCTTTCTTTCTTTCTTTCTTTCTTTCTTTCTTTTTCTTTCTTTCTTTCTTTCTTTCTTTCTTTCTTTCTTTCTTTCTTTCTTTCTTTCCTTTCCGAAGGGTTCGTTCACCTCCAGGATCTCCCTGAGGGGCAGCGTGAGCTTGGAGCCCGGCTCAGCCTTGCCGGCAGACCTCTTGCGCTGGACCAGCTCCTCCATGGAGGGAAAGCCAGCTGGGATCTGGGCCCCCTCAAAGTCCTCGTCGTGGAGGAGGCACACCGCCTCGGCCACAAACTCGTTCTCCAGGAAGGCCAGGCTGGGCATTCCTTCCTTCCTTCCTTCCTTCCTTCCTTCCTTCCTTCCTTCCTTCCTTCCTTCCTTCCTTCCTTCCTTCCACTCCACCTTTCTGATTGAAAGGACCCAAGGCGGCTTATTTACTACCACAACCCACCAGTGCTACTCCTGCAGCATGACAGCTGTAGCACCACCAGGTTAAAAAAAGCTTTTGAGCTTTAATGTTAGCTGGTAGCTATTGTCTCATCCTGTGACACTGATCAGGTCAATCAGGAAGTGATGGTTCTGTAACAGGCCCAGTGAAAATGTGGGTGCTCATTATGACAGTTCTCACAGTCAACTCAGTAAAAGATATGAACTGCTGGATAGGTCTGCCTCAAATATGGGGGAGCAGGTCTTCTGTAAAAGTAATGGTTCTTAATTGCACATTCAAGAATAAACCACACTAGAATGTTTAGCATTACATTGAGGATAGCATGGAACAATATATAGTTCATGGGAAAATCCAGATCTCTCTTCAACTTTCGTAAGGATTGCAACTGGTGTCAGAAGCAACAGGGAAGCCATGGGAGGATGACAGATGATGTCAGCGTCCTTGTTACCCAGAAAGTACTTGTGTTTCAATCCTTTGAGTTGTGGCTTCACTAGACCACTAGATGTGCCACTGTCATCGCCTCATAAATGAACTCAGAACTGGGGAGAGGGCGCCCCAAAATCTTTACCCTGACCTTTTCCATCTGTGCTGGAGTACTCTGCCTTTGCACAAAAGGGGTTTCTCACACAGGAAATCAGTGTGCCAAGAAGAAGGGTTTCTCACAAGTCTGCCCTAGTTACACAGCAGATGTGAAGAGTCTATGAAGCATAGCCCAAATCGGGGTGGGGGGTGGGGGGAATGAAACCAGTCCTCACACCTTACTTGACTGCATGTGATTGCTTCGAATTCAGGCAGCTATCTGTCTGCCTTACTGATCACACCAGGGCTGGGTGGGAAGGGAACTGTTCAGTGTTGGGTGGCCTCTCATACATTGCATACCCTAATTTATATAAATCATATAAACCTGCATACCCTAATTAATATATATTACAGGGGCCAACCTAGAATTTTCTTTAGTATAGTTTAACCAGAATTAACATGCATCCCAGCCAAGTGGGAAGAGCTATAATTAGACTGCGTGGGCTGCCGCTCTTCAGTCTGCCATCCTGCCACACATCACTGTGGATGGGCAACTTCAGAAGCCCGGCTTGTCTCCTTCCGGATGGTTCCTTAAACCATACTTGGTCTAGGTAGGGCAGCCCGTCCAAAGGAAGACATTTCCCAAGCTAGAATTGTCTTCTGGCAGTCTTTCACACAGAGGACCGTCCTCTCTAAAAGAGGGCACAGGGTCACTGTGTCTTAAAGGAGAGGGGCCTGCAGTGAGGGGAGGAAGCAAAGGATCAGGTTTCCCCTCACCACCTCATAGTAAGGTGGGTGTGCCGTGTTGTTTACTATGTGCCATCACATTGTGTCCAACATGTGGCCATCCTTACAGAGTTTTTGGGGGATGTAAGATATGCAAGGCGTGGTGTATGCTTACCGTTGTCCCCTCCCCAAGAGGTTTTCATGGCCAATCAGGGATTTGAATCCAGGTCTCTTGAGTCCTGATCTGACAATCCATCTGTTACATGACACTGGTTGTCATGTATAATGTTACCTGAGGTGATTTAAGGTTTTAGTCTGTGGGAGAGGCCAGCTGTCTCCCAGAGGCCGCATAGGAAGAAGTAACCCTGGGTGATGCTGTGACTGTTTCAGATGGCTGTGGTTGATGCACTCTAGAGAGCAGCGGCTCCCAGCCTTGAGCCTCCAGGTGTTCTTGGACTGAAACTCCAGGAGCCTTCACCACTCACTCCAGGGCCAGGGTTTCTGAGAGCTGTAGTCGAAGGACATTTGGGGACTACAGCCCCTCAGCCTCCCTTTTTTCCCCTCTTCTTCAAAAAACAGCTCTTGTTTTGAAAATAATCTCTTCCCATCTTCTGTGACGCCCAATGTAAATTTGTTCACAACACCTTATCTGTGCTTTTTCACATGAAAGGTAGGCCTCTACCACAGCTGTAGATTGGGTGGTGGTGGGGGGCAAAGGAGCTATATACAGCAAGCTCTCTTATCTTATATGGCCCTGAGAAGTAGGGCAGTGAGTGAGAGCAGAAAAAAAAAACCCAATGCTCTGTCTGATCAACTCACTCTGGCTGCAAGCCAGCAGAGGAAAGAAAAGCGACACCCTCCCAGGCTCACGGACTGGGATGTGAATCAGGTTACTAAGAGATTCCTGACCAGCGAGGTGCAGGACCGTGATCATTCAAAACCCTGAGCTGAGAGAAGATCATATATGTTGGCTACGAGTTCAATGTGGGTGTGAATTGTACGGTATGTGAAGAAGATGCCTATGGATTAATAGCTAGACCACATAGTGGTGTGTTTTTAAAAAAATAAGTCACATGTTTTGGGATTTGTGCTGCATTTTTTACATGAAGAGGCCGCCTGTGCACGTGTATGTGTGTATAATATATTACATATGCACAATGGTTATTTTCCATGGTGATGCCTGCTAAATTATTTTGTGATGTTCCATTCTCTTTCTGTCGTATTATGGCATGCTCATGTACTTATTCACACAGTTCAAGAACTGATCAACATTTCAACCCTGCAACTGACTTGTTCGGTTCAGTTCTCTGCTGAAACCTCACCCATCCTCCTTGAATTGCATGAAAGAGAGGGAGAGAAGTTCAAAAGCTGATAGAAAAAGAGATTACTGTTAATAGAGTTGTGCACCAACCATTATGGAGCAATAATAATAATATTCATGAGACTTGCCATAGGTTACTGCATTACTACACACACTTACCTGGGAATAAAGCTTTAACTCAGTGGGACTTCTCAGAACAAAGGTATAGAATGTATATAAACATTCAGGCAATGTGAAACATCTAATACAAACACATATACACACACACATACACATATAGAGAGTGAAAGAGAGAGGTTGTAAAATGTTGTTTGCAGAAGACACACGTTCTTATTCATCACAAGCATAGCTCACATTCCATTCAAGCATGCATTTTTAGATTGAATGGAAACATTTTCCCAGTGTTACTTGGTATACTTTTCTATGGCCTTGCAAGGCTGAAACAGAACCTAGTAAGTTCCATAACCCAAAAGGGACTTGGAGAAAAACAACTGTGAATTGCAAAAGACAGGGCTAAAGTAAGAAGACTGACAATCTCCAACACATATGATTTAATCCCCCACAATTACAAAACAAAAAGAAAACAGCCTTGTTCTAGAGTGTTATTATCTCCAAAATTAGTTTATACTATTTTGTATATTATGCAACATATAAAAAGAAACAAGAAAAGAAAATCACATGGCTGGTGATAGCAGATAAAATGTTTTGTCTAATTTCCTCTTGCTCAGCATAAATGAATGGATCAGTTCCTTTTATTTCTTGTTTAATTTAAGAGGGCTTTGTTGGAAAGCACCAATACCAAGCTAAAAAATTCTTTCAATTAGAATTCCAAAGATTATACCATCTGGAAGATTTTTGGAGTTGTAATTTTTTCTCCAAGATCTATCAACTCTTTGGTGACACTAAGAACTTTGTCCCAAATCAACAAATACATCTGTATGTGCTTGAAACTAATTTTCCAACTCAGGGAATGGGTGCAGCTGATATGTTAGAGGCATCTCCTTATGAGATATAATCCCATCATTTGGCACATTCTATCCAATACTAGTTTTTGTTAAATGGCTTTTTGTATGTCTGTGTGCCTCAGAATTAAGGACATAAATACTTATAAGTGTTTTAAAGTACATTTACATTAGGCAGACAGGTGAAATCTAGTAATAGTTTATGCCTCATGTCTTCATTATACATAAACAAATATATTTTTCTGATGACCTAGTGTGAGTGGAAATTTCCATACACAGTTATTCCCTTAAAAGTCACCTCCGTTAAATGTTAGTAGGCACACATAACTCTACTTGTATATTATATTTAAAATAAATTATGTGATTTCAAGACAGTTCTCACTTATGGTGACCCCTTTCAGGGTTTTCCAGGTAGAGAATACTGTACTCTGAAGTGGTTTACCCTTCCTTTCTTCTGCCCAAGGCCCCACAAGCTGGCTCTTCTGGGATGCACAGTGAGGAATCGAACTCCCAGCCTGAGCGATCCAGTCAACTAGTAAGTTAGATTTCTCAGTACATATATTTTGATTCTGGGACGCACAGTGAGAAATCGAACTCCCAGCCTGAGCCATCCAGTCAACTTATCCAGTTAGATTTCTCAGTACATATATTTTGAAAGGCATAAAAAGTAGAGAAACAGCACTGAAAACAGAGAAAGAGAGAGAATTGAGTTGCACACTGCCTACAATGTCACACAACTGCCCACAATGCTGGCTTATAGTGTGATGCAAAAGTGAAAAACTAAGACAATGGGAAGACTGGCAGTAGAAGGTAGGGAAAACACAATCTTTCTTTCTTTCTTTCTTTCTTTCTTTCTTTCTTTCTTTCTTTCTTTCTTTCTTTCTTTCTTTCTTTCTTTCTTTCTTTCTTTCTTTCTTTCTTTCTTTCTTTCTTTCTTCCTTCCTTCCTTCCTTCCTTTCTTCCTTCCTTCTTTCCTTCCTTCCTTTCTTTTCTTTTCTTTTCTTTTCTTTCTTTGAAAATAAATTACTACATTTTCAATGTTGGAATATGAATTTCCAAAAGGTGGAACACCTTGTTTCCTCTCAACAGCCTATTTGCTTATTATGAGAGAAAATAAACCTAAAAACCTAGAGAGGACTGACAAAGAATATCAGCAAAAAATAAAATAAAATAAAACCTCAGGGAACCCTAAAATAGTTCAGGACTGGCGGGTCTGTACAGCACCCAGCACTCTCTGTGGATACGCAATGCTGCATTGGTAAATGTAGAAGTGTAAGGTGTCCATCACAACTGTCCCAATATGCAACCGCCCCCTCCCCCAAGAGATTTCCGAAATGCAGGCAAATAGATTGGTCTGCATAAAGAACTTCTGTAAAATTTTTAGACAGAATCCTGTTGGTGATTTATGTATGCTTAAGTTAGATTGTGTTAAGTCACTGTGCCAATGCTAACTAACGAGGCACCAGTTAATCATGTTATAAGATGTGTTCCTGAGTTTGCAACAGCTGCATGCTACTTATATGTTAGTAATATGACCACAGCCTTGCTACTGGCAGTTTGCCACAGTGAGCGACACAGCTTAATTTATGCATGGATAATCAGCATCTGGAATCTGGAAACTGGTTCCTAATTGCCCATGAAGAATAAACCAACCTTAAATATTTTGCACAACAGAGACAACTTTGAATAATATGCTCTTCCTGGAAAAATTCATTTTTCTCCTAACTACTGTGAGGGTTGCAGCTAATCTTGGAGGGAACAGGATTGTAGGGGTAGCAGACGACATCAGAGTCCCTGCCATTAAAAAAAAAATCCCAAGACTTTGACCTTGCGAGCCCTGAGCCCACTCTACCACTACTGACCATGAGAAATGTCAAAGCACAAGGGCAGGTGGAGGGGGGCTTCTGGTCATACTTGCGATGGGTGAACAGTAATTCACGATGTAGCTGCTGCTGGTTCCAAACGCCTTTGCCAGGGTTTGTGACCTGCAAAGAGGTGGCAGGCTGGGCCTCAGCACCTCTGGGGGGGATTCCTGAGCGTGCAGCCGCTAGAAGGGAGACAAAAGGGGACAGATAAGAAAATGCTATGGTTGTATTGGAGCTGGGTTATAGCTCTCTCTCTCTCTCTCTCTTTTCCTTTTTTCTTTGCAAAAGCAGCACACACATACACACATCACCCCTCTGTAGGCACTCACCATAGGTACTGGATCCCATGCCGCGGGGTGGGGGATGCAAAGCCAGGATCTGAGCCTTGGCCCAGAGCCAGAGCTCATGAGAAATCCTAGTGAGGGAGAGGAAATGGGGGGTCAGTGGTCATGGGCAGGGAGATGACATTGAAGGAGTGGGTATTAGGGTGATCTCTCTTCCCTGAGCTTGGAAAAAAAAATTCCCCTTGCGGGCTACTGTTTTCGGAACCTGCCAGTCAGCAGAGAAAATGGCATGCTGGAGAAGTAACTTTTCTGAGTTCTGCCTGTTCCCACTCTCAGACTGATGGCCTTTTCCTTTTTTCTAAAGAAAAAATATTTGATCATCCTTGTCACCAAATGAAGTGGTGCCTGGTGGCATCCGGTGCAGAGCTGAGCAATTGTGGTGTGAGTGAGTGTGTGTTTTTCTGGGTCTCTTCGGCATCTGACTATTCTGTGATGAATGGTCACAGATTAAATTTACAATCCTCTTATTATACTAGCACCTAACTATTGGCCTTGCTCTGAAATCGCTGTCCTACCACAGTTTGGCCAATGGATTCACGGAGCTGCTGCTCCTCATTAGAAGCGAAGTCACTGCTTCCTCCTTTCTTTGTCGTTTGCTGTTTCTGCCCATCAGAAGCAAAATAATTTGCAGAGGAAACAGAACAACCAAAAAATATAAGTGCAGGAAGGGAAAAAAACAACCAGAGTGCCTTTCACGGACTGACACGAGCTGGCCAGGCTGGAGAGCGAGCGAGCGAGCGAGAGAAAGCGGTACGTTTCACCCCCCCTCCTTCCACGACCACCCCCAGGAGAATTTAAGGTAGTTCGAAAAAGGATGTGTGTACAGAGTTAGGCCACTTTCACTTCTGCTAAACTTTTTTTTTTTCAAAATAATCTTTAAAACCCGATCTGGCTGGAAGGGGTGGAATAAATGTGTGAACCTCGTACCCCTTGGAATGACACGCTGGTTTCAAGCTACCCTCGAGCGATTCCAATCATCCTTTTTCAAACCAGGGGTTTGTTCTGCAGCCCAGCGCAGAGGAGAGGGTTCAGGTGAGCGCTGGAGTTTGCAGCCATCCCGTTTGGGGGGGGCTTCTCTTAGAACCCTTTCCTCCCCACCGGCCTTCCAACCCACCGGAGGGGTCCTCGGGTCTCTTCTCTCCAGATCCCCCTCACCTGCCGCTTCGATCCGCCGGATCCACTTGCCCGCTCGGTTCTGCTGCCATGTTACGCCGCCCCCGCCGCCGCCGCCGCCTCTCCTTCCGCGGCGGGGTCCAAGCTCCTGGGTTCCCATCTCCCCCAGGAAGAGATCGCGTGGCCCAGAGATGGCCATCCTAGCCGGATGGCGAAACAATTACAGGCAGCTCATTGCCTCCCCTGGCCGGCGGTCACCGCCCGCCCCCCCTCTCCGAGCGCCCCCCCCCCAAGCAAGGCGAGGAGCGCGCACCGGGGAAGAGAGCGGGGAGGCAGTTCAGAGGGAAACTGGATCCCGCAGGCAGGGACCGAGCAGAAACCTAGCCCAAGGCGCCTGAGGACGGGGGTGGGGGGGTCGAGCCATGAGCCTGACACACACACACCCGACTCTGGCCCAGTGAGCACCATGGTGCAGGTGTGGAGGGTCAAGACTTTTGCCTAGACCACTTTTATTGTGACTTGCTAAAATTAAAAGCCCGGGATTCCTCAACTGGTCAGGTCAGAATTTTAAAAACAACAAGGCACCTAGGAGGACTTTCTAAGGCTCAGAAATATAAGGATCAGCATCATTTCACACAGAAGGGCCCTGCTGACCCACCTTCCTGTCTTTTCATTTCCGCCACCCAAATTAACAGGGAAATATCGTTTTGTTTGTTCTCCCACACCTCTGCTGATCAAGGGAAATGAACCGTGAGTTCCATCAGTTTTCTGCTCACCTTATCCCAGGATTCCCGTTTCGCACTTATTTTCAATTCAACTTCACATCCATGTTTTTAATTTGGATGGCGTGGCTCTCTCAGCACAGCACATAGGTATTCGAATTAGCACTGCCAAGCCAAGGCAAAATACAGGCTGCAAACTGAAGATATAGGCGACTGAATAAGGTTCAGTGAAAATGAAAAATAGAGTTTTTCCAAGGAGCTGCCCATCCCCAAAAGTTTTGCAAGGCTAGACTTACTAAACACAATGTACCAATCAGGTACTATATATATATATCCTTTTGATCCCACCGAACATACTTTTGATTTAGAAGTCTAAGATGGGCAGCAAAATATAGTTTATTACATATAAAGCCAATGCAGAAACTTTCTAGCATGAAATTTTCTAGAACAAAATATCAACTCCTCTTCGGCATTCTGGGGTGCTACATTAACGGACAATATGGAGCAGTCCTATGGTGAGTTAAGCAATAATGTAGCCCAAGGCGATACTTGAGGCCCACAACTTGCAACGTAAGGTTATGGCATATTTATACAAAATGCTTAGTGGGACTCATGCCCAGGAATTCTTGGCATCATGATTCATCTAAGGCAAGGTCCCCCCTACTTCTCTCCCCCCCCGACCAGTTGCAACCACCCTTTGGGAAAAAAAACAAATGGAATTTCACAAAGGGCTTTTGTGAAGAGAATATAAGTCATTTTATATATTTGTGAAGAGAATATAAGCCATTTTGTGTGTATATATCTTGAAGAGCATAACTTGCCCTCTCCTCCAGCTTTCCTCAAGTCAAGTATATTGTGGGAAAGCATGGTGATCTCTGAAGGGGAAAAGAATAGTCTGCTCCAGCCAAATGACTGAGGAAGAGACCATTTTTAATCATATTTTATTTATAATCTTGGTTTTTCCCTTGACTAGGGCTCAAGTCATGAAATATGGACACAAACCTTCTGTTATCTCCTGGCCGGCTTTTCTTTGAAATAAACTGCAGCCCAAGGCTCTTAACTGTGTTGTACAATAACAAAACAAAGTGACAAGAAAAAAGGTAGCATACCACGTTTTTGGAGAGCGGGATCTCTTTAAGGGATGTAGACACATAACATTTCAAGAGCCCACTCTACACACTAGGTGGACACTGCCACCAAATGGCAAGCATGGCCACCAACATGACCTCACATTTTCACAGGACAGCCCATCTCAAGAAAAGCATGCAAAACATTAAAAACAGCATGTTTCTAACAGGCTGGACAGCTCCGTGAGTTAGGTATCTAGCTGAATCTGTAATTATGCCACAGAATTTTGGACACTGTTTTATTATTCTTACTAACTGTTCTTATTGTAAAACTCAGTGAAACTCTTGGTTTCACTGGAAACTGCTTTGTGATTATTATTATTTTTAACTGTGCACAAATATTTCCACTAAAATTGAATGAAAGGACATTCAACTGTGCAAAATTCACAGAACAACAGAATGGAAAAGATAATCATGAAACAGAAGGTTGCTCTCAAGCACAGAGCATACATATTCCACAACCCTTCAATATCATGGATGAATGGTTCTGAAATAAATAAAGATGTCGGGAGACTGCAGGAGAGGGGAATGTGCAGACGAAAGACTCAACAGCCGCTGCTGTTCTATCTGTTATATCCTCCCCCTACCGCATTAAAACACAACAGGCTTGTATGTTTCACGTTGCTCTTTTATTAAAATTACAAAACTCTACTTATGAACTAAGGATACCCTCCCCACAACAGCACCTCCTGTCTCTACCACGTCACAGGCAGACAGGCTTATTCTCTTCTAATCCCTCCCTTCCCCAGAGTTACCCTCTATGCCACTCAGTTACAAACAAGAGGAGGAGGGGGAGAGAAAGACACACGTGCCCCCAACAATGCAGAGGAGAATGTAAACTTCAGGCTCTACAGAACACCTGTAGATCTATAGAGTTCCATGAGAAAGGACTGAGGAATATGTGGGTCGGAGTGAGAAAACCAAAGCCCCTTTCTGTAGCCACTGTTGAATGCATGTTCCAGGGAGGCATGTCCATTTGAAAACAAGACAGAAAAAAAAACAATCCCAGGTGGTCATGGAAAGGACAAAATAACAAACTCCCCCAAAGAAGATAAGGATATAAGGTATAACCATATACTCCTCTAATGGGCTCCTGGCCAGTTTTGCAGGAGGCCCTTGATCACTTTCTCCAGCCGGGATTTTATTTATTTATTTGATACAATGCTGTGAATATTTTGACCTTGGGCCAAACCCTCAAGGCACTTCTAATGTCCGTAAGCAGGAGTGAATCTTCCAGATGGGCCATAGTAGAACACTCTTGGCTTCAGGAAGTTTGACACCGGCCCCTAGCAATTAGGGCAGTGGGGGATTCTTAAGGTATGAGAACAGACCATAGAAGGTTGACGTCAGCCCATCGCTGCCCTGGATAACATGAAATGGCAAGTAGGAGCCCCACAGGTCTCCTCCTGTCCCCAAAGTCCCTAGCGGATGTGTGCCATCTCTTCCAAAAAGGGAGTCTTCATGCAACCCGTGCAGAGCTGGTCCATCCAGAGGGGAGCTTCATGCTGCAGTGGGGTGCGCCTTGGGTAGAAAGTGTAGTTGAGGTCATAGTTGAGCAAGCAGCTGAGTGAGGCCATGTAGACATCTGAGAAGCGGCAGAGGCGACGGGAGAAATATGTAGGGTTGTGGCAGGTGCGAAAGATGCTGCCAAACTGAGGATTGAAGAGGTTCTTGGTGAGTGCCCTGTAGTACGGGTGGGAGGGGGAAGAAGGAAAGAATGTTCACCTAATAGTCCACAAATTTTAGGCTAGCATTCCTGGGTTCTGTTCCTTGCGAAGCAGTGCGTTTTCAAAAGGAAGCTGTAAGCTGATGTTCACTATCTCAAGAACTCAGCTTCCTAAGGCTCTCAATTCTCATTTAATACAAAAACACAAAGAAACAAGTTTCCAGTCCTCATGGTTCACAAAGCTATTTCTGGATATGTGTGGGTGATGCCCAAAAGCTCAGAAGCCAGAGCTGGCAAATAAGATTTTCAGCAGTCAGTATATAGGGTGGCAGAGCTCTTAGTATACCTTCATTTCTCCCCATAACACTTGGAAACAAAATTAATTGTGCAAATTCCATTTTGCACAAATGCCTACAGATTGCTTTGCCTTTATACACCTCTACTTCACACAAATTTATATAGATAACAGAAAAGGCATATTTTCGGGTCACTGAGTGTCTATGCATTTTTCAGCACAAGAAACTCAAGAAGTGCCAAGAGTAAATACAGAAAAACACTCCATGTGTAACAATATTGCCTGATAATCTGAGGTGACTTGTTGGATTTCTAAAATGGGGAGAGAAGTGCAGTCTGGTGGGTCAGGATTAATTGAGTCCATAGCAGCTCTCACATGGAGCATGCGGGGGGCCATCCTTAGAGCGATCCGATTGCATAGACCAGTCCGTTGTTTTCTATAGACCATGAAATCTAATCCTAGCAAATGAGATCCGACCTGCAACAGCAATGCCTCTGCGTGCAGTTCTCTCACAGAATCATCAGTGCATGTGTGTGTGTGTGTGTGCCTGTGTGCACGCACACAAGAAGGGAAACGGCTCCTCAATCTATTCAGGACTCATGAATGACTATCAGCAAGCTGTCAATCACGCCTAAGAAGTCTTCATCTATATTTAATCTGATTGCAGCACTGCTGCTGGATCCCTGCCTTCCCCAAACAGCCACCTCCCAGCTGGATGGCACATCCCAGAATCTCCCGGACAACATGACTGGGAGTTGTATTTCAACACATCTGGAGTCAACCTGGTTAGAGGCATCTATTCTGCAATTACTAAAAGACAGTCAAAATCAAGTGCTCTTTGCCCTAGGTTCACAAGGACCAATGGAGAGGCTACTCAGCAGGGACATCATCTATTTCAGAAGGTTTATTTATTTTATTTATTGGACTTATATATCAAGTGCTCTTTGCCCTAGGTTCGCAAGGACCAATGGAGAGGCTACTCATCAGGGACATCATCTATTTCAGAAGGTTTCTCAACCCATTAAAGATATTTTAGTTCGGGCATTGCTTGCCTTATGTATATTAGTATATATAATCAGCATATTAAACATAAAATATATTCATCATGATTTTGTATGAAGCTTTCATCCAATTACTTGATGAGGTTACCCACTCATCCATCAGTTCTGGAATGGCCACTTTGGAGAAATGAGCCTGAATTAATAAAGCTCTTCTCCTGTTTTTACATTAAGAGTTAAATGGACTGATTTCAGACCAACCACACAAGCCTGAACAGGTGTTCGGGCATTGCTTGCCTTATATATATTAGTATATCTAATCAGTATATTAAACATAAAATATATTCATCATGATTTTTGTATGAAGCTTTCATCCAATTACTTGATGTTATCCACTCATCCATCAGTTCTGGAATGGCCACTTTGGAGAAATGAGCCTGAATTAATAAAGCTCTTCTCCTGTTTTTACATTAAGACTTAAATGGACTGATTTCAGACCAACCACACAAGCCTGAACAGGTCCTGTATTGTGCACGAGTCACCTTTTCCCTCCTGGAATCATGTTCTGTGCTTTACTTGCATTTATCAACCCACTCACTCCTGCTTCTGGAGTTGGAAAGCAGGAAGACGAGCAACATCAACAGAGCCTCCTACTGCAAATTCAGTTTCCAAAGAAGTACCCATGCTAGTCTGTTTCAACATGTTTGCTAAAAATTACACGAAGACTCTCATGTCCACGGAATCAGTATCCACTGACTCACTTATCCACTAACTGAAAATATTAAAAGAAAAATCCTATAAATATCTAATACTAAAGATGACAGTGGAACCAATTACCTTGAGAATGCCCCCAGTGTTGGCAAGTGCTCCAACACTAGAGACATTCAAGAGAAACTTAGACAATCACCTGGAAGATATCCTTTGGTTTGTATTCCTGCAACAAGCAAGGGGATTGGATTTGATGGTCTTATAAGCCCCTTCCAACTTCACTATTCTATGAAGTTACCAGAACTGGCCATTAGAGGGAGCCAGAGACTGTGCTACGTAGTACAGTGTTTGCTAGCAAAATATATTTCTAGGTTGTCATTGCCAGAACTGGCCACTAGAGATTATGCTATGTATTGTATAGCATTCATCATAAAAACAGTGTTCTCTATTATTCATGTTTTTCAGCATCCACGAGGGGGTTTGGAACCAATCCCATACAGATACGGGGGTCCTACTGTAGAAGGGAAAAGGAAAGGGATGGGAAGAATCAAAGGATATACTGTAATTCACTTCCTCAGACACATATGGATCAAAACCACGTGTCTGAGGAACTAAATGCTGTTCCATTAAAGCTCACACTGAAACAAATATCCTAGTTATCACAACATTTTGGCTCTTGCTTCCTCCCCCTCTTTCCCCCCAAACCTTCATTTGGTCAACATATCACAGAGCTGGCAAAATTCCCAGTCAAGTCTTGGTGGGGCAGGAGAACAGCCTGGGAACTATCTATGCACTATCATTCATAGTTCTCATGCAGGCTCCTGTTAGTAAACTTTTACCAAGTGCTGTCTAGGCAGCACAGAACCAGGCTGTGAGTGGACAGCTGGGAGGAAGGGGAAGATAAAGGGGAGAATCCTTTTAGACACCTTACGGTCCAGAAGCTTTAGAAATGCACCAGGCAATGGAAAAGGGGAATAACATTGATCAACAGTAGAAGTGAAGAATACAGAGTAACATATCTAATGTACAGTATATGATACTTAGGACTATAAATATAAACCCCCCTCTCATTCTCTCTCTCTCTCTCACACACACACACACACACACACACACACTATTTCCCCTTCCCAGAAGCAAGTGGCTATTTGCAAGCCTGGATGAGACCCAACAAGGCCCAAGAGGAAAAAGGCGGGGAGAAGCTATGTAGATGTTTACCTGAGCTCCTGTCGTTCTTTCATCCAGTCCTGTAGCACCTTCTGGGATTCTGGGTCATGGAACATCTTTTAGGAAAGAAATCAGCGGGTTAGGCCTGTATTGACTGATCATTTCTCCAAACACTGAATTACATTCAAGAAAGAAATTTGTTTTCCCCTGTGCACAGAGACCCCACCGCACGGTACCTCACTAGAACTCTACCACCTCTAGACTATGAGTAATAGGCCTTCAGGTCAAATGCTGCTAGACTACAACTCCCATCCAACCCAGACAGGAAGGCCATTGATGGGCAATGCTGGAAACTGCAGTCAAACATCATCCAGAGGACCACCCTTAGCATATCCTAATTTGGAGCATGTTATTCCAACATTGTTCCCAGTATCCTTAGGGCTCTTAATTCTCCCCACCCCATGAATAAATCGGCATCCTCTCTCCATCCTCTTTCCAGCTATCAAGCTGCTCCACCGTTCTCTCTCCCCTCACCTGCATGCGTTCCAACAGCCCAGTCAAGGCCTGCAGCCAGGTGAGTGCTTGTGAGTACTGCTCCGTGTTAACCATTTTTGTCTCTGTTTCCAGTTCAGGCACTATGGCCCCCGTCCGCCAGCCATGTCGCAGCATCAAGTCCTAAAGAGTGGGAGTGCAAGGCTTAATGAACAAAACTTTAGCAATCACCACACTTCAAAACTCAGCCCCACCAGCTTTCCAGGGCTGGGAAAAGAATCTGAAAGCATTGTTCCCAGGTCCCCTGGCACCATCACCCATTCAGGCCTCAGAGAGAAAGGCTAATAATTCTCACCGCCAAGTCACTGTAAAGATGGTCACCAAAATAGAGAACTTTGGATCCTCGCCAGCCTGTGAGACGCAGGAAGTCGAAGAGATTACCCTAATTGGGGGTGTGGGGGGAGGAGGAGAAATGGCAATGAAAAGAGAGTAATTAGAAAAGGACAAGACAGTCTGAACTTGTTTAAAATGGCTTCTGTAGATACAGGAATAAAAAAGATACACAAAGGTTACCAAAGGAGGAGGAAACTTCCTCAGAAAGATGCAGAATCTCTCAAGGTAACCTTGCAAAACCGGAAGGCCTCTTATGGGAAAGGTGCCTCCATGGGGCCCACTCCTCTTTGTTGGTGCTTGCTCCTCTCTCCGTGGAACTAATCCACCCAGAGGGGCAAAGACTTCACTACGCAGAGGGAGAACGCACAGAAAAGAACAAGCCAGGGCTGCTCCTACCTACCCGAGCTCAGCACGTGCCACTGCTTGTCCTCCAAGTTGGAGAGAGGTAGGGATTGGGCAAATAGTGACACGGAAAAGGAGCGCCTGGTCAGTGGCTCTGACAGCTGGTGCCCTTCTGTGACATGGGTGTCGGCCGACATCCAGAGATTGTAATTTTCACAACATCGGCTTGTGGTGCCCCCTTTCCCTCAGCTCTGCACCAATCGAGCAACTCTCAAGAGCAAAGCCACTGAGCCCCCTTTACCAATAACACTCCACCTTAATCCTTCCTTTCTGATTATTTGAACCTAGAGGGTGATACCAGAACAGACCAGCTTCTCTTATTCCTTTGGGTCTCTGATTTTAATTTTTTTCTCCAAAACTTTCCTTTCCTCCTCTCACTTTGGAAGGTGCACATATTATTTAGTGAAGGATATCAACCAGAATTTTAACATTTAATTCTTGTGGCGTTATTATTGCCGAGAGTTTGACAACAAGGGGTTATTATTGGGTAGATATGTTTTTTACATTAATTTGGCTGTCTAAATTAATAGACCTCACTCCCCCCCCCAAAAAAATCCAATTGTCAGGAAATTCTGTCACCCACAGTCTATTTACTTACCTGTTTGTACACTTGCCCTTTTTCTAGCTTATTTATTTTGTCCCACTGCAGGTCTCCATTACTGTCTAGTCGCCGGAAAGGTCTGAAGAGGAAAACAAGTAACAGGAGAGCAAAAGAACAAAATGGTTACCTAGATCCCAACTTTGAACTTCAAACTGACGACATTATTCAGCTACCTCAGTTCACCCACTATTACTACTTATTAAAATAGCGTGTATGATGATGAGCTGCTTATGTGTCTTTGAAATTCCTGGATGAATGAATTAACAGTGCCAAAGGCCAGCAAGACAGGAGCCTTGACTTCCATTTGATACTTGTGCAGCATTTAAAGCAGGGGTGAGCAATCCACAGCCTTCAGTCTAGATGTTCCTCCACTACAACTCCCATCAGACCAGCAGGGGTGAGGGATGATGATGGAAGTAGCATTCTAACAACATTTGGAAGGCCAGCAAGAGCCCCCCCCCTTGACTTAAATAAAGTGTTTTGTAGAGAATTTAAGAAATCCCTGTCTACGGGCTTGCAGTTTACAATGTCAATAAACCACAAGGAGGAAGGAAAGAAGACAGGAAGCAAAAACAGAATATACAGAAATCATGCATAATTTAGAAAGCACCTCAAACTCATAGAGGGACAACTATTACGTCTCAATGTGAGTTTTCTATTCCCTTTCCCTTTTTAATGTCACTGAAAAGAAAGCAGAAAAATATATAAGGTAGACAAGCAAAACATCTGAAAAAAATATTTTAAAAGAATGGGGGAGCAGATTTTTCAATGTATGGAGAAGGAAGCAAGCCTAGAAGAACGAACAAAGAAAAAAGCAAATCCAGCAAATGAATATTTGGGCCTCTGATAAGTGCTGTGCAAAAGTATGATATGAAAGATCAATTGGTTTTTGTCCTGAAGGCTGCAAATCCTCCCATTTTTACATCATTCAGTGTATCCTGTTCCACCAAGCCACATACATACCAGCAACATTCACCTTGTGCTGATTGGTTCCTGTGTCTACTCTACACAAACTGAGGAAGAATAGTGAAACTGTGAGGCAGGCAAAGTTACGGTTTACTAATTCCCCCAAATCCAGGATTGTACAAACTGCCCACACAAACGTGCTTTAACTTATTCTGCTAAATCTATGAGCCAGAACTCAACCTTGGGGACTTCAGCCCAGCGCTGCACTCACTTGACACAATCATTGAAGAAATGAGGTTTGTCTGCTTGGACGATGACCACATCAAAGAAATCCCTCCAGTCTTTGCCCACCATGTACCGCATCCCTTTGTCACTGGAGATGTACAAAAAGAGAGCAGGAGAAGTGATGTTATTGATATAGACAGTAGGGGTCACTGTGCCACAGGGAAAAAAAAAGGAAATCCTGGCTCTCTCTGTGGATTCTCACAACCTATGTCAAAGAGGGAGAAAGCTAACAAGAGAAGACAAACAAAACAAAACAAAAAAACTTGAGGGCTTACAATCCCATTTTCCTCTGCACTGATTCTGCTTAGCAGTTTTTCTCCCTACCTGTCCAAAAGACTCTCCAATGGGTAATCATCGGGCTAAGCAGCCAACAAAGTTAAAGACCAAACACTGAACAGTTTGATGCAAATTTGAAGCAGTGACCGAACGATAATGGTTCAAAGGATGGCAACTAGGTTAAGAGACAGCAACAATGCTGGGGGGTGGGGAAATACCCAAAGACATATTTACCCCACAGAAAAACTCTAGGGCTGGATTTTCCCCACAGCCCAACCTATTCATGTCACCCCTTCAATAGGGTTTTGGTGCCTTGCAGAAACAGGTCTTGTAGAATTAATTCAATCCTGCTAATTTACAAAGTGCTATGGAGTATAAAATATTGACCTCTGAAATGCTCCTTGATATTAGTTACATTTATATCCTGCCTCTTCTCCAGTGAGGTTAGGGCCGTGTGCATGGCTCTCCTACCCCCCCATCCATTTATCCTCACTACACACCTGTGAAGAAGGACAGGCTGAAAGTCTGTGACTGGCCTGAGGACATCTAGGAAGTTTCATGGCCTAATGGGGATTTGAACCCAGCACTCTAACCACTGTAGCATATCAACTTTTGAGTGGGTTTTAAGTTCCCAAAAGGCAGCCACATTATTTCTGTTGTAAAAGAAAAAGTTATGGATTCCGGTCACACACCTTGACAACTAGCACACTCTTTGTAGTGTAACATTTTGTGGTTCAGAGCACTGTTCCCAAACCTTGGGCCTCCAGATGTTCTTGGACTACAACTCCCAGAAGCCTTCACCACCAGCTCTATAGACCAGGATTTCTGGGAGTTGAAGTCCAAGAACATCTGGAGGCCCAAGGTTGGGGACCACTGGTTTAGATTCAGAAGTAACCTTCTAGCCCCTCAAGAGTAAATTCAAAGGTTCGAAAAGGTCAGGAATGGTACACCAAGGCTCAAAGACCTTAAGAGTTTCCACCAATAGGTCAGGGTGTTCCTTAAGTTCTACTTCATAACAGAAGAGCAACTTTTGAGCAGACTGCCATTTTATTCTGTTCTCAAAGGCCACGAAAAGAAAGAGGGAGCCAGGAAAGGGCTGATATCCAAGCCTATTTCTAACTCACACAAAGCTGAAAGGGCTGTTGGTGATGAGGAAGAGCTTCTTGCCACTTTTGGCCAGGCGGTGCAACACAGCGTAGGTTTCATCCCCACGCAAAATGTACTTTTCTGCAAGAGAGGAGGAGAAAGACCATTAAAGACCGCTCTGACAGCAGGCAGAATATCTGGCAGAATTTTACTAGGGCCCAGCGATTAGGAAACATGCTTGTCTGAATTGTGGAAGACTATAAAATTTTGTATTAAATTCTCATAATTATCAGGTTTTCTCGCTTATGATGTTGTTTATGAATTGTTAGCGACGTCACTGGAACCAGTTGCATTGGCTCTGGACTATTTCAGTGATGTGGAGAGAGGGGGGTTGCTGGTTTGGTAACAGCCTATCCTCCATATTATTTTACCCAGGCTTCGTGCTCTGGAGAGGACACTCCACCTTCGTGTACAGCATCAAAACACTAGAAGCTGTTCCAAGTCCTCCATACAGAGCACGTTACCATAGTCTCTGGAGACTGAAGGATGCTTATGATATTCTGCACGGGTTTTTACATTAACAATTCAAACAAAAGTTATATAAAAAGGATTCCGTGCAGGAAAACCAAGGAGGCAAATTTAACTATTAAAGTGTTCTATTTTTTTTCAAAAAAGCTAATTTTCTACTAAAACCCATAACAGTCTAGCACAAGATCCAACTCCCCCCCAGCCCATTCTCAAGCCAGTATAGTTAGGAACAGGTTAGGTGGGTAAGGTGGAATGTTGTTTGCAAAGTTATTACTTTTGCTTCTAAACTTAAGCCAAGCTGTGCAAATATTTGCTCCATTGGAATGCAGAAAAATAAGCACAGAATATAGTGTTATGTGCAGAATTTAATCTCTTGAAAATGTGGTTTTCTTCTTTGCATTTTTAAAGCAATATTCCAGCCCTATGACTGTGAGCATATGTTTGACAGCACATCATTAATGCTGTATGCAGTCTCAGAAATCAGGGATTTGGGTGAAAAAGATTTTCAATGGCTGGGGCTCCTATATCTTGCCCTCTCCTGATACTAGAAAAACTGGAATCATGCAAAATGAAGTTAAAGGTAAAGGTTCCCCTTGACATTTAGTCCAGTCGTGTCTAACTCTAGGGCACGGTGCTCATCCCCGTTTCCAAGCCATAGAGCCTGTGTTTGTCTGTAGACAGCTTCCGTGGTCATGTGGCCAGTGCGACTAGACATGGAACACCATTACCTTCCCAACATGGTGGTACCTATCTATCTACTTGCATGCTTTAGAACTGCTAGGTTGGCAGGAGCTGGGACAAGCGATGGGAGCTCATTCCGTTGCATGGATTCGATCTTATGACTGCTAATCTTCTGACCTTGCAGCACAGAGGCTTCTGCAGTTTAACCTGCAGTGCCACCACATCCCTGTCATTGCAAAATGAAGAGATGCATAACCTATCCTAATGTATAAATTAGGATAGGTTATACAGGTTGCAGAATTCAGCTTTCTTGATGCAGAATAGATTTGGCCCAGACATTGAATACACAGATACAGAGAATACTGACTTAGTTCACTTACTTAATCTGCCCATTTCATTTCTGCTGAATTGTTCCATATATGTTGGACAGCATTTCACTTCCGGAACACCTGCCTAACTAATGTGTATGTGCACATGGCTAATGTGTGAAGATTCCTGCCTTGATCGATGGCACAGGACTAGAAGGATCTTTGATGCCAGTTGCAGCCCTCCAGTTCTCCCATCCTCAACTTCATGGCAGATACTCACCCAGATCCTGCATAATCCACTTGTACATAAAGCCTTTTATATGGACATCGCGGATGGCGTCCTGTTGATGACATGGGGGAAGTGTTTTTTTAGAATCCAGAAACAAGTTTACACAAGAACTGCCTTCTTCTGGATTGCATTTCTAATGTTTCAGCCATGCACTACCCCAGAAGTCTCTTTCAGGAGGGGGCAGGTTAAAAAAGAAGACCACAAAAGCCAGTCAGAGTGCCAGATTGGGACTTGGGAGATCCCAGCCATAAAACTTACGAATTAAAAACCTGTTGCACAGTTATGCTGAAGGCAGAACCTTTAGTGGCAATTTGTTGTAAATTAAGAAATCTCCATAGACATTTACCTGTTGTACCCCGTGTCATGTGACTTGGCACACAACTGATAATGCCTGTAAGAGATTTCTTACTTTATGGCAATTCAGCTTGTAATGTTGCACGTTTTGTATAATTGCATAACAGGATTCAGCAACTGTGGGCCAATCACCTTCTCACAGCCGGACCTAAAAGGAGATGTTTCAGCTCTATGACAGAAAATATAACAAATACATAGCAACTCTGTTCCTTTCCTGCTTTGCTTTCTCCCAAAGTCAATCTCCGGCCCCAAGATGGAGAGGGCAAAAAGCAGAAACTGCCCCACTCAACTTCCTGCATCTCACTGCTAAGTCTGAGTAAGGTTGGGAAGCAATGCTATTTTTTTTAATGCTGTGCCCTTGTTCTGTCCCAAACAAGTTGCCTCTGCCTGCCATTTCTGTGATATAATCTGAGAAACCAGAAATGACAATGCAAAGACTATGAGTGAGATTCCCAATTAAAGGAGAAGTTTTCTTGGGGAGGGGAATCCAGTGTTGTGGGGGTGTCCATTCTTCCCCTTGCTCTGTTTTCCAGATGAGGAGCAAAACTTGAAGCTGCTTTTTGCCTTTTATAACAAAAATAATTGTGAGACCTTTAAGACTAACAATGCCTCTGAGGTAAATGGATTGTAATCCATGAAAGCAGCTAAACCTGTTAGTTTTTAAAATGGATTAACATGGTTATCTCTTTAAAAATGTTTTGCCTTTTGTTGACTCATTTACAACTGTAAAACTGTGGAGTATAAAAGTAAGATGAAGAGAGGCGTTTTTTTTTCCTCCAGTCATGAAGAGAAACAGTAACTTGCTTATTGTTTTCCTTCATAGTCAAACAGTTGTTTGCAAAGTGAGGCAGGATTTAAGAAACACAAGAATGATTTCTTTTTTTTAAAAGTGTCATCCCCCTTATCTGATTTAAGAAACCCAAGGCTCTTTTTATTTGTTTAAACAAAAATGTAAGATATCTTGTCTTTGTTTATTACCATTTCCCAACAGAGGCTCCTTTACTGGCTTGTCTTTCTCTCTCTCTCCCTCTCTCCCTCTCAATATTGTTCAAAACTCCCTTCATTCATGCTCATTTTATGGCCAGCCAGAAGATTGACTTGATTCTTCCAAGGTTACTTTTTTTTTTTTTGGACTTTTGGGGCTGTAGTCCAAAAAGGTAATTTCCCCCCCAAGTTCTGTGAGGCACTTCTTTCAACTCTGCTCTCCACCCTCTTTCTTGAAACACCCCCAAACACTGTCTAACCCAAACCATAGCTTTCGTGTTCTCCCAGAACTGCCCCCCCGCCCCGCTCCCTGCAAGCTAGCTCATAACCAGCCCAAGGCCAGGGAACCATCAGAATCCATGGTCTGTGTCTTGCTGCCTGAAGGGGAGACCAAGGGTCTTGTGGCTGGGATAGCCGAGAGAGAGTCGAGCCACAGAGTGTGTACGTGCGGTGCAGCCAGCCAGAGGACACCGCAGTGCTATTTATGGAGATGCCAGCTCTGACCTCTTGCCCCGGAGAGAGGAAGGGACAGGCAGGCTATGGAGAGTCGCCACGGGGGGGGAGGGGCATTTTTCAAGTTTCCGTAAATCTAACCAACAACAGGTTACTCCAAACACAGGCAAGGCAGTGACAAGGGGGACCCCTCAGCAAGGGAGCAGCTGGGTTCCTAGATAAGACTCCCAGACAGCTAAGCACGTGGGGCCCCTCCCAACTCTGTACCCTTTCTCCGCTCAGGACGGCCTGTTCTGCTGCCGCTGCCACCACCGCCAGACGTCACTCCCTCCCCCAACAATAACAACAGAGCAGAGATAGAGGGAGATCAACATAGCCCTTGGAGGCACTCGAAGACCCTTTGCCGAGAACGCGACTCAGTCTGCCTGAATCTGCCTGCAGGATAAAGCCACACAGCACAGGAAGCACACACACCCCCCGCCCAGAAAGCATCTCCCCCACCCCCTGCTTCCTGTCTGAATGAGGAAGAAAATCCCCAGTTCTTAGTACCAGCCAAGGGCTTCTCTCCCCAAGCCATGACACAGCAAGCCAGCGTCCCAGAACACACAGCAGCGAAGAGAGAGTATTTGGGAGGGAGAGCCAAGGGGAACGTAAAACACCCACCCCCACACACACACACCGTAACGTCTTTGTAAAGATGGATGGGGTCATAATCAATGTCGTTGCTGATGAAGAAGTCATTGGCTACAGCCAGGAGAGTCATTTCAGGCAAGGAGAAGATGTCCATGAACTGTTTTATGGCTGGGCCCTGAATGGAGGGAGACAAATGAATGTCAGGACAGTCAAGTTTTTTCCCCTCCCTTTTAGAGCAGCAGTTCCCGTTCAGAAGCCTTGTAATTTTCCCACAGTTTACTTCTGGATGGTAAACTGCGAAATTCACTACTCTGCAGATTTAGGTCGGCAGGCACCACGGAGGTTTTATCCAGGTCAAGCTAAGCCTTTGAGCTCTCATCATCATTATGTTTATTAGTATTATGCTTTTCTATGATAAAATCATGTTCAGAACTTGAAAAAATAAAATAAAAAATTGAAGGACAACTTCCAGAATTATGGTGGCTGGGAGTTCCTGGAAAGTGCAGTCCAAGAAAATAACTTTTCCATACCCTTGGGGAGGCATGCTCAAAGGATGATTATACGGAGGACAATAAAAAAACTAATTCCCAAACAATTAGGCAACAATTACGCTCAACATTTTAAACAGACATATAAATAGGCTAAACATCACAGCCATAAATACACAGTGGGATTTGAATACAGTAAGGCCCGACAAAAGAAATATACCCCTGTAACAGATAGTGGGGTGGGGAATACACAGTACCCAAAGCAGAATAATGCTTCAAATACAAACCTGGGCATTTTATTTTATTTATTTATTTATTAACATTATTAGATTTCTACCCTGCCCATCTAGACCAAAGGTCTACTCTGGGAGGCATCAATGTCCCTTCCCAGAAACAACTTTCAAAATCAAGCAGGAGGAGGGAACAAATCAACATCCAGGTTGACAGTGATAATCCCTTTTAGGATGGCAAGATAGACATAGATCAGCTGCAGCAGAGATTAGCAATGGTATCGCTTAAGGACTGCAGTTCCCAGAATCCCCTAGCCAACACAGCCTATCTCAGCTAGTCTTAGAAGGCATATTTTCCAAGCTACGGGTGTACTGAAATAAATATAAGACCAGAAGAGGGCTAAACTGGAGGCTAAACCCAAAAACAATTTCCTTTCCCTTTTCTTCTGAGGATAAATGGCATAAATGTGCCCTTTAACCTTAGGATTTTTTTAGTTTTAGATTTTGGTTAGAACTACAAGGGAAAGCTCAAATCAGGATTTGGGAAAGTTTGGGGTTCAGAGGGAAGGTTAACCTTTTCCTCCCTTGAGAGGACAAAAATACACACAAATGGGAAGCTTCGATTCATACAACAGTTGTGAAGAAGGGTCACAAATTCTACAAGCATGGCGAAGAAATGTTAAGCCTCCTTTCTGCTGTCCTAAACCTTACTGACACTCACCCCTTGTTCCAACAAGGCTGGTTGTTTTTTTTTAATATACATGTATCACTCACATACACAATGCCGAAATATATATTGTACATAACATGCCAATTGACTCTGAGACCCTCAAAAGACATTACAAGCACAGGACAAAACTGGTATCCACAAACATGAGGACTAAAAACAGTCAAAACTGAACCATGTTCCTCAGTACAACAACTGCCACATGAATGTGCAAGCTGATAACTGGAAGTGAACTTGTTATGAATATTGTGCAGGCTTGCCTCTGAAAACACACAGCTCTGCTCTTAAAGGGTCATGAACCAAGTGGATGGCACTGAGCCATTATATGGAGTAAGCCAGTTACGAGTGCCATTGGGAAACTATTATTAAGAGCAGTACAGACACACATATCTATACACACCATGTTTTCTGAACACGGTGTACAGACTTCTTTAATCCACGAAGCTCTCCTCTGAAGTCACTCAGTCGTCAACAACAACCAGTCACTCACAGTAACTCCCATGTCACACAAAGTTTCTGGGACAAGGCACAATATCCAACAGTTGATGCAAATCTCTGAAGATAGTGCACTTTCCCAGAGTGTGGCAATGTTATTTATTTTTAACAATGAAAAGGTATCTCAAAGTAGCCATGCTGGGTGAGGAATTCTAGCAGCTGTAGTCCCAAAGAGGATTTCCAAGTTCTAATGACGTTTTTTTAGCTGATTCCCCTGCCCACAGCTTCAAAACCTCGTAGGCTACTTGGCAGCAGGACGTATGAACATCTAGAGCTGCCTCTTACTGAGCCAAACTGCAGGCTGGTCCAGCCCAGAATTGTCTCCTTTGATGGCAGCACTTCAAGAACTCAGGCAGACACCCTTCCTGTCACTCGTTGCCCAAGTCTTTTCTATGCCAACCTACTTAAAACCTCTGTATGGTTTCACTCTTATTTTTTTTTAAGTCCATTATCAGCTATAGTACTGCACTTGGATTCCTCTGTACATTCTGTGCAAAACCTCCTTACAACAACACAACAGAGAAACACACACGCACACACACAAACACACCGTGCTGGCACACAGCCCACCACCTCACCCAGCAACTAACAAGCTGTACCAGCGCTCACAAGAAAACCTACCTTTCCATAGAAACCACTGGCCTGATGCAGGGGGATGTGATGGGTCCCATCATACATCTCAAGCACCTCATCATCTGGAACAGGTTTCAAGCCCCTGCAGAGAAGTTGGGTCAGAGGCTTCAGTACTTTATTGCATGCAAGGTGGATGGAGATTGCAGAGTGCAAGTCCCACCATCCCAAATCGGCACAGCGAGAAGGAAGGAAGACTGGGAACTGTAGTTCAGCAGCATCTGCTGTCCACCCTTGGCCGAACCCTGCTTTACAAGGGCAGATGTGCAGCAGTAAAAATATTTATGTTAGTGCAACTCTAGTGCACATGATGCTGGTGCTCTGCCAAATGGGAGGCATTAACGAGGAGCTGTCAATCCCTCTTTTCTTCATACTGAAGAAGGAATTTCATTCTTGTTCACCTTGTCTCACTTCCACTGGTCATTTACTTATGAATATGTATAAGTAGTGTAAGTATTTATTATCCACAGTGACAAGACGGTCCTGGCATCCATGCTTCCTTTGGCTCAGCCTTTCATGGCCCTTGGGACCCTGTGAGAGGGACTGAAGGAGCTGGCGAGATTGTCAGAAGGAGGGGAGGTTTGAGGAAAGAATGATCAAGGCAAAAAGCAGTATTTGGGACTTCAGGAAAAAGGTAAAAGAGACACAATTGTAACAAGAGACTCCATGTTTAGCAGTCAAACAACCTAGCATTGCTTATGTTGTTTTCACGCCTTGAAAATAAAGGCCAATTGTTTGGGGTTTTAATCAATATCTGAGTCTCTTTGGTCAGGAAAGCTAAGGAATTCAAAGCACTCACCAAAGGGGCACAGAAAACATACAACACTCTGTCTTTTTTGGCGATTCTACTTTATTTCCTTTAGGGAACCCTGAAGGCTGCGTTCCAGAGAAAATAAAGTATTTTGGGCATAGAAGCCCCAGGCAAAAATAGTACCAAAGCACAGTATTGATATTTCCCATGAAATACATGGTGCATAGAACTTGCTTGCTAACCAGGAGTAACACAACCAGAATTTTCTTTTAACCAGTTTGCAAGACAATGAATGGACGTGTGAACACATCCCAGCAGGGTGAATTTGATTTAAATCAAACTGATTAAAATTGTGATTAAAATCAATTTTTTTAAAAAAATCATTGATTTTCATCCACCCTACGTCCCAGTAATCAAGGTTAGTTCCCAATCTGCTGGAAGCCAGTTTTTTGTTTAAACAAGACTCAAGAAGGTGATTGTCAGAATCATAGCTTAAGAAATAGTTTACAGCATAAGAAACAGAATTTCATCTTAAGAAACAGAAGAGTAAAAAAGTAAAAAAAAAAGTTGTAAAAAGTTATGGAACAGACATGAATTCCAAATTTCATCCTCCCCCCACCCCCAACCCATGGGGAATTTTCCTCCATGGCAGCCATCCGGCAAATACTTACCGGTATACTGTGCCTAGCTGGATGTAGTGAAAGGCATCTATTTTCATGAGCAATCCCTACAGAGTAGGAGGAACAGAAAGATAGCAGTCAGCAGATCAGGATCCAGAAATCTCTGCTTCCAGATGTATTTAGCTCCTGACAAAAGAATTGGGCAACCTGGTGTCCTCCAGATGTTTTTGGACTGCAACTCCCAGAATCTCTGGTGAGTGGATAGCGCTGATGGAAACTGCAATCCAAAAAAATCTGAAGGGCACCAGGAAACTGGACACCAATCATGTAAATAAGCTCCTAAGCACTCTGTTGCCCATTTGTGCCAAATGGTAACCACAATGAAAAAAAAAAAACAAATAACCTCTTTTCCAGACTTATAAATTACCTTCAACCAATTATGTGGTGGTGATTAAACTGCATGCTAGTTGGCCAGACTTGTGGATATTTAATAACAACACTAATCAGACGGTATTAAGACATTTCCCACCCTCTCTATGCTTCAAATGCAGTTTCTTAGTAATCCTTACATAAGACTTGCAAGCAAGGCCAGGACTATCCCCTATAACACAGAGGGAAGAGCTAGGACTGTGAGATTCATAGAAAAGCATTTTGGCTAGAGCCACCTGATTAAGTCCACAGCCAAATAAAATCCAGCCTCACACTTCATGCCTCATCACACTTCTGTATTCTACCCTCCCATCTGCTCCCAAATCGTCATCATTATATGCCATCAAGCCAATTCTGATTTATGGCAACCCTTTCCAGGGTTTTCCAGGTACACAATACTCAGAAGTGGTTTACCTTCTTCTGGGGACAATTTTGGGGCTCTGCAGCTTGCCCATGGCCACACAGCCTGGCTTTTATCGCAGAAGGCACCGTGGAGAATCGAACTCCCAACCTCTGGCTTCACAGCCAGATACCTAAAGTAGTGAGTTGTCCAACCAACTTCTGATTTTCTAGATTTTAATCCCTGGCCTCTCCCAAACTATTCTTAAAAGCACACAAAGGCTTTATGTCTTTCTCACCTTGGCAATGTCATAATGTAATCCTCTAATGGCAAAGTTCGGCCAATATTCATACTTCAAGATGCCCTTTGGATACTGATGGGACAGAACAAAACAGAGGATTAGCATAGCGCTTAGTCAATAGGAAAACATTTAAAGTATTTTAACATAGGGGACACTTTGCAAGTACTTAAAGTGATTGTTCTTCTTAACTTATTTAGCACCAGGTAATAGCCTGGAGCCAGGCTATTAATGTACACTTATAGAAGTTTCCAGGGAGAGGTACAAAACAGCAAGGAAGACAAATTTCCACCCTGCCATTGAGGGCCCAACAATAACCAAAAGGTCATCCATGTTTGTTGTTCTTGTGTTTGCTCTGTATAAAGAAAGAAGGGGGCTTCCTTCTTATCAATAGCAAAAACGCACACAGACAAAATGTGCTCACATAGTCCATCATTTAAGACAAAAAGTTAAAATTTTAAAAAGCAAAAAGAAAGAAAAGAAAGAAAGAAATAGAAAAGCAAGAGACAAAAATGTTGTGGCACCTCTAAGACTAACTGCTATTAAAATAACCAGCTTTTGTGGACAACTTCCTCAGACCACTTTATCCGTGAAAGACTTGATAATGTAAAGACTTTATAACATACCAATTCACCTTTAAGGTGCCATAACTGTTTTTAAAGCTTAGGGTTTTTTTCTGTTTTTGTTTCTTGTTCTTTTGTCTGATCTCCTTGCACAGGCTAATGGGACTACCTCTTCGAAAGCTGCATCCATCCTTTCAAGCATTTTTCTTCTCAGCCATACTTACTTTGAGTATCTCCAACAAGCAGCAGAGCACGACAAGGTTAAGATGCGAGACTACTGAACTTCTGCTACAAAAACTCTCCTTCCGAAGTAGAAATTAGACACCCACTTTACACATGAACAAGGGAAGCATGTGAACAAATCAACACAGCCTTATTTTGTCTCACATCTTGTCTGGCCCTCAAGCTTTTAAGTGGTCAATGTTGCCACTCCACATGAGGTGGAGATTGCAAAATCCCAGCTCAGATGTCTCAGCCAATGGGAACAAAGCGATCCCAGCTCTCAGAATTACCTTATATTGCTCCACAAGGATTTCCCGAGCAGTGTTGTAGATCTGGGAGTGGAGGGCAGGTGAGTACAGTGCCAGTGTATAGTCATAGTCAAAGCCATAGACTCCAATAGTGTTCAGCGAAATTTCATTGTTGGCGTAGATGGTGGAAGGGTTCAAAAGATTGCAGACCCCTGGTGGGAGCAAATCTAAAGGAGGAAACAGAGCCATCGAAGAGGCAAATAGTTACTGGACAATACCCAAACTGATTCTCATTCCATGACTAGACTGCTTTCTATGGTGCCTCTCCCAAGAAAAAGAAATATGGAAGCAACAGAAACATAAGGGAATCTCTGACAGTTTTCTTATTGGTTTCCCTATAAAAGCAAGAGTTTAAGAAATAGGAATTCAGGTATTAAGGGAAAATTCATCCCCTCTGAACCCTGTTCAACCTAGTCAAGATTATTTTCTCAAATGCAGCCTACAAAGAAAGTGGAGTTTCGCTCTCTCCAAGGCTGTGAAATTGTATCTAGGGTGAGCCCTTCAGGCAGGAGCATGTGATCAAATATTCCTTCACCAAATCATCATCCTTGTTCATAGAAAACTAGGATGCGGGGAAGAAGAGTCCCAACCCATTGCCCCCGCCCCCGAATATATGCAATGATAACAAAAGAAACATGCCTCCAACAATATGCAGTGCTCCTTTTCTCACCCATGAGCAATCACAGCCAGTTTCCAGGCACATGAGATTAAGGAACAAAGCATCCAGAGCAAACATGATTATGGTTCCCAAGCAAACTGGGTACTCTACCTTAAAAAAATTTGGAAATTAAGAACCTGCCCCTTGGATTTTTCCCCTTCCTCTGGTCTAAATCAGCAATATGCACTTGTACCAGTACAGAATACAGAATCATCTTATTAGGCATGGCACACCTCCAAGTCTCATAGGTTTCAGACAAGAAACACTTATCTGAAAAAGCAAACTCCCTACTCATAGGCTGGATGAAATGACTGCATGGTTGTACAGATCTATCAATAATCCTTACCCATGGTAGCTCAGTGGAACCTCAGTTTGTTTGTTTAATTAAAAATAATAGTAAAATTCATATGCAGGAGCCAAGTACCTGAGAATAGCACCAGGAAGACTTCATGGAGTAGTGGATGTTTCCCAAAAAATATTCCCTGCTCCCTTCATTTTTAGTTGGAGAATAAACCTTTGTATGGGATTGCTAACTAGGGCTGTTTACAGGAATCATATATTCCCCCCCCCATCCAATTATAGCAGCTCTACTGGCTGCTGATCTATTTCTGGGCAGAATTCAAAGTGTTGGTTCTAACCTACAAGCAATCTCAAGGACCGCATCCTCCTTTATGAGCCCACTTGAGTGTTATGATAATCAGGAGAAGCTTCTCTCTTGGTCCTGCCACCTTCACAGCTGCATTTGGTGGGGACATAGGAGAAAGCCGTCTCTGTTGCTGCTCCCAGACTTTGGAACTCCCTCCCACAGGGGACCAAACGAGTTCCATCTTTTCTGTCCTTCCGCAAGCAGGTGAAGATCTTTCTCTTCAGGCAAGCTTTCCCTCAGTGACTGGCTGCCTGAGTGGAGTTTTTACCTGGACTTTTGTACCTTATTGCTTTGGTTTGGTGGGGACATAGGAGAAAGCTGTCTCTGTTGCTGCTCCCAGACTTTGGAACTCCCTCCCACAGGGGACCAAACGAGTTCCATCTTTGCTGTCCTTCCGCAAGCAGGTGAAGATCTTTCTCTTCAGGCAAGCTTTCCCTCAGTGACTGGCTGCCTGAGTGGAGTTTTTACCTGGACTTTTGTACCTTATTGCTTTGAATGTGTTTTGGTGTTGCTTATGCTTTTAGCATTGTATTTGTTTGACCCTTTTTGGTATTTGCATACTTGCTATTGTAGCTTTAATCTCATCTTTTAAGGACGTAACCTGCCTTTGATCCTTTTAAGCGGTTAAAGGTGGGGTAAAAAAATATTTCAAATAAATAAATATATAATAACAATATGCCATCAAGTAAATTCCAACTTATGGTCAACCTTTCCAGGGGTTTCTAGTTGTATTGTACTTTGAGTATCTCCAACAAGCAGCAGAGCACGACCAGTTGTGGTTTACCAGTCCCTTCTTTCAGGGATGATCTGGGGCTTGCCCCTGGTTACAGAACCACTTGCCCCTGACTACAAAGGTTGTTTCTTCTTATGAGAGAAGAACTCCCAGACTTTGGCTCAGCAGCTAAATAACCAGCTCACTGAACTTCTAGCCAGCAGGGATTAAACCCTTTTGCTCCCCCACAATCTCTCCTCCCCCCCAAAAAAATCACTCTTGGGCCATCAGTTTTCAAACCTGCTTGGAACCTCCTGCATAAAACAGTTAAGGATGCAGTTAATTGACTGGAATGCATTTGACACGATCCAAAACCCTTATATTCATAGATACAAGTTTGACCAAATGGCCCGAGTTATTCACAGCACAAGCTACCTTGCCCATTCCTCTCTGTCTTTCACAAACATAAAATGGGAGTCCTTTCTTAAGCTCTAATCCTAAACATGCTTTCTTCAGCCTTATCTAGGCATAACCCTGACTGCCAGCAAATCATAATCTGAAAACCAGGAAGCAGCATTGCACTGCTTCTGTGTGCGACATAAGATTTGCAGCTCCAAACATGTAGCGTTTGTTGAAGATGAAGAAGAAGATTATGTTGAAAGGGCATCAACTCATCAAACTTTTCAAATGCAAGCGGACTACAACTGTAGAAGCTGCCCTGTGCCAGCTGATGAGTCAGCTAACCACGGAGCACGGAATACACGTTGCCTTTTTGTTTTTCTTTCCCTAATAACCCCTCCCTCCTTTCAACTGGTTGGTCTGGTAATTAAAACACACTGCTCAGTAAAAGCTACCATCCTGTAACTGGGATGAGTAAGACATCTGGGGAAATTGCTGTATCAGCCAGTCTGGTAGACTTAGTGAAAGACAGCACCATCTGGTGATGCTACAGCTCAGAGACCAGGAATTAGCAGAACCCAGGAATCGAAAGAGGAGTCTGCAATTTGTTGTTGTTTAAATAATGTATAGCTGTGTATGGTGGAGGGGGAAGAGCAGCAGAGGAGGGAAGGAATGTTTTCATAGTATTTGGAAGGAGAAAATTTTGTAACCAAGAACAGAGGTTCAATTACTCTGTTACGGTTTACAATTCAAAAGGAGAAACTGTTTTTTTGTCTATATATACCAAAAGTATGTAGTTAACTCTGTAAAAGGAAAATTGCCAGCCACTGATAACCTGATAGCACCCCGAGTGTGAAAAATAATTTGTCTTAAGTAAAGTAATGGGTGAAAAGCTGTGACAAACTGGTATTGTTTGCACTTCCATACCTGTGATGTAAAATGGTCTGCTAGGCATGAAGATAAGCTACTGCTTAGAGGTGGTTTTTTTAAACATGCCTCTTGTTTCCTACATAAGCAAGAAAACAAGGTTACAGATGTAATGGTGAGGTAAAACCTCTTTAGCACCCATGTACACAATTTACTTCACCTAGAATCATTTTTTGTTTACACAAGTAAAACTGAGACCTCGACCTTTGATCCAGGCATTTCTATAGGGTTGTCACCTAAACAGCTGTAATAGATGTCTCTAGATGTCCACGTTCATGTAAGAGGTTTTTCCCCCCTCTTAAAAAAATTGCTAGGCTCAAGATTTATATCGAATACAGTGGTGCCTCACAAGACAAATTTAATTCATTTCGCGGTTAATGTTGTCTTGCAAAAAATTCATCTCGCAAAACGTGTTTTCCCATAGGAATGTATTGAAATCTAATTACTGTAATGTGTTCCTATGGGCAAAAAAGTGCTCTTTAAAGCCATATATATTGTGCAGATGATTTCAAACATTTCAATAAAAAAACTTTAACTTTTTAAACATCATAGAAAAACATTTAAAAGGCAGCAAACATGAGGCAGGAACAAAAAATGGAAAACATTCATCTTGTGAATCACGGCCATAGGAACATTTGTCTTGCGAGTCATCAACCCCCATTACCAAAACTAAATGTCTTATGAGTGTTTTGTCCTGTGAGGCATTTGTCTTGTGAGGCACCACTGTATATCTATTATTTGCCTGTTTTTTGGGCACAAGGCAGCAATGTAATATCTTGGGGGCGGGAGGGGGGATATCTCATGAGTTTTTTTTTTCCAGTGAAGCAGACATGCTCTGGTGGTTAGTGTATTAGCCCCAAGGCAAGACAGCAAATCAACTCTAGTTTAATTTAAGGCAGATCCAAAAATTACCTCAGTCTGTGTCCTTGTGATGCTTCCTTTTAGCTCTCTCCCTCACCAGAGCATCAACAGCAGACTTTTCTGCTACAGAGATGCAGAGAGAGAACCCACTATATCCTACTGGTTCCTTTCTTAAAGGGCTGAAATTAGATAACCTGAACATAATTCAAAAAAATGATGGGTAGCAAGTACTGTATTGTCTTGAAAGAGACTTCTCCCCTAAACAAGAGGGAATACCATTGCAGAGAGGGTGGCTGCCAGACATTTGGGGTAAATGATTACATGATCTCGATAAAGGACACACTGTGCTTTCCCCCTTCACAATTAATTTTTTGTATGAAGATAAAAATACAGTCCTTGAAAAGGACATCGATTCTAAAGGAGGGAAAATCAAGTCATATTTTAAGATTAACAGGACTCCTTGCTCTTACTGGAGTATTCCAGCTTTCTGTGAAACGACTAGATCTCTTAGCAAGTAAAAAGAGGCAGCACTGATGATGACACCAGACACATTTCTCAAACAATCTTAAAAGGAGAATCCTCTGGGGGGATTTAATCTCAGTTTGAGTGTTCTTACATTTAAGTCAATTCCTGCTCAAAGCAGTATAGAAATCTTGAATTACAGGCACATGGAAAGATTCCCAGCTTTCTGCATTTTTTGCTAGGATGCTATTAGAAAAACACAGCATAAACTCAGCATCAACAATAATGTAATTGGTCTGTGTAATATTGCCTGCCTGTTGTGCACTCGGACACGCTCGGGTCCTGCAGCTGGTTGTGCACTGAGTCACATTTCCAGGAGCACGAAAGGTGGCCAGAAGAATGAGAAAAACATTTGCCCAGTTCCCCTTGCCGTATTTTGCGATAGGATTTTGGCCCCTGTGTTTTCCGATCTCTTGATATTGATTCATTTGCCTCAGCACATCTTAATTAACCAATTTCACAACCAAATCAATTCTCAGCATCCTGCCATAAACCCAACCATGTCAAATGTTTGTCTCTTTTATTTCAGTAGCTTGTCTAAAGGCTAACAGGTTCAGTACAACCGCATGCATTTCGGGTCTGGAGTTCACTTTGTCAGCTACATGAAATGTTATCATACAGTAGGCATATATTTATACTAAGCCATGGGAGGGAATGCCACAGAGATTCTACTGTGCTCTCAGGCCTGACCTTGGTGTTTTTCTTCTTCATCACACTTCAGCAGGACTTTTCAAAGCTCCATTCTAAACATCAGACACAAAGCAGAGCAGAGATTCCCCCACCCTCAAAAATCCAGCAACCCCCCCAACAAAATAAGGGGGAGGAGAATTCACAAAATCCGTCTTCAATGCCAGACAGAGGAGTTAGGACTCAGCATCAGACTCAATATTCCAAGCAAAGCCTCCTACACCACGTCAAAAGAGAGAGAGAAAGAGATCCAGTATTTTAGGAACAGCTGGGGTGTGTGTGAGGGAGTTCGCGTTCATACAACACAATAAGAGTGCAAAAAAAATATCTCAAAGCAAAGACAATAATTTGCTAGAGTTAACTACTACGAAAGGGACTAAAGGACCACCCCCCTAGATGCTGGGGAAAAGATTCCCTAAATAAGATCTCTTAAGGAAGGTGGGGGGGCGGGATCGGTGAGGAAAATACCAAGGAAGAACCCCGACGTGGAAGGCCGGGTGCGTGTACACACTCAGGGTATGTGGGGAGCTTCTGCAGCCAGATCTGTGAGATAAAGAACTTGGGGTCCCCATGCAAAGTTTGGGGATAAGCTTCAACTCAGGAGAGGAAACCGCGCTAAGAAAGCTTCGGGAGACTTGGGACGGTTTTCCGGCGTCTCCCAGAAAATGGAGGTCCTATTGTGGAGGTGCAGAAGGCCGGGAGGCGAGAAGACGGGAGATGGAAGGAGGGAGAGCAGCACCGCACTAGGGCAGGAGAAAAAGAGAGAGACCACCCAGACCAAGGCTTAACCCCCTTTCCGGGCGTGCGGCAATGGTAGGAACGGAGAAAGCCCGCACCCCATGCTCGCTCGGCGGCTCACCCTGCACCAGCCGCTTCATCTCCCCGTAGCGCGCCCACAGAAAGCTCTTATTGTCCGCCCCGGGAGCCGCAGCGTTGCTGGAATAGGCTCGGGCAGCCACCTCTTCGTCTCGTCGGGCGTGCGGCTTTCGGCTCCCATAAGGCGGCCTGGCTTGAGGGGGCTGAGGGGGCCCGCTGGCTGCCGCCACTGCCGCCGCCGGCCCGGGGACCTCGGCCCCAAAGTGGGTGCAGTAGGCCACAGAAAGCTCTTATTGTCCGCCCCGGGAGCCGCAGCGTTGCTGGAATAGGCTCGGGCAGCCACCTCTTCGTCTCGTCGGGCGTGCGGCTTTCGGCTCCCATAAGGCGGCCTGGCTTGAGGGGGCTGAGGGGGCCCGCTGGCTGCCGCCACTGCCGCCGCCGGCCCGGGGACCTCGGCCCCAAAGTGGGTGCAGTAGGGTAGGGCGCGCCTCTGAGGAGCCACGTCCCTCTGCGAGCGAAGAAAACCCGCGGCCCGAGAGGACGGGGGCGGGGGCAGTGGCTCCTCCCCGGCTGAGGGCGGGGGCAGCTGAGGGCTGTCACTCCACAAGGCAGCCCCCCACCCCTCAAACACCAGGTTTGGTCCCTCCTTGCCCTTTTGGCTTCACCGCAGCCGCCTTGCGCCCGAGCCCCCTCAGAGGGACGCCTCCTTTAAAGGTCTCAGTAGGAATCGTCTCCCCGGCAACCTGGAGTCTTGTGAAATTAAAGCCATTTAGAGATAAATATGCCATTAGGCTCCATGGGACTCCCCTGCTTGTGGAATTACCTAACGACTAGCCAGACCTTACACTGATTTGCTGTTGCTGCATTTATGTGCCGCTTTGCCTCCCAAGGAGCTCAAGGTGGCGCGCGGGGTTTTTCTCCTCACGCCAACCCTGTGAGGTAGGTCAGGCTGAGAGACTGGGGCTGGTCCCAAGCTATTAAATTAGCTTCAAGGGAGTTGGTCTAGTCAAGCACTCCGACCACAGGACTGTGTGTCAACACATATGCTAGAGAGTGAGTGAGTCACCGTGAACTCCCATCACCACTGTTTAAGTATGTTTCCTAACAATGCTCTCTATCCTTGTGCCCAGTCTTGGGGGGGGGGAGAAGAGTAGGGTTTTATTTGCCCTCTCTTCCCCTGAAGGTAGGTTATCTTAGCTGAACAGTGGAGTCTACATATCAGAAGTACACCCCAACTCTAGGAGTTGTGGGATTACAACTTGTGCACCTAGGCCAGCTTTTCCCTTTCGGTATCCAACCCACCCCACTCCCCAAGGCAAGTCAACCTTTTTCTGAGACTTTTTGTGAAATGCACAACTACTGTAAGATTATAGTCCATGAAAAAAAAAATCTTTGCAATCTGATCCTAGCTGTGCTTATATTCAGAATCAGAAGTGTGTACTCAAGAGAGTAAGGCTCACTGATCTCGCTTTAACTTACTTTTCCATATACAGCGTTAAGACTTATATTTGTTGTTTTTTAAAGCATACACGTCATTTTACTTTTACACCTGTTAGACAACAAAACTAGGAGTATTGTGCACAAGTAGGTAACAATGTGTGCTGCCAGATGTTCTTGGACTGCAATTCCCATCATCCCTCACCACTATTAACCATGCCAGCTAGGTCTAATGGGAAAAGCAGCCCAGGAACACCTGGAAGGCCACCACTTGCCCACGTTTGTTGTAATTTAAAGTGAAGAAATGGAAACAACAGAGAGTCTTGTGGTGCCTGAAAAACTAACAAGATTTAATTGGCACTAGCTTTAATGGGCTATAGTCCAGTTCACGAAAGCTTATGCCAAATAACATTTGGTAGTCTTACAGTGTCACAAGATTCTAATTTGCTTTGGCTATAACAGAATAATACACTTCCCTGGAAATTAATCAATCGATTTCCCTATATGAAATGCACTTTCAGGACAACAGGCGTAACGTGTAGCCAAAATAATAGCTCTAGTCATTAACACAAGTGGAAATACAGTACTTTTCCAAATTGTGATTGTCCTTGTCTGCACTGAGTTCCAAAAGATACTCTGCATATTTTACTATTTTATTTATACATAGGGGTCTCAATTCAATTCACAATCCCAAGTAAAAGAGACCAGCTGAACTATAAGTGCTAAGTGCTGTCTTAAACTTTATTCACTCACTGACTCTAGCTCTGGATTTAGCGAGCTATCTTGGCTTCCCCCCTTTGGTTTAAAGATTTTCAAGGCAGTTGACAACACAAGGTGGATCAATGTACACAGCCCCCTTTGTGTGTGCAAAAGAATCACACACAGAAGAAGGTTGCAGAGCCCATCCCAGGGACATGCAACTGCTGCTGGTTCCATATGTGATAAGTGAAGATGTCTGTTAGCTTTCACCCTGTTCACAACAAACCCTGGACAGTCTGGTGTCCAAGGCACTCAGAAAGGTTACTTGTCCCTTTCAATATAATGAGTTCACTCTATCCATTCAGAAAAGTTTAAATTTGACTAATGCAAATGGCTGGAATATTGTTGGGAACAACTTTCTGTACATTGATTTGATTTTATCAAAATGACATACTGAGACAAAAGTTTAAAGAAACATGACTAGAGCTTGGCAGTTCTTTTATTCTGGCGCATATGCTTCTCTATTGTGCAGTGATGTACAATGACATTCGTTCTTCAAACCTGCAATCGATGTGTGTTCATTTTACCTGATTGACGGAGGAGGCAATCTTGTACAATCTTCTGCTAGATGTGACTAAAACCTACAACAGACAGATGGCCACATTTATCAGTTTATTAATTCAGCGACATAGAACTCATTTTTTAACAAACCTGTCTAATCTTATTAGATGAAATTAATTTCTCCTTTCTTTATAAGCTACAGATCATGGGCATTGGCTAGGTGTTACCTTGAACTATGCTACTGCTTGTATTGAGGCTTTTTAATGTGTTTCATATGAGGTGTGTATCCCCCCATTTATTCGAGGACTGCTGTTTGTTGTATTTTTTTTTATGCCAGTAAAGGTTATGTTACGTTACATTATGTCATGTCACATATTCTGCTTATCTCAGAACTGTGTTGATAACAGAACATGCATAGATTAGTTGTGTAGGTGTATTGTGGCATGCTTTGCTGGCCGTGTCATGCGACTGTTTACCTCAACTTCTTCTGCATCCTCTTTACCCTCTGTTGTAGAGCAAAGTGTGCAGCTTCAGTCACCACTGCAACAATCTCTTCTTGCTGCTGCAAGTCAGAAAAGCATAATCTGCAGGGGATGTTGAGATTCTTCCAGCCTTGCCGATTATTTGGCTGTGGGTGGGACCATTTTTGTTACATAAGTGACAGTACTCACATCTGAACACTGGATCTAGAGAGAATATATTTCTTATGATATCCATATTTAATTACAATGCTTCAAGTAGAAAAGCAAGGATATGAGTGGTTTTCCAGACAAAATATGCTGTAAGCCCTTGATCTTTTAAATTCGTTTGTACTGTACCCTACCCATGCCTTACACCACTTGGGGTGGTGGTAAAGCACTTGAACATTTCACATACTTTTAAAAAAATGTTATTAGGGTTCCATGAGTCTATGACTTGCACATAACAAGGCAAGGTTACAGAATATTTGGCCTTCTAGGCCCTTTTGATTTCAATATGAACAGTTCCTTCCTACTGGCCATGCTAGTTTGAGCTGATGTTGAGTCATTCTAGGTTTGTTTTTCCTTTCAGAATTAGTAGCCAGAAATAATGCCTATAGTCTGCTACAAGCCCAAGATTATATTAGGGCTTTAATAATAACTGTGAGCTGTAAAATCAATTCTGACTTATGTCAACCCTTTCTGAGGTTTTCTAGGTAGAGAATAGTTAGTAGTAGTTTACCATTCCCTTCTTCTTGGGGGGGGGGGTGTTCTGAGACTGTGCATCTTGCCCAAGGCTGCAAAGGCTGGGTCTTCTCAGAGAAAGCATAGTGGGGAATCAAACTCCCAATCTCCACAGTTCTCTGAGCTTTCACTGAGCTATCCAGACAGCTAGAAGATTTAAAGGAGGAGGTCAAAAGTGAGGATTGGAATAAAATAGGGTAACAAAGAATAACAAATAATATGTCTATAAGAGTAAAAGAAAATTATCACAAGGTTGCATGGAGATGGTACTTTACTCCAGCAAGACTGAATATAAGAAATAAAAATGTACCGTCTCAATGTTGGAGATGTAAAAAAAGAAAAAGGGACCTATATGCATATGTGGTGGACTTCTGAAATAAGAATGAACACTGGTAATAAAAAGTACCAACTTAATGCTGGAAATGTAAAAAAAAAAGGGACCTATATGCATATGTGGTGGACTTGTGAAATAAGAAAATGGGCAGTGATTTTTAAAGAAATTAGAGAAATAATCAGGTATAATATTCAAACATCACCAATTATTGCCTTATTAAATATAATTAAGAATGATCATATTTAAAAAGAACAGAAAAAGTTGATTATAATATCACAGCAGCAAGACTTATAAGAATTAGAAAAGTTATGCAAATTAATCTTGAAGATTGGTACAGAGAAATGTGGAGTTAAACGATTAATGATAAACTAACATCTAAAATGAAAGTAAGAAGGGGAATGACAAAGTATGATTTTAAAGAGGTATGACATTTATATTTGAAATATGTCTTTGTGAAAGGGAAAGGTCATAGCAGAAGAATCAATGTATTTTTGGAGTGGAATGGGGTGAAAAGGGATTAAAATAATATTTTGGTTACCTAGTCCTGAGGGTGGCACAGGAGGGGAATTATACTGTAGGTGCATTGTATTGTATGTATACACATTTTATGTTAGTGTTTATTAACTTTCTTTAATAATTTTTTTAAAAAAGCTAACCAGACAGCTATTAGGGTTTTATCTCCCCAATAAAAACAACTCTTGTATGTCTCTCAAAGTTGCCATTTGTTGCAAAGACATATTTGAGGACAAAATAGTTTTTGAAGGGAAAGTAGTTTGAGGAGAAGGGTCTTCATGTGGGTTACCCTCACTTTCTAAGTAATATGGGCTATTTCTGAAAGGAAAATAAGCTACCTTCTAACACCATTAAAAAGAACAGCCCTCCCACCCAGGTTAAGGTGTAGCTGTCCTCAAAACCAGTCAGTATCTTCTGGATATTGTTGTTAAGCTCTCCACAGCTATTACTCAAGGACTATGCCTCATTGAGCAACCAGGGACAACACAACATGGTGCCATTCTTTCTTCTCCTCAAGCACAATTTTCTCCTGCCTGTTGATGGTATGTTCTGAGCTAATCTTTCCACAACAGTTGGTGCCGCGCCAGAGTACTGCAACTGCACTGGTGTTGCAATGATCATGTAGATTAGGCTTGTGGCCTTCAGTAAGAACTTTGCAAAACATTGAAACCTGGAAGGTGCCCACTCTCTTCTTTACATCAACATAGCAGAGACCACAATGAAGTGTGTTTCCCAGATGCAAATTGCAGGCCTTAAATAAAATTGTCTAAAGACGAGTACTCCTCTAAAAGGAATCCTTTCCTTACTGGAAACACAACAGACATGTTCCACTTCCTAATTCAATCATTTTAATACAAAGTTTTTAAATTTAGCCTATGTGACATGAAACTCAGTTATCCTTCAAAACTCACAGGTGTCCAAATTTTATAGTGGATTTTTCCAATAAAAATGCATTCAGGAACAACAAAGCTCACACCAAGTATGTACATTAGTTAAATTAATGCTAACATGCAGAATACTTGGGAAATTCCTTGTAAAATGTGCATATTAGGCAAAATTGTGGGGGGGGACAATCCCTCTTATTAATATAAATTCTCAAAGTTCAGCATGAACTAAATTTAAAATTGGAAAAAAATTCCACTGTTTCAAAAATATCCATTAGGCAAATCTGTACAAATGAGGACCAGATGGATCTCTACTGCAGGTTTGCAAACTTAAGTGGTGTTGCTGTGTGAAATTCTCACTTTTAGGCTGCAGTGGTAAGGATGTAGCCAATGAAATATTGTATCTTACCCTTCAGGGCAAGACAAACTAAGCTCAGGATTGGAAAAACGATGAACTAAGGGGACCAAGAAAGATTTGCCTGCTCCTAACCAAAACAAGGCTGCAACCAAACTCCTCCATTAACTTTGTTTGCCAACTGTAAGCTGATGCTACTCTGACTTTGGACGTAGTAACTCTGAACAGTGATTTTAGAGTGCAGGCTCATTGGCCAGTAAGCTTTTCTCCTTTTTGTCCCATTAATTTGATCTTGAAAGATGAGCTTGTAACAATTGGCACTTTTTGTTTCTCACTACATGACAAGAAATATTCTAGCTTTCTGCATTTATGATTTCCAGGTCTTAACTCAGTTGCTCTAATGCTTCTTCATTGTGCTCAATCCAAGAAATCCTTCGTTTCCTATGATTAAAAAATAAATTGAATACTGCCATCTTTTTTTATACAGTAGTTGCTTGAGTCTGTGTTTCCATTGTATTCAGTGGAGGTGAATACATAGCACCATAGAACACCAGTCATGCTTTCCATTCCTGCCTCCAGGGGGCATTGGCAACCAGATGTGCCCACAGTTCCCCTTCGCAGGTCTCCAGACTCTGGTATGTTTGGTGTTGGGGGTATGTATGTGTGTTTAAACAGAAAGCCAAACTTCATTTTGTTCCCAAGCTCCTAAGCACCTGGCATAATCTCCCTGAAGCACAGGTGTCTTCAAAGAGACTCGCATCCAAGCCAGGCAGGCCATCAACCTCAACGGGGGCAGGGGACACACAGAGAACTTTTCCCTAACAGAGAAAACAGATCACTTAGACAAAGAGAGAGAGAAGAGGGAGGGGTAGATCCAATACGCTTTCACAGTCTATTAAGAAAAAATGTCATGAGAGATTGAAATAAACAAAAAACAAGGAGGAAGTTTCATCCAATTGTGGCAACAGACAAGGCAGTGATAACAAAATTACTAATGAAAGTAGTAACTTGAGAAAACAAGTGATGTAAGGAAATACAGGGGCCCTTGCAGTAGATTCAGTGATGTTTGTTATTCTTTAAATATGTCATATCAGCAAACAGAAAGAGAATACGTCATGCACTGATTGCGGATACAATACTATTAGCTGAACAGAACAGAGAATACATACGTCTTTGAAAGGCAAATGGATAAGCACATTTGGAAAAACACTGGTTCTGTTTTGACAATCCATTCTTGTTATTGAAAAACAAATGAAGGTGAAAGCAATTAACAATACCATTTTTCAGTGGCGGAGCAAGAGAAAAAGATGACTGAAGATCCAGAATGGCCAATTATTTATTTGAGACAAACAATCAGGGGCTCATCTAGATTTGACTATGAACAGAATTGCTTTATATAAATTGTACACATCCCACAAGGCATCTTATGACTGCACAGTACTTGTTTTCCATCTTCTTTCATTTTCTGTGCAGTCAGCAATTAGTAATTGCAAAATCCCATGAGGGGAGGGGAAATGGAAAGAGGAGGTAGGAAAAGAACTGGTGAGCAGAGAAAAGAGTGAACATGTCAAGCTAAGGAAAGTAAACCGAGTGGAGGAGAAAAAGACAGCCCCCTCACCACCACCACTTCAACCAATCCACAGGAAGTAGGCAGCCCTAATCATTAAGGCTGACACCAGTGTCACTAACATTAGAGCTAATAAGAAGGCACAGCAATCAAGGCGCTTAGGGAAACCCAGCACAACAGGCAAATCTAGAGGAGACAGTGTCTTCAAGGAGTCTTAAGGCACAGAGGGAGCTTTGGCTGAGGCCTCTGTTGTGGTACAGGGCTCTTTAGGACTGGCTGTGGGTTTCAGGCACCAATTCCCCACCCCAGCCCCAGTTCCTGGAGTTCTGTGATCACAAAGGGCATGAACCAACACATCCAGAAGGCTTGGAAATCTTGCTCCAGAATCCAGCTCTCTCATCTCTGAAAAGAGAAAAGGAGGAGAAAACCAGGGTTAGAAAGAGATATAGATATACATACATATGCACACATGTACTCCTGGTTTGCTTTTACACACTTACTACCAGCCCTGATCTTATCTTCCACTCAACATTTATGGACCACTAAGCAGCATGCAGACTTGTGTTTCTGGGCCACACCTCCCAGAATTCTACCTAGGAAATTCCTGGAGAATTCTGGGGTTTGGAGTCCAAGAAAACAGCACATCCCTGTTCACAGTAGAGGGAAGGGAAAGGGGGAAAGCACGTAAGTCTGTGGGAGCCCCAAAGCTCAACAGACAGTGTTATAACTATGCCAAGTTGGTTTTGGTGCCTCATGCTTGTCCTTCCCTCCTCCGTGTAACTCAGTGTCTCCATTTTCCTTACCGCACTGCTCTTGGCTGGTCTGAGTGGCCTCCTGCTGCCCCGTGTCACCTCCACAGGTGTCTCCAAGGACTCCAACCGCTGGGTGAGGGCCAGCTTTTGCTGGATGGCCATGCGCAAGAGGGAGCTCAGTGTCTTCTTCTCATCCTCAGCAGCTGCTAGTTGCCTCTGCATCTCGTCCAGCTGGCTCACATACTGATCACACCTGGAGGCAGAGATGATGGCATATGACCAAGAGAAAGGTAACTGCACACATCCCTTGGCAGTTCCGTGCCTCAGGTACAGTGTAGTTCCACCTTCAAGTGGCAGAAAAAACAGAATGTCCCATTGGGCTACTGTTTCTTGGCAGCTCCATGCCTCAGGTACAGTGCAGTTACACCTTCAAAAACAGAATGTCCCATTGGGCTACTGTTCTGTACGTGTAGGCATCACAGCTTGCTTTAAATCAGGGGTAGGTAACAGCAGTCCTCTAGATATTCTGACTGAACATTTCCATCAGCCCCTGATGGCAAACCCAGTGGTAAGGAATGCTGGGAGTTGTAATCCAACAACATCTCAAGGGCTGCAGTGTATCTGCCCCTATTTTAAATAAAGAGAAAGAGAGAGGGAGGCCTCTAGTCTTTGTCATTGAGAGGTATTCTTCAGGTCACATGGGTAATACCCAGTTAAGTCTCAAAAGCCAGAGGCAACATGGGGAGATTTCCAAGGACAGGACTTCAGCCAAACGCCAATTCCAAAACAGTTGGCCAATTCTCAAGACATGTTAGGAATCTAAGCAGGTCTGTTTAGCTTTCACAATATATAGCAGACTTTCCCAATGTAGCACCCTCCAGAATATCCTGGAATGGAACTTCCTTTGCTAGCTATGTACATAGATACAGCCCCCCCCACATACCTACATAGTTCCAAACCAACACATCTGGAGGGTGCATGTGATTCAACCCTAAATGAGAGGGGCTTTGTTGGGACAGCTTTAGAATGTCTAGCTAGAGTAGGCACATCCAGAACCCACGTTGCAGTCTTTTCATTATCTCACTACCAACTTACCCATTTTGAAACCAAACTGCTATGTGAATCTGTTGCACAAAACAGAATCCATCACCACTATAAAAACTACTGTAGTCTGAGGTTTCATGGGCCATAACCAGTTCATCAGATGGAACTAATGATTGCAGTAAAAAGGGGGGGGGGGGGAGTGTTATAAAAACTACTGCAGTCTGAGGTTTCATGGGCCGTAACCAGTTCATCAGATGGAACTAATGAATGCAGTAAAAAAAAGGGGGGGGAGTAGACTCATTGTTGTTTCTATTCACCTGGACATTTAGTCCATGGCAGCTCATGTTATGATGTTTTTGCCTTTAACATCTACAGGACTCATTGTTGTTTCTATTCACCTGGACACTTTAAATTATCTAAGCCTTAAGGCACAACACTGGTTTCTGCAGCTAAGGCTTATAAAATGTTCTATAATCTATCCATCTATCTCTCCATCTGTATATGTATTTAGTTTTTTTCCTTCCTCCCTCCTTTATTGGGGACATTAGTCAGTATATAAAAAAAAATAAAATCTGCAAATAGTAAAAACAAATTGGATTAAAAACGATAACTATACTGTACATCTTTCACACACACACACAAATTTTAAGAGCCCTTCCCATCTTAATTGCATCGTGGCTCCCTAAAAGCCTCACCAAGGAGGTATATTTTCACCTGCTGGCAGAAAAGATGGAAGGAGGCACCAGTACGTTCCAGGGGAGAAAGTTCCATACTATGGAAGTAGCCAGAAAATGCCATCTCTGGATCATCACCAGATCCAGACAATTATTGTTATCATCACTTTCACTGCTACTTCTATTGATACTGGTACTATTGCATCATTGTTTTTCTGTAAACAACTCTGGAGCCTACATTTGACAAGAGGATAGTGTTGAGATTTTGATATGAAAAATGTATTAAATATTAATGTCGTACAGTTAAATGTAAAAGGGCTGGTTTTACCTGAATCATTGTACTGATTGTATTCAGGTGTGGGAATCAAGGATTAAGACTTAATGTAGTACAGCTGTGGTACATGATGAAGCTGTGGGTAACAAAAATGAAGTAATGTATTTTCTGATGGGTCGAAGAACTGTACATAAATCATGTGTAAAATGAATGTCTTTATCTGCTGTAAGTCAGATCACTTTTTCCTATGCTGTGTTTTGCTTCATGTCATGTTGCCAGAGGAGTGTCTATTCTCTATGTATATATGTAAATAGACTAAGTTGTTGGTTTTACTCTCAGTGTCATAGTATCATAAGTATCTGTTAACCAATATCTCCTTACTCTGCTCATGTTAAGAGAATACACGTTATAATCAAAATTCTCAACAGACAGTACTTAAGTGTTTTATATAATAATAAAGGATTTGATCCCCCTCCCCCAATCTCAAGTTCCTGGTATCAGCATCCAACCTGCCCCCTGCCTTTGTGCAGGAGGGCTTTAACTCCTATATCCAACCCTACTCCCTCTTCTGCCCACAAAGTCCCTGGGAGTCAAGTTGACCCTGTGCCTAACCTGCTGGCAAACATGGCGCGCAGGGAACAGAAAGTAGCAGCATCTTCCTTCAGCGCTTTGAGCTCGTGACGGAGCTTAACCATGGTCTCGGACACCAGCACCTTCTCCCCTTCGTATTGGCCTTTGAGGTTGGAGAGGGCTGCCTCCGCCGTCTGAAAGGAAAAGGTGCCAAGGCTCAGATGAGACACACACATGTTCTCTTCTGCCACCTATGCAGAAAGCATAATTTTGGAAAACACTGCCACGTGCACATGCATACGTGCGTGCACACATGCACCATTTCCTCCACATGCTTCCAGGTCAAACCACGGTCCAGGTAGGAGTGCACCATCCATAATCTCACCACCATCTGGGGTGGGAGAGGCATGGATTGTGCAGGACTGATAGATCATATGCAAAATGTAGCTGAAAATCCCACCAGCACCACCTCAGAAGCAGTAAACAAGGCACCAGCCTGGCACATATTATGCCAGCCTGCTAACAACGGGAGGTGCTGAAGGAGTCCATTCCTTTCTAGGTCAACAACTGGAGCCATGTTGCCATGGGACCTTCCTCCCATCTTTCAAAGACAGACGAAACTCAGCTTCTAGAATCATAGTCAGTCCTGGGAACCCCCATTTTTGTTTCCGCTAGAAGCTTTAAAATTAGGCAAAGGAAAAATGGCCTAGCAACTAGGTTCTGGAAGCCTAAGGACTACCTTCCAAAAACAAGACAGTATCCTCAAAGGAATGCACTGAGTACCGGTACTTTTCACCTCCAGCCTTATAATGACAAATTCCCAAGCAGGGATGAGCAGCTACAGAAAATGGGAAAAGGAGCTAATTTTCCACTTCAAATCCTCCCTCCACCTTGCCTGTTCCCACAGCAATCTGGGGGCTGGTAAGGCAAATATGCACCATTTTATCGCAGGAAACACTGGTCCTGAAAGCCTCCAACAGCAGAAAGGCACCTTTTCCCACTGTCTATTTCTGTTGGGATGGTCTGGGAGAAGTAGGGGCTCAAAACAAAACGGCTGCCTGCTCTCCTCTAAGGGCAGAGCAGAGAAGTCCCCACAATGCTGCTTTAGTAGGACACAACCCTTTCTGCCTTCATTCATTCCTTTCTTCCTTCCCAACCTGGAAGGAAAGAGAAAGCCCTGTTCAGAGCCTGTGGCATGAAGCCTGCATGGGAGGGAAGCTGGCAACCACATACTTCAGCAATAGCATGGAAAGAGGAAGATGCAGCCCAAGGCAAAGACACACACACACACAAAGTGCAGAACAGGAAATGCATGTTGAAAAGCAGCTGCTGAGTCATAAAAATAGAATATATTGAGAAAGGGTGAGGGGAGGGGAGAGAATAAGAACATGTGCTCTCCTGTGTCCAGAGCTATGTGGAGGCACAAAATATAGAACTCAGCCTTCAGAGCAGCTTAGAGCTATGAAAAACTGTTCCAAGAATATTTACACAGAAAGCTGTACATAGCTGTACTGACGATCAATAAATATGCTTTAAAAGGCTCAGGCACTGCCTGTTGCAGTCTCAGAAGAGGCTAGGAAGAGAGATGAAATCAGATTCCATGGGGCACTAAATACCTCCTTGCCTCCTGCCACGTCCTCCACTCACACCGTGTGACAGGCAAGAAGGCACCAAGAGGAACAAACTGTTAGTGGTTGCAAGAAGGAACAGATAAAAAATAGGTTCACTTCACGGGCAGGAGCTGCTCCCAAACCTGGCTTCTGGTTCCCAAACAGAGCGTGGAATATTGTTTCCCGAGTGCCCAAGCTCCCTGGGCTCCCAGGGCTTTGGGGAAGCACTCACCTGCTTGTTGGCCTTGAGCACCGTGCGCAGGGTCGCAATCTGCTCCCGCTTCGTGCTCAGCAAGGACTTCAGCTTCAGCACCTCTTCCACCAGTGCCTCCTTGTCGCGCTCCAACTCGGCTCCGCGCCCCATGGGGCTCTGCTGATGGACCAGGGAGAGTGCCATCTGCAGATGCCTTAGCTGCTCCCGCAAGACAGCTGTCAGGTGGGCCACGTGGAGGGGCTCCAAGCCGCAGGGGGAACCGGGACTGCTGCTGGTGGGTGACTGATCCCCACTGCTGCTGGTTTCCATTTCTGTGAGATGAAGCTTTCTGGAAGCCCGCCTCCTCCCCATACTCCGGGCCCCACGGCCCTCCCGGTAATAGTCCAGCACCACACGATGAGGGGTGATGTTGTGGCAGGCACATACGTGATGGTACAGGGCGGCCATCTCCTCAGAGAAAGCCAGAAGCTCTTCCTGGGCTTGGGCCAGCCGTGACTGACACTCCCGGGTCATCCTTCTGGCAACACGCAGTTCTGTTTCTAGCTGGGCAGAAGTCTCCCTCTCTTGCTGGACAGCCAGCTGGGCCTTTTCCATCTCCTTGTGGCAGCGCTCTACCTCGCTGAGCAATGGACTAGCCCTATCGCCACCAGGGCCTGGATCCAAGCCCTGAGCCTTGTGGCTGTTGCACAACTGCTGCTGGGCCAGAGTCTCCTTGGTGGTGGTCAGCTGCTTCTTGAGGTCCTGCAGGTCTGAGGCAAGAGAGGCCTTCTCGTTTTCTGCCTGGGAGCACAAACATAAAATGGGAAGAGAAAGCTCTCATGTGCTGAGTTCCCTCAACTCTATGGGAGGTGTACAGAACTTAGTCCTCCTCTAAATCCCCACCTCTGAGGTGTGTGTGTGCATGCACGCGCACGCACGCACACACACAACGCGCGCGCGCACACACACACATATATATAAAAGACTCTCATTTCTTAACTATGACTTCCCAGATGTTGCTGGACTACAAAAAAGAGACTCTCATTTCTTAACTTTGACTTCCCAGATGTTGCTGGACTACAGTTCCCAGCAACTCTTCCTGTTGGCTGAAGTAAAAGAACATAGCATCTGGGAAGCCAAGACTGAGAATGACTACTGAGGCTGTCTACTTATGCTCAAATACACTTTTATCCACAAGGGTCTGGAGAAAGTAAGGCCTTCCAGATGTTCCTCGGCTGCAACTCCCACTGCTCATCGCCAGTGGTTATGCTGGCGCAGGCTAATGCAAGCTGCAGTCCAACAACATCTGGAAGGCCGCAAGCAATGTTTTCCTCTAAAGGCGCGTGGGTGCGCAAAGCTACATCAGGCGCGAGCATCCGAGACAGTAATTTCACCCATTTGCTTGCACGGCCAGAATCTCGTGCGCAGGGGTCAAAGCCTCCGGACAGCACTCTGCAAAATTAGAGGGAAGGTTGGCCACATGCTTTCCCAGTTGACAGCATAAACCAGACCTCTGCTGGCCAGGATTTCTGGGAGTTGAAGGCCAAGAACATCTGGAGGGTCACAATTCGACACCACTGGCATAAACCATCTGAATTCTAGAGTTAAGTCCTGGTACTTAAAACAGGAATTAGGACTAGGTCCTGGACTCTGATGACAGGTTTTCCCCTTCGGAACTAGAATGCACAGCCAGCACTAGTGGTATAGACTCAGTGTGCATCAGCCTTGTTCTCTTCTTAATCTCTGCCTGCTTCTGAAAGGGTGAAATGGAAAATCACAGGCTTTCCCAGGCCCTTTACGGTGCCTGCCACCACCAGGTTCCAAGCTTCCATCTGGGCTTCAAAGAACCAGCTGTTCTAGCACACACAAAAAGGCACTGAGCCTCTCAGTTTTGATCTGCAGCCAAAGGTTTGCTTTCACCGAGGAACAAGAGTGGCCAGGCCGTGGCAAGAGGGAGGCGACCCAGAGGCAGCTTTTTCAGGCTGCACCCTGACCATGCATAGCACAGCACGTGTCCCAAACAAGGGTGCTTTCCCCATAAGCAGAAGATGCTGTTAAACCAGAAAAGGGAGAGAAGCAAGAAAATAGAGACATTGTACAGGGCTGAGGTGGACTGCTTTCCCCAGTAGCTTAAAAAGGCAGTAAAAATCCCTTGAACCTGCTTTTCCAAGAGAACCAGCTTGGCCAAAAACAGAGCTAAGCTGCTCTGCAGACAGGTGGGGGAGGGGGGGGGGAAGCACAGCAGGGTCAAGACACAGCCGAGCATGACGCCCGCTGAGCAGGATGTGTGTCTGCTCCGAGTAAGTCCGCCAGCTTCCTGCCATCAGCCCTGAAGGTGACTGTGACGCTCCTCTTAGCTCAGCTCAAGAGCAGCAGCGTACAAACACACACACACACTGCCTGCCAGAAGGGAGACGCTAGACCAGCCCCTCTGAAGCACAGCAGGGTCAAGGCACAGCCGAGCATGACGCCCGCTGAGCAGGATGTGTGTCTGCTCCGAGTAAGTCCGCCAGCTTCCTGCCATCAGCCCTGAAGGTGACTGTGACGCTCCTCTTAGCTCAGCTCAAGAGCAGCAGCGTACAAACACACACACACACTGCCTGCCAGAAGGGAGACGCTAGACCAGCCCCTCTGGCATCCCAGCAACTTGTGGCCAGAATAGCTCCCTGGCCTCTGTGAGGGTCAATATCATTAAGTCAGAATAGCTCCCTTCTCTCCTCACAGAGCCTTTTTTTAGCCCCATCTCCAATCCCGCTTCCTGAAAGGAATTCCACATGGCTCAAAGCTCTGTGAGCTTCAGCTCACTTTTATATATACAGTGGTGACTCGCTTAGCGATGTTAATCCGTGCAGCAAAAATCGCTGCTAAGCGATTTCATCGCTAAGCGATTTTAAAAAGCCCATAGAAACGCATTGAAACCCCTTCAATGCATTCCTATGGGCTAAAAACTAACCTTAAAATGAAGATCCTCCATAGGGGCGGCCATTTTCGGTGCGTCTAAAGCGAGGCAAAACGGTGGGTGGCCATTTTGTTTTTCCGGCGGCCATTTTGAAACCGCCAATCAGCTGTGCAAAAATGGGGGCTTTGCAATGATCGCTTCCCCGCGATCATCGCAAAGCGAAATTTCCCCATAGGGACCATCGCAAAGCGATTGCTCTTGCGATGGCAAAAAGTCCATCGCAAAGCAATTTTATCGCTATACGGAGCGATTGCTATGCAAGGCACCACTGTAATAGGTATTTTGAAATTTACTCTCGTTGCAACAGGGCCTGTTGTTTGCATGGTAACATCCGCATCCTCTGTTCTGAGGCAAGAGAAAGAAGGTCAGCAGTTCTTAAGCAGGGACCGGGCTCTTGTGGCCGTCTAGATGAAACTCCTGGAATGCAAACCATGTTGATGGGGAGCTGGAATCCAGCAACCTCTGGAGAGCCACAGGATCCCCAGCAATGACTTGGACAACAATTGTCTGCTACTACGGAACTGAACCTTTGGCACAACAGAAAGAGAAATCATTCATAAACATGGTTGTGAGTGGCAGTTGTCACTGTCAGAGAGCACCAAGACTAGTTGCCTTCAGCTTTGTTATAAATGGGAAGCAGATCGTTCCTCTGGGCATGAGGAAGCCACCCTTTCCGTATCCTCCAACAGAGCACATGTGGATAGAAGGAAACATGAGAAGTACCCAAAAACTTCTCTGTTACTCTTTCCTTCTTCAGTACCAACCACGATATGAACAAATCAGGCCCTACCAGAGGATAGAAACAGGAGGAAAAAGACCGACCTTCCCTTGACTTACAGGTCTTTACAGAAGCAGCACGGCTTCTCAAGCCCAGCCAAAAGGTGAGAGATCAAATACACCCTTTCTTCAAGCTCCCCAAGGGTACTAAATGATTCTGCACCAGAGAAATAGCAGCTAGCTATTAAGCCAAGAAACGGGGCTTCAGGCTGCTTTGAAAGCCCCCCCCCTTGTAAACGTAGCTTCCCTTGTCTGCACATTCGAAACCAGCAAGTGGAAAGAAATTTTTTACTAGAAGGTTGTCCCTAATTTGCAGATCTTATTTTTTGACTCCCTCCCCCCTGTAATGGATCAGCCAAAGATTTGACACCTCTGGTAGTGACATGGTCAAGCCATAGACACATTGCTGATCTTAAAATAATCTGATCTCCTTTGGCGCCCCTTTGTAGACTGGTTCTCTAAAAGCCAGCTACAAACTCTGACCTGCTCAATGAGAGAAAAGTCAGGCAATTTGTAATTATCCAAAGCAGAGCACAGTCTTTTCCTATGATTAACAAGAATGCATTAATGCTGCTTGCAACCTCATTCCAAAACCTAATCTCTCCCATCTGGTTAACTGACATTTTCAAGTAACCAAGGACCAACTTCCTTACCTGTAGCAGTTGCTGCTGAAGTTTGTGAATCTCTGCCAAGCTAAGCTCACTGAACAGGTCAGCTACTAGACCTGGGGCAGGGCGGCCACCTTGGGGCGTGGAAGCCATGCCCCCAACGCTGCTACCATTGGCAAAGCCACTGTCTTGCTCCTCACTCTCTGTGTGACCGTGATTGAGCTCCTCCAGGTTGGCCTGCAGGGTAGTTATTGAGTCATGGCGGCCACCTGCATAGATGGCCAGTTCTCGCCGCAGTTCCTGCTTTTGCTCCCGTTCTGCCTGCAGAGCCTCGAGTGCCTCTTGAAGCTGGTGTTCTGCCAGGTCCCGGAGGCGACCCAATTCCAGTAATTGGGTTCCAGCAAGCACCAGCTCTTCCTCACGGCAGCTCAGGGCGCGCTTGACACTCTCAAACTCCACCTTGGGACAAGAGAGGGGAATCAGGGTGGGCAGGCAGGAAGGGGGGGGCTTTTTTCACAGGCCTTGATTATTGGTATTCTAATAGAGCCTAAAAACAATACTTGGAACAGCCTCACCTTACTGTCATGTAATCCCTCTGCTAGTAAGAAGCAAAAAGCCTAATATTAAGATTTATTGTTGAGGCCTTCTTTTGTTTTTTTAAACAGCAGAGCTAAAGAAAATGCTGGTATAGCCTACTGGCCATGCTGGGTGAGGCTTTCTGGGAGTTGTGGACCAAAACAGTAACTTTTCAAACCTCTGAAAAAGGTGTTAGTCAGATACTTGTGGTAGTACCAGTTCTGTGGGAACTACTTCCTCACATGATCCACTGCCAAATCCATTTTTAGCACTATAATAAGCTATTTTAGCTCAGCTACTGTTTAACAATAAGAACCTAATTTGGAAGAGGGGACAGGGGAGAAGTGCAAGTGTATTCAAGATCTAATGGAACCTAAATATTAGCTGAAATCCTGTGACACAACTTACATTGCATAAGGCTGATGACATCATCAGACTCTTCTCTGTCATGCAGCCTCCAAAGGCTTTCCCACAATGAAAGGAATCCGAAGGCTCCCATGGGATGTTCAACAGGATGGGATGGTAATAGGAAATGTTTTAATTTCTGAACAGTGTCTGATGAAGTCTTCAGCCTTAAGCAGCGTAAGTTAAAGCAACACAATTTCAGTGACTATATCTACTTTCTTTAGTTTCATCTTAGAGGTTTTTATGCTGCAGTATACTCAATAAAAATAGACTGTTACCCCTTCAAACCCCACTTCACAAAAATAATAACCTAGACCAAAAGAACATGGTATGCACACTGTCTTCCAGGAGCCACAGAAATCATAAGAGTTAAAAATATGTTTATCTTTTTAAACAGATGAGGAAGACGGAATAAAGTGGGGAGGGGTAGATTTGAGCCCCCAACTGCTTGTAGCATGAGGGAGTTTAGGATTGTGAGATACCTCAGATGATAACCCTAAATTCCCCCCTTCCCCATTCCAAAATGCTATAAGCTTTCAAAGGCTCTAAGCCAGTTGAAGTCCTGAATAAGGTGTGTTAAGATCAGAGGAAGGAATCACTTCCTTCAGTGTGAGTTAATTAGCCAATTAATGGCCTATCTCTGCCTTTAAAACTGTGTGATAACAAAGAAAGAATTGTCTTAAATGTAAGTTCAGCCATTCCTTGATGGGAGGGGAAGTAAAAATAGAACTTTGCTCTGAAAAACATGTATCTTCAAACTTTACTGCTTCTCTGTTTCCACTCTTCACAAATATGTTACACAGAATCAGAAGGGAGATTGAACATTGCCTGCCTCTTGCTCAGCTGCAAGGGCCAGTCATCCAACTCCAGCAAAGGGCACTGTGCTCTCTTGCAAAACTGCTGAGGTTCAGATCCAGATGAACAAATCATGGCTAATTTAGGCCCCAAAGTTCAGCAGTCTCACACTGCAGCACTGATGAGCTAGTTTACCTCCTCCAATCTTGCCCTTCCACCATCCGAAGCGCGAATGTCCTGGACTCAAAATTTACATTCAAAGAGAGAGAGCGCTCCTACACACCAAGCCTGGGCAAAATGCAGCCTGTGGCCTCTATTATGATCCATTCGGCAGGCCAATGCGCAGGAAGAGCCCCCTAAGGTGCAAAGGTGGATGCACGGAAGTTGGCCACAATGCTGTACAAAAACATGTGTTTAGCACACTGCCTCCTTGCCCAGAGGCAACCCGAGGATCACAAGGCATTTGCAGAACCCAGCAAATGCAGGGGTTTCCCCAGACTGCAGGGGTCAGGCAGCAACATGTTTCACATCGGGTCTACAGTGGCTCCAGACTGCAGAGAGATGTGTATGATCAGACTGCCAACACCAGATGCGCACCGCCACACGGAATCTAATACCTGACTGCCCCGGAGTGCCGAGACCTGCTTCTGCAGGGAGATGTTCTCGTCCTCAAGCTCTGCACAGTCCTGCAACTGACGCAGTTCTCGCGTCTTGGCCTGTTTCATCTCCTCACGCAGCCGGGCTTTCTCAGATTCCAATGCCTGACATTCCTAGAAAGCAGGAAGGAAAAGAAATGGGTGATCCACAAGCTAATGGCACAGTACAACAGCCAGGCTGAGTTGGACAAGGAAACACTTGCCTCACCTGTCCAAAAACAGGGAGATACGCAGACTCCTAAAGGCATTTTATCGTGCCATAGTGTCTTTAACCAAACTGTAGTAAAAAACTTGCCCATGATCTCATTATTAAAATGCATCATCTATTTAAAGCTGCAATTAAGGGAACCACACTCCCAAAGATGCACATTTGGGACTGAAGAACGCTTCAAGCTGTGCCTAAGCACATACACTCTGGAACTGTAATAACTTTCTCTTAACTGGTGCCAACAGTCTTATGACATATCTCGGGGACAACCTTAATATAAATAGACACTTCAGTCTAGGGATGGGCCTTTCATATTTCAATGAAACACCCAAAGCACATAGGAAAATCTCTTTTGTGTACTCCATGTTCTCCGATCTTTTGCCTAAACAGTACTGAAAACATTCTGCTGGGTTGTATTACTCAGCATGCAACTGATAATGGTTATGGTGATTTCTTTAATTGAGGCAATTTCCCCCAACACGTCATGCCATTTTGTGTGGCTATGCAAAAGGATTTTGGCCATAGAATAGTGTCCCAAACCCTCATTTACACTTAAGCGCTGTAGGAACAGATGACTCTCACTTTCTCCAGGCACAGAACTGTGAATTATCCTCCACTTCAGAAGTTTGGTATAGTGTATAGTACTTTGGTGTCCCAAGCCAATTTTTTTTTTCTTTCTATTTTCTTCTGCCTGGGCATCTGAATTAGTCCCCACAACTAGAGGGGTGAAACTCCAAAACAAATCTAGAAAAAATAGCAACATTCCTTCTCCATTTTCCTCCCCACCCCTCCTCCACTGGAAAGGATTTAAAATGTTTGTTCTTCTTGTCCTCGTATTTCTACCCATGAATGTCGACACAATCCGACTGACTTATTGCCAAGATTACATTCCATGGTTGCCAAGTCTGGCAGGCAAAGCCTGCTCCCTGACTTTGTGCACTGAAGCCATTTGGCGCACCTCAAGAATGTAGCGCAACCTGGTCCCCCCAGTTCAAGCTTGTGGGTGGGCTGGAGAAAATCTGCCATCTTGCACTCCAAGGGCTCAGGAGTGGCTCCAAGGCTGCAGCATGGAAGAGCACCAGCCTTTGGCCCACACTTGGAGGTGGGGAGCTCAGGAGCACAACCACCACTGCAGGGATCAAGTGCTCCAAACATCTAAAAAATACAGAATGCAACACAAACCAACTCCCTCCCCTTCCTCCCAAGCAAATCAGCTGAGGCTTGGGGGAATCAGTACAACACTTGTGCTAGACTTCAGAGGACAGCCAAAGAACAGCATGACTGCTCTCATTCTTCCTGGTGCCACTCTCCTGTTCCAAGCTTAAGAGAAGAGATAGTGACCTTAGTGTTTGCCAGAAGTGGCGGGGCAGCGCACGAGTGTACTGGTAAACCCTTAGCTCCCAAGTCCAGAGTCCAGTACCCTGGCTATCCAGCTTTCATTAAAGTTTAAGAAGAGAAAAAGGCTGAAAAAATATGCTTGAATACACACAAGCAACATGCTGGTGATATTTTAGGGCAAAAGGGGACTAAATTGGACTTTCGGTGGCCAGGCAATGGGGCAGCACTGCCCTCTACTAGTTGCTTTTCGTCCCATTCTGAGATTCCTAGCTAACTAAGAAGCAAAATTCTACAGAACATACCCATGTGCTCCAAATGAATTCAGGCCAAAGCTCAGCAAAGGACAGACAGCTACTGCCAGCACTATAGACTAGTTCCCAGCCCCAGCTTTGTAACTAAGCCTCCTTACCTTCCTCAAGTCCCTCAGTGCTACAGCAAGCCGCTCATTTTCGGCCCCAGTAGTGTCAAGTTGAGATCTCAGATGCTTCATTTCACCATGGAGCTCCTCAATGGTTTGAGTCAGGCGGGCCTCTTTGGAAGCAGTTTCCCTAAGCAAACACTCTTCTCGGCTCTCCCCATCAGCAGCTGCCCGTTTGTGACAGCTGTGGGTCTCTGCCAAAGCCTGGGCAAGACAGAAGATGTAAGAAATCAGGTCTAACAGCCCAGCTATCCTTGGCAAATGCTACATCTATCTTTGTTGAAGGCAAAGTGAGGGCATCCTTGGCTCACCTCCTTCATGTGAACCAGCTCCATTCGTAGCATCTCTAGCTGACCTTCCAGATCTCTACAGCGCTGCTTCAGTTCACCATTCTCCTCCAGTACCGCCAGCCCATACTCTGCTGCCTGGACCTTCTCTTGGGTTGCCTCCTGTAGCTCAGCTACAAGGCGCTCCACCTCTGCTTGAAGCATCACCGGATCCTGGGCCATGGTGGTGTTGGCATACCAACCCTATATCAATAATACATAAGGATCATTAGGGAGACTGGGAAATAGGAGTGAGAGTAAGGAGGGGGAAACCATCTGAGAGAAGGACAGGTTTTCCCAATGGTCAGTCATCTTAAAATCCCCCACAGATCGATTTCAAACACAACCCAACTTCTCCTCCACTTGCTAGAATCCCACACAAAAAAAGTCGTGCTGCACATCTCCAGACGACCACACAAGACACCTTGGTAGGCAAATTTTGTTTGTGGACTCATACAATAAAATGTACAAGGTCTACTTTGAGGTGTACCAGCAAAATAATGATATTATTAGTTGCATTCAGACATCATACTTTGTCTAAAGAGTCTGAAGTCATGAACATGGTTCCCTTCCACGTTTCTATCTGCCCAACAATTATGGGAAACAGGTTAGGGAGAGACAACATATGGGAAGGCCAAAGTCATCAAGCGGACCTCATGGCTGACTTGAAATCTCCACCTAATTCTCCCAAGTCCAACATTCTCCCAAGTCCCTCACATCAGCCCTCAGAACGTTAGGTTAAAGAAAATGAAGGATTCCAGTCATGAGTGCAAGAGATACAGAGAACAACAAGCTCTAGAAGACTCAAGAAACAAGACATAGTATTTGCCCTGCCACTCCCCCCCCCATCCTTGAGCCTTTCTTGAACTAATAATTTAGAGCTAGCCAAAGAGTTACAGCTCTAGGAGACATTTGGGAAAGTAGTTAAGAGAACAGCCATGGAGAAGAAAGCATGAACTATTTATTTATCCAGAGTTTTAATCCACCATCTTGGCAAGTAACAGCATTTAAAAATCCATTAATAATACAGTTTTTAAAAAAATGTCATTGTAACTGCTTGGTTGCATTATGACAAACAAAAATGTATCCCTGGGCTCTTAAGATTTCATTGTCTTCATTTTATCTAGCCCCAGCTTCATCCCCACTTTTCTCTGGGCTTTGGAGTACATAAATGATGGCTTAGGATAGTAGTGTCACTCACTGCAAGAGGCAAGTTCAGATGTATCTTAAATTATAAGGCATTAACATCTCCTTTGCTCAATCTGGCTACAAATACATGGTTGAACGTAAGTGTCCTGTGTTGCTTCTATAGGACTTTGGCCCCCGGTAGATCATTGGAAGAAAGGAACTGAAAACTGTGGAGAATTTGGGAGGGCACCTCTGTGCATGTCCACACTTTTGGAACATATCCCAGAAGCCCACTAAAGGCTGCTCCTAGCTGAGTAGGAATAAATAACATTAGTAGATTTGTTTATTCTACATTGTTATAGGCAAAGCTTGGGGGAAATTACTGTTTTGGAGTGTAGCATGGCTTGGGAGATTCTAGGAGCTGTAGTCCAAAAATTACCTTTTAAAAAACATTTATTTTGGCATCATTTGTTTATTTATTTGCCACCTTTCTCCCAATAAGACTCAAGGCAGCTCACAGTATTAAAATCATTTGGTAGCAAAGACCAGTGTCAAGCAAACTTTCCTTGTAGCCGTACAGCCAACAGAAGCAAGCAGAACACATTGGCAGCACCAGAACAGAGCTTCGCCCCACGGCTCCCACAGAGAACAAGGGTTGTCATTCTAATAGGACCACAAGCAGTCACTGGGGGAAAGAGGAGGACCAGGGATGACCAGGTTTAAGTCTTGCTGCAGCCATGATGCTCACTCAGGTAACAGTGCATTTGCAACCACCAGCCTCACTTCCCTATCACAGGATAAGAGAGGGGAACTCTACAGACCACATGGCTGCTCTGAGGTCATGGCAGGGTAAAGGTTCCCCTTGACATTTAGTCTAGTCGTGTCCAACTCTAGCGGGGCGGTGCTCAACCACGTCTCCAAGCTGTAGAGCCAGCATTTGTCCGTAGACCGTTTCCGTGGTCATGTTGCCAGCGTGTCTAGACACAGAAGCCTCTTACCTTCCCACCAAGTTGGTCCCTATTTATCTACTCAGATTTACATGCTTTCAAACTGCTAGGTTGGCAGGAGCTGGGACAAGCGATGGGAGCTCACTCTGTTGCGTGGATTCGATCTTACGACTGCTGGTCTTCTGACCTTGCAGCACAAAGTCTTCTGCGGTTTAACTCGTAGCACCACCACGTCCCCAAGGCAGGGAGGGTACCCTAAATTGGTTCTTTTTTGTAATTCACTTGCGTATCTTTGTTGTTTTTTCAAAACACTGACACTTTGACAATATTTCACAGGTCAACTCCCTCAAGTTTTAGGATTGGTCAAGTGCCTAACCTGAGGTCACATGTTCTACTCTGGAAACTCTGTTCCTGAACCTCTGGCTCTTCCATACATATGAGTGGCTCAAATATGCTTACAAAACAACTCAAGCACTCAGGAGACGTATAAACAGCTATTATCCTAGAAATTAAGGATTGCTTCTAGACAGGGAAGCCTCTGCCACCTGGAAGTGAAGTGGCTCTTGTTTCACTTCCAAGATTAACAAAGTATTAATAGAGGTCGAGATAGAAAGGCTAATACCTTTTGTACTGATAAGATTTGTCCAAATCTCACTTATATGATTTGCCCAGCATTAACTCAGAGGAGTTTCAGCTGCCCTTTTCACAAAGTCACAGGGAAGGCTCCTTTGAGAGTCTGTAACTTAAGTCTGTCTGTACATACACACCCTGCCATATTTAAGAACACTAATCTCATGCAATGGGTTCTCCAGGTATACTGTATCACTATGGCAGCAACATACCCCCTCCCTGCAAACTAGTCACTACAGCAGCAACATACCCCCTCCCTGCAAACTAGTCACTGTCCTGCTGAATGAAGTGAATGGCTCAACAAGCATGGCTGAATGCATTTCAAGGTGATGCGCATTTCCAAGGCAAATCAGTTAAGTCATGCCTTGTATAAGTCAGGCACAAATTACCACAAAGATGGCCCAAGCTCATGCAGGGATATTTATTTATTTTGCATCATTTGTAGGTAATCTTTCTCCTAGTGAGGTGACCCAAGGTGGTTCACAATGTTAAAGCAAAACTAAGAGCATCATAAATTGCATATTAACAACAATTAAACTACAACAATGATTTTTAAAAAATCCATTAAGTAATAACGCTTAAAACTTTAAAAACAAACTTAGAAATCTAAAAATCCATTAAGTAATAACACTTAAAACTTTAAAAACAAACTTAGAAATCCTAAAAATCAACATCCAGGGAGGGTTATTAAAAACTACCTGAGGAGGTGACTTCATCTGTCAGCAGGACAAAAGGGAGAGCCACTCTTAAGTATGAGGGAGCCTACGCTCCCATGGGAGAACCTTCTACAACTTGGGATCAGCCACAGAGAAGGTCCCCTCTCTGCGTAGAAGTGTTGGATCATCTTCGAAGTCAGATGAGCCTACCTGTAATCACCTAGTATAGCATGGAAAGAGGGAATCATTCCCACCCCATGAGTCAATGAAGTTCAAGTCTTGGCTGAAATTCAGACTATGAATTCTCCTTTTAAGAAGGGGCATCAGGGGAATTAGCACCAGTACTTTATGTGGACTGATGGCAAGGAAAGGTAGAAAATCCAGAGAGATCCAAAAATTGTGTATTTGAACATAATAAAGACATCATGATAACTGATCCATTTTGAACAAGTGAACACTCAGGATCTCCACAAAAAGAAGTGAATAGATTCCAGATCATCTTTCACTATCTAGGCAGAATTTCCTCTGGTTTAATCATTTTTGCCTAGCCAGAATGTTAAATTGCAGTGTAGGTTCAAGCCCCTAAAACCTGGGAAATATTTGAAAACTATTTAGGGTGAAGCTAAAAAAATTCAAAAAAGACATGTAAGGCCCGAACATATTAGAAGGGAAAGATGAGAGAAATATCTTTGAAAATTTGCAGCAGATGGAAACTGAAGTTAATATATCTGATATAAAATCGTAATATATTTATTGTACCAATAAGTGCTGTATTGGACATATCCAAACAGGATAAATCTTACAAAACTGCAAGTGTTTCATGATGTATCAGACAGAGAGTGGCACAGTATGGGAAGAAGCACTTTTACTCACATGTGGTAAAAGCGCAAGTCTGTTAAACAGTATTGGAGGCATGCTTTTCATGTTATGCAAGATGCAATAGGATATGAGATCTAATTAGCTCAAGTGACAGCATTTCAAGGCTAGTGAACCACGTTAGATATTAGCATCAAGTAATGTTTATGTCTATGCCTAGTTTAATACACCAGCTATTGATGAATACTGTAAAAGGGAAACAGCTACTGTGCTTGCTACTGAAATATGGGGTGTGTGGAAAACACTGCTTAAGCACAAAATTATTACTTACTGTATAAAAGTGTAGGGGAAGAGAGAAAAATTGAACAGTTCTTCCACAGAAACAGGTAGGTATTATCGATTGCAGAAAACAATACAGACATGACATGTTAACAACTACAGATACACTGATTTGATGGGACACAAGTATTATCCTCATTATTATAATTGCTTGTTTTTTAAATGGAAAAAAAATATGGGACATAGGTATGGAATAAACAGATTGGAAGACGTTCCCTTCTAAAACAAGAACTTTTAGAACTCATTCCATCTCTAGAAGCACAAAGAACCCAAGACTACATTTCTCAGTTACAGGAAGTGAAACAGACAGGAAGGAAAGTACCAGTCATATGTTGAAATATTATAGGAGCCTATGAATTGCTCGCAAGTGTGTAAATGCATTACAACAAACAGATTATTTTAGAAAGCAGCAGAGTTTTGATCCACTACACACTTATCTTTGATCACACCCCTTTAATTCAGAATAAACACAGCTCCTTAGTTGCATAGTCCAATCACTAACCTTCCTTCTCTCACCTGGGACAGTTCAATCTGATTAGGCAGTCTAACCAATTTTGAGCATTTGCCACGGATCCGCATTTGTGACGGAAGATTGTTACCTCAAATTTCTTACTGAATGACCCAACTCCCCTTTAGCCATTACTGCAATGTTTGAAATTAACCCAGATTAAGTCTGAAAAAAAAATTTAAGGATTTGCTATTCGTTGTCCCTGAAAAGAGCAGGTCAGGCTAGATGACCTTTCTGAGCCAAAATCGTCATCATTTTACACACAACCTCCATCCCCTCTTGCATCTTGCAGCCCGCAAACCTCCCTTTCCCGCGCCAATTCTTTTATCCTCACCTCGCCTTTCAGAAAAGGGGCGTGGCCAGGCTTCTCCAATGGCAGCAGCTCATGGCGTGGGGCGACAACTAACTTTTCAGAAACCTAGCCGCGGTCTACTCCCAGGTCTTCCACCACCCCGAGCCAGCCAGATTTCCGCTTGGGCGGCGTCTCAATTTTCCACTCATAAAAGTTCTCTGGCACCGACCCTTCTTCGCGCGTCTGGCGTCAAACCCTAAGCTCCGGAGACGAACCGCGCCAGGCACTACCGCTAATGCATGATTCCTCCTCCTCCTTCCTCCCTCCTCTTCCTCCACTTTATAAGCATCGCTCCTTTCCCCCTCCCAAGACGTTTGAAATTCCTCGCGCGCCTAAACGAGATACCGGCCTGTCCATTATGGCTGAGAGCGCAAAGAGAACCCTTGATTGGCCCTGCCCGGTAGCTGATTCGACGCACGGCAGTTTTAATTGGCCGGTTCCTTAGCAGAACTGTTGTCCTCTGAGCTGATAGGCTACATAAGTACAAGGGATACGCCTTCAATGTCTGCTCCTTAAACCACGCCCTTCCTTGCTTCTGTTTGGCTGGAGTTTCTGTGGGATACGCCCTATTTTTTATAGCTAAGCCCCGCCTCTCAGCTAACGGTAGGTTGTTGCTCCACCCCCTCCTCCGAGTGCTGCCTCTTTTCTAACGGTCGCCTGGAGAAGCCTGGGATGTAAATTGACAGACGCATATGTAAGCTAGCAGAATGGAGTTTTAACGCACTAACTTTTGCGAAAAGCTTAGAAATTAGTATAGTGCGTCTATCTTCCCAATTCTCGGCGAGATGAGGGAGAACGTTAGTGTGTCTCAGGAAAATAAATTATAATTGAGGGCAAGGTCCTCCTTACGTTCTCCACATTGCAGTGGATGAAGTGACTAAAAAGGGGGAAACAGAAATATTAGGTGACATTAAGTCCTCCTGAGGTGAATTGCAAACATCTGAAATAGTATACATATATATTCACATTCTCACTTTAGCCCAGTACCTGAGAGAGATAGCGGTTGGAAGAATCGTTTTAATCCTATAAATTTATATGCTGTACAGTATAGTTTAGTGAGTTAGGTACAGTATGTCCAAGAAAAGAGCCAGCCTATGGAGCCTTGGGGAAGCTGCAGTCCCAGGAAGCTCCCACAAGAAGAGAATGGTAAACCACTTCTGAGTACTCTCTACTGAGAAAATCTTGAAAATGTTTACTGTGAGTCAGGTTTACTTGATAAAGGGGGTACCTACCAGCATGGTGTTAGCAGATAAGAGTAACAGATAAGGGTTCAGGATACAAATAGCCACTTGGCCATGGAGCACTGGTAAAACCACTCCTTAACTATCTTGCACACCTTAAAAGCCCTATAAGGATCCCTGTAAATTGGTTCACATCTGACAGCACCTAACCCAGATTTACATAGTGTGATCTCCCAGTGTGTGTCCCAAGAGAAAATTTACTGTTGCTTCAAACACAAAAAGCACAGCGGAACCTCTTAAGACTGGCAGATTTAAGTTAAACTTCTGTGAGCCATCTTCATAAGAGGCTCAGAGCAATGTAAGAGAAAAATACTCAGTTGGGTTATCCACTACAGCATCTTATGAAATCACCAGTAAATGCTTACGCTAAGATATATTTGTTCATCTTTGAGACTCTGGGATTTTAGGAAAATTAAATATGAATTATAGCTGGCTGGAAAACTCAGTGGTGTAAGTATCCAGCTGTGGAGCTGGCAGTTGGGAGTTCAATTATGCTTCCTATGAGGACAGCCAACCTGTGTGGCCTTGGGTAAGCTGCACAGTCCAAGTCTGAGTTGAAGAAGGGAATGGTAAATCATTTCTGTGTATTCTGCAGCTAGAAAACCCTGGAAAGGGTTGCCATAAGTCAGAATCCACATACATAATGCTTTCCAAAATAACCAATAAGACAGGAGCCTTTTCAGATGTTTGCAATTCGAACTTTGAGCAAGACAGATAAGGTTGCAAGGAACAGAAGCTAGAAGTAGGGTTCAAATAGGTTACACAGGTCTGAGAAAACAATGACTTGTTCCTTTCTGAAAGACCAACAAGACATTTCAAACGTCTGACCAATAAAAAAAAGTTTCCATGTAGCTGTCAATCCATTATGGAACTCATTAAAGTTACACACAACACAGAAGACTGGCTAGAATAACTGACTGGCTGCTTCTCCAAAATATGTGGCTATTTTTCATCCATGTGTGAAGAGTAATTTCCACATGGAAGTTTATAGTATCTTGTGTCTTTAAATTGTTACCATTTTTTAAAAAAATAGTGTCTTATAAAATGTAACTATGTAATCTCCTGGTTGTTGTGATCTAACTACAGTACTAACTTGGAAGCTCAGTTTTACAGATTTGTCTGTTTTGAAAAAGCTTTGCAAGGAGAACTGCATGCTATAGCAGTTAATCTTCTAAAACTATGAAGATGCCGGCCACAGAGACTGGCGAAACGTTAGGAAGAACAACCTTCAGAACACGGCCAAAGGACCTGAAAAACCCACAACAACCATTAGATCTCGGCCGTGAAAGCCTTCGCGAATATATGCAATCTCCCTCTGCTAATTTCTTAAACAATGCTGTTTCAATTAAGAATAGTTTTAGCATATAAACTGCTATAGCATGCAGTTCTCCTTGCAAAGCTTTTTCAAAACAGACAAATCTGTAAAACTGAGCTTCCAAGTTTGTAGATCACCAGTATCTCAGGTTTACTTGTGAGCACACCATCATACGCCTTGTATTTAATGTTTAAATCAAATATATATGCAATGATGTGGCAGGGCCCACAAGTCTTCTGTTTGCAACCTGGATGATACAGCAGCCACACTGGGATCTGAGTTTCTATGCTGTATCCTACAGTTTCAAATTAGCCATATTTCAATTGAATGTCAAGAAAAACTTCTTAACTATTAAGAGTAGTAAGACAGTGGAACCAATTACCTTGAGAGGTGGTGAGTGCTCCAACACTAGAAGCATTCAAGAGAAACTTAGTCAACCACCTGGCAGATATCCTTTGATTTGTATTCCTGCACTGAGCAAGGGGTTGGACTAGATGGCCTTATAGGCCCCTTCCAACTTCACTTTCCTAGGATTCTAAATCAGTGACTTGTATTTTACAAATGTTATTGGGGTAATGTATTTTAAAAAGAGAACTGTAAGTGTTTTACCATGTGAGCAAGAGACTAGCCTGGAAAAAGACTAGAGAACATTGTGCCAATCTTCTTCTCCCTCCACTGTTGTTTTTCAAAGTAGAGTGCCTATGGACTTTGCCTGTGCTATCAGTCCACTCATACTGGTATTGGAGGCCAATGGGCTCTGGAGAGCAGAGCACTGGCTGTTTCTCTGCTGTGGCCTTGCACCATCTGGAAAGCACCATGTGCTGTTCCTTACAGCCGCCAATGTTCTGCTCTGGAGAGCCTCCCTTGATTCCTTCTGGCTGCAACATGTGCCATAGCTGGAGATCTTTGGAGTGGTAGCTGTTGAGCCCTATCTACAGGGTCACTCCTTGGTTCCACCGCCTGATATGGTCCTTCACCCCATCTTATCAGCCACCCTGATAAATAAAAATCACACCACCGTTTGATGTGCTGTTAGTATTTTCTCTGGCTGAGAGCAAAAGTTAAGTACTTTATAGTAATTGCAATCTATAATATGACAATTTAGTTCAAAGAAGATGCTATGAAAACACAAAGGGGAAGAATAAATACTCAACTCTCTCAGCAAAATTTAGCTTTATCCTAGCATTTTCACATGTACATTTCACTGCCAGAAACATTAAAAGACAATAATGAAAGAAAGAAGACGACATGGTGCTCGCTGGACATGGCTAACATTTACTTTGTATTTCAGAAGAGGTGGGGAGAAATTAGTTTGCAGACCTCTAAGTAAGAACTCTCTCAAAAGAACTGTATATGGGAAACACCTTACAGGGAGTATTTCATTCAATGTCCATTTTACTGGTCTTATGAAAGAGCTATGAATCCATTAAGTTAGCAATTCAAGTTTTATTTTAATTGATCTATTGGCTGAACACTGAACGGCAATATTACAGGTATACATCAAACAGGAAAAGTAATTTTGGTCACATTCAGTCCTAAGACAATACCATTAATACAAGCAATTTAGTCAACTGTTGTGGGAGATCCAGTTACATTCAATAGGCAAGGACTAATTGTGTGTCAATGCCTCTTGGTAGGAGACAGTCCATGGAATGTCTACCCAACATGGCCCTGGAATGTCAGGCCTGAAAGAGGAAAACCAAGTAGGGTAGAAGCTAGGCACAGCAGAAGGTGCCCACAAATTCAGGTAAGACAATGACTAACTGGTCCACACAGAATTACCTAGAGACTTTTGTGCCCACTTAATATGCAAGTAGATGATGAATGGAAGGTGGAAGATGTAACTTGGTTAATTTTTCAAAAGCTGCTTTTCAAAACAAGGTTAAAGATCATGGAGGGAATGTTAACAGCAGCTTATCTGTTACCACTGAAAAGGGAAGCAAACTAAAGGGGAAGTTTAAGAATTTCTCCCCCACCAAAGCAAGCAGCTGGCACCTCTGTCTTGAGAATCCATTTTTCACAACTCCATAACCATCAGCCCTGAATATATCAGCCCCTATATCAGTTGGCAAAGGTGCTCTTTACAGCTGCTATGATGCTCTTTGAACTGATGCCAAACAGATCGAGGAGTTCAGCTGGTTTTCCACTCCGTGGTACACCTGACACAGCCAGGCTCTGGACTAAGATACCAGGCTCTCCGGAGACAACAGCTGCCACAGCTTCACCAATGCCTCCTAGAGGGAAAAAGAGTAGTCAGTTTAGGTATGGATCCATTTCCCACATAGGCTTCATTCAGTCAGGTTATTTTAACTCTTTCATACAACAGTATTTTGTTTCAAAGACAAATACACTGATTAATATTTTCTTCTCTTCCAGAAGCACAAGGTACTTCCTTTCCTATGCAATCTCCAAAATTTAGGAAGCGCACCCCTGCTTTTTTTTGACTAGACAGCAAGAGTTCTTAAATTTACCTCAGAGTTTTCTAAGTAGGGACATACAATTAATTAGGCCTGACTTCAACATCGCTTTTCCTGGGAGAAGGTTGTAAACTCCCCATGTGAATTAAATAAAATTAGAAAAGTGAAAGCATGCATGCAGGTTTTTAAAAGAGAACATATGTGTAGCAAGCCAAACAGCAGACTTTGTAAAACAGATTAAACCTTCAGTTTGTGTTGGCTGGTAATGGCTCTTGACCAAACCAGGGAGGGCACTCCCTCCATCCTGGTCCACTAAGTCATCCACATTAGCCAAGTTGAATGTTCTAAATAGAAACTTCCCTCTATATACTTCTCCACTGAACTGCATGGATCTCAGCAGCATGGTATTAGTTATACACATTTTAAATAAATACATATTCAACAAATACTGTGCTGCTATGTGTCTCCTGGAAATGGTCTGAGAAAGAGGCTTACCTAGGGCCCTGTTGTTGACAGTGTGGCAGCACCCAGTCTGAAGGTGGTGGCCTGGCCAGCCCCCAATTCTTTTATGGTGGCCGGAGAGGGTGATGAGGCATGCCAGAGGTGGTGTGTGTGTGTATTAATCAACTGTATATGCTTTGTAGTTATGTTTTTCGGAGCATAAGAGATTTTGAACAACACCAGGATCTGGTACCCCTAACCCCAGCATTGTTGAAGGGAGAAGTGTATGTAGAAAAGCACAATAGTTTTGACAGACTGTAGTTTTAAAACCATAGTCACTTGAAAGAGTTTATCAAAATGCCAAATGCTGCTTTATATTCATCTTTACATACTTGGCAGTTCTAGCAACTAAAACCATCTTGTCCAAAAAGTAAGACGGGCTGAAGAACTTACTGGGACATATATTCTGTTCACAGCCATCCCGTACTCTGGTCCCAAAGCCATAGCTAACTTTCTCTCATCCATATTAAGTCAGCTGCTTACCTTCTTTGTAGTGATCTTCAACTGTGATGATACGCCCCCCTGTGGCTCTGGCATTAGAGATTATGGTTTCAGCATCCAAGGGTTTGATAGTAAAGGGATCAATTACCCGGATATGGATGCCTAAAAGAAAGCAAAATAATCATGGGAAGGATGCAAAAAGGGGGGGGGGGCTAGACAGGAGGGGGGGGGAAAGCGCCAAATAAAAATCCTAAACATCCCATGATATTCGCAGCCAGCAAGACAGACAGACAGACAGACAGACAGACAGACAAAGACACACAGACACACACACACACACACACACCATTACCTTGTTTGGCCAGCTCATCAGCAGCTGCAAGGGCTTCATGAAGTGTGACACCTGCACCAATAACAGTAACCCGGTCACCATCATTCTTACGCACAACCTACACAAGAGGGATAAAAAAGACTATGAAGATAACTGGCCCACTATCAGGAAGAAGCAAATGACGAAAGGTTGGGAAGGCTATATTTTTAAATTATGAGGCTTGGACTCTTTCAAGTAACATGGGAGGTTCTCAGAGCTATAGTACAAAAAAGCCCCTAATTTTTACAAACTTTGGCCATGCCCATTCAGATTACGCATATTTCCTAATGGAAAGCAAGAATCTCATCTGATTCAAGGGGTATGTCATTCAAGACCAAATTAAGTTGTCTTCCAAAGTTCTTTGTCAACTACAAAACTAACTGCTATTTATTCCTATACTACAACTGCCTGTTCAGTTGAAGGCCTTCATATTCCATCCATGAATTAAATCTTTTTCACTCATATAAACATGCACATATAGCAAGCTACTAAGATAATAACACCCCTCCCAGTTTTCCTTACTGCAGTAGCAAAATCCCATGCTTTTTTCTGGGAGGAAGGCTTTTAAGAAAACATATTTATTTGGAATTTAGTTGACTACCATCTTCTGCGCTGTCTCAAGATAGTTAAAGAACAGCATTCCTTTATACCATACCTAGGTTCCTCGTCCATTTGAAATGCTAACAAACATGCTTGTGTGGAAATTTGACATAAGAGCCTATGCCTTATCTGTGCAACAGCAGAAATTTGACTCTCAGCTGGATTCTGTGACTATGCAATGCCTCAGGCCAAGCTCAGTTATTTACAGTTACAGTACTTCATTGTCCTGTGGTCAAATCATGTTTCTCCTCTGCCACCTAGTGGTGGGAATATATAGACAAGTCCAACTATAAGAGTAACGGGTATTCTTTTTTTGGCCCAACACACCAGTCTTCGGGGGCTTTGACCAATGACTAATTTATCTCATAGGCCTGTATGTAGAATGCGGGCTCATAATGCTCAAGCAGTTTATTTAACTGTTCTTTTCTTAAGTGCCATAAAGTTACTTTTCACTTATGGCAACTTTACGAATTAATGCCCTCAAGAAGGCCCCATCATTAATAACCCTGCTCAAGTCTTGCAAACTAAATTCCCTGGCTTCCTTTTTGCTCTAATCCATGTCTTTTCCCACTGCCTCCCACCTTTCCTAGCATAACTGTCTTTTTCTAGTAAGTCTTGTCTTCTCATGATATATCCAATGTCTGACGGCCTGATTTATTTTACCTTCTAGTGAGAGTACAGACTTGACTTAATATAGAACTCACTTGAAATCAATTTATCCATAAAATGATTCTCCAACATCATATTTTGAATGGATCAGTATTTCCCTGTCACCTTTCTTCACTGTCCTGCTTTCACACCCTAACATAGCAATCAGAAATACCATAGTTAGAATGATCTTTGCCCCAGTCTCCAGCCTTATGCTTAAGGATATTTTCTAGTGATTTCATATCTGCCTTTCAAGTCTTAGTCTTCTGATTTCTTGGCTGGGGTTTCAATTTTGATTGACCACTGAACCAGTTTCAGTAACATTTTCTGATTTCTTCCTTGTCAACATTAGAGGCACATCCAAAGAAGGAGCAATGTTAGTTTGTCACAGCATGGTGGCAAAATTAATGGTTAAAAATAAAAGAGAAAGAACTAAACTAAAGTCTCTCTTCAGAGACTTTTGACTTGTTTCAATGTGAGCTTTCATGGTCCAAAAATCACTTCTGCAGACACACAGAGTGCAGGTACATGTCCTCTATTATATATATCCCTTTCACCAGATAAAGATAACAATAATAGACAGCGTCACAAAGCTTCGCACAGGAATGGGACTATCTAGCTGTTAAAAACTATTTTATCTTGTTCAACTGTAATCCTGTTTTTTCACTTCCTTCTTTCAACTTTTTCAGTAGTTATTGCTATTTTCTGTCAATAAAAAGCTATCATTTACATGGCCTAAATTACCAATTTTAATTCCCCCTTCATCTTAAAACAATCTAGCTTTCCATATATGTCCTGCACACAGATTTAACAGATATGGAGATAAAATACATCTTTGACTGATATCTTTATCGGAAAACTTCTGTTTCTCCATATTCTGTTCCAACAGTAGCTTTTTATGTGGATTACAGGCTATACACCAGGATAATCAAATGTGTGATACACTCATTTCTTTGGGAATGTTTCACAAATGTTCAAAATCAACACATTCAAAGTTACTATAGTCTATAAAGCACGAAATTATTTTCTTCTCAAACTCTTTGAGACACTCTAATACCCAACATATATCTGGTATGATCTCTAGTGCCTTTTCCTTTTCTGAATTCTGCTTGAACATCATACACTTTTTGCTTTATATAAGGCTACTCTTTATTATAAAATCTTGACTGTCAATTTACTTGCATGGAAAATTAATGCAATGGTCCTGTACATAACTGGAATCTTTGGCATGTCTTTGCTTTGAGATTGGAAGATATACTGAAAGCTTCCTGTCTGTGGACCATTTTTTGTTTTCCATATTTATTGGCAAATACTAATTGAGATTTTGATACATTCAATCTCCATAATTTTTAATAGTTCTACTGGTTTTCTATTTACTTTTGGTGCTTTATTTTTTCCACCTGCTTTGAAAGCAGCTTTCAGTTCACCTTTTAGAATTTCAGGTTCTTTATCAAACAATTCTTCTTCAAAATAGCCTGCCACCCCTGCATCACTTTTATATAGTTATTTAAATAATATTTTGGCACTATCATTGTTTTAGTTTCCTTTTCAGCTTGCCTCCAATTTTTATATTAACAGTTGGTGGTCTGTATCCAAACCTGCTCCTGGAAAGAAGAGCTTTTCCATGGTCTCTTTTCAATTATATAGTCTATTTTGAAATCTATATTAGCCTTTCAGCAACTTCCACATGTATTTGTAATAAACAAATCGTTAGTATCACAGAATTCAGTGAGTTATCAACCAACTCCATTTCTAATTCTTGAACTGGTGTATGATTAGTTTCTTCCATGCATAAAAGCCTTCAGTTTTTTTTCTTCAATATCTGCAGCTGGATCACAGACTTGAATAATGGTAATGTTTTCAGGCTTGCCATGAAATCTGACTGACTGAGTCACTTTATATTGTAGCCCCTCACAGACTGAACTGTTTCACCTCATTATAATTAGAACTTTTCCTTCTGAGTTTATCATTTCCAGAATGATAAATTCATAATTATCTGATCACACCAAGGATTACAATTTTGAAATCTTCCATTATGTTTTCAGTTTTACGCTTGCCTTGATCCATACTTCTCACATTTCATGCTTTACTTATACGCATAGTGTACTATAAGACTCCCTTTGGCTCTGGACAGATGTGCAACTATTTGTTCTTTTGGCCTTAATCCAGTTCCTTTGTCAGACAGTCTTATCCATATTTATCCTTTGCTTTTCACAACAGCCGAGTCCCTTCCAACCTGGGAGTCTCATCTTCCACCACTATGTTTTATTCACTCAAATCTTCATCAGCCTGTACACCAATATATTGTGGATAAGGCAGAAAAATACATATGAAAGTAAAAAAATCATGGAAGACGTTCGTGCCAGGTCTGCTCTTGCATTGTTCATTTCAGAATCTCCTGCCATGCAGCTTTTGAGTTAAAAACATTCAGCAGTAGTTTACCAATGTCACCTTCTTCACAGTACAAACATTAGCCCACTGTTTATGAAGGATTCTCTACCAGTGTCCTCTTCCACTGCTGCACAGTAGATGCCCTTCACAAGTGTTTCCACCCCATCATCACTGGAACCATAAATTTGCATCTGCTGATGGAACTGTTAATTCCTGAAGAAGATAGAATCATTTTTGTGTCTGGCATCACTCAATTGACTATTCTGATGAGAGTGACCCTGTTAGGAGTTTAAACTTATAATGGAGTCTGGCCTCCTGACAATATTGCTCTTAGCTTCCTTGACACACTCAAACCTCCTCACCACATTAAGTTCTGTACTCAAGATGATTTCCAAATATCATCAGCTAAATAGAGCTCAGATCTGCTTTAATTTATTTAGAATACAAGTGCCTTCAGAGCTATGTATATCAACAGCCAAATTCACACTTGGAACAAAAAAGCCACTGACACTACACTTCTTTCCTTGGGCAGTTAGGATCCCTGTTTTAAAAAGACACACTTTCCCCCTCCATCACATATGAGAATAAAGTTCTGTTCTTTACATATTATCTGTTCTGAGGCCAAAGCAGTCAGACAACATAGAGTATAGAAGAGATAAGACCTTACTTTGGCCTGGCCAATTCCAAATTTTTCCTCCTGGGAATACAAGACAGGAGTCTCTGGACGACTGGTTCGGATGAAGCAAATCCCCTGAAGAACAAGAAATCAGACTTCAGAAGATGAACAGCAGAGCTCTTAGCCAGATCTTCTAGCAATGTATATTTTGATATATAGACTGTCACAGGGACAAATTCAAAGGATTCTGTAAATGCAAATTGGAGGTCATCTGGAAAGCACAGTAATGCAACACATGCATCTGCTTAAACAGCAACTTAAACAAATCAGCATAGGTTTCAGTAAAATCTGAGTTTCTTTTGGGACACATAAGAGAAAAGATAAACAAAATTAAAACTGCCATATTAGCAAACACACAGGGTAATCAAAGAAGCTGCTTCAAACAGGAGGGCTAGAACAATCTCAGATTAAAAGCAACATATAGAATGAAAGCTTTCAACCTCTGCCTGAGCCTTAACTTTTCCAGGCAAAGATACAGTCAAGGCCTTTATCTCAAGAAGCATCCTTCTACTCATATACCTTGGTATTCGCTGCCAAACAGACGGCGTGTTCAGTAGAAACAGCATCACTTGGGTAGAACACTGTGCAACCTGGAATAGTTCTGAACATAGCTATGTCTTCTAAGGCCATCTGAGAAGGTCCATCCTCACCTGATGAAGAAGAGCAACAAGGAACATATCTGCTACCCAAGAGAAATGTAGGCATTCAGTATCTATAATATGCATCACTCAAATAACCTTATTCATCTTAACAGCAACCCAAATAGCAGCTGCATTCTACATCAACAGAAGTTTGTGAGACATCTGCAAAACCTCATTTAGAGTGCAGTAGTACATGCATGATTTCAGAACACCACAATAAACTCATCACTGCCAGCAGCATGTTGTATCTGAAAACTTTAAGTCATAATTCTTTCAGAAACTAGTAGCTGAAAACTTTGCTTAGTTTGTCAGACCCTTTTTTGTCATCCAATATGTACAGTGGTGCCTCGCTTAACGAGCGAACCATTTAACGACGAATCCACATAGCAACACGCGATGTTTTAGGTGGCAAAACATCGCATTGCGATGATTGGTAAGCATTTCGCTTAACGATCTTTGCATTGCGATGTTTAGAAAACAGCTGATCAGCGGTTCCAAAATGGCCGCCGGGTGCGGAAAATGGCCGCCCGCAGCGTTTTCGCGCCCTGCCCTCGCTTACCGAGGCAGCAAAAATGGCGGTCAGATGGGGAATCTTCGCTTACCGGTGAGTTTCCCCCCATAGGAATGCATTAAACGGAGTTTAATGCGTTCCTATGGGGTTTTACGTTCCATATAGTGATGTTTCCGGATAGCGACATTAATCCTGGAATGGATTAACGTCGCTGTGCGGGGCACCACTGTATATTTGAGGCCCCAAAATAGAAACAAAACTTTAGAAAGTCGTCATGCTTAGGTTTATAGCAGTCTTCTTGAAAACCCACATAGTACACCTCCTCAACTATAATTCTTCCATCATGGCTCAAAATATCAACAATTGTAGGCTATATAACTGAACAGAAAAGAGGAAATGTACTGCTTAGAATCAGAAGAGGGACAGAGAATCATTCTGCCCTGAAGCTCACACTGATTCTGGATGAGTTGTTCTGGCTACCTATTTTAAAAAAACTATTGTGAGAGTAAGTGGGAAAAGAAGAAATGTATACGATGGGGTGAATTCCTGCATCTTACATTGAGCAGGGAGTTGGATTTGATGGCCTTATAGGCCCCTTCAAACTTGACGATTCTATGATTCTATGAATGATGGGGTGAGCAAAGGCCACATGCAGCCCCTTGGGGGCTCAAATATATTTACCAGCTCCCTTTTAATTTTTTAAAATTTTTGCTAACTCCAGGGCAGCTATTCTCAACTTTTTTTTCACCCTGGCACTTTCAGAAACTCTCCTCTGGTTCCAGGGCCCCCTGCAAAGCAAAAATACAAAACAAATAGACACCTTTCAGAAATTGCTGACATATTTCAGTCTATAGCCTCTTCCAAAGGTGCCAGGGCCTCCTGTTGAGAATGGCTGCTTTAAGGGGCACAGGAGGAAATGGTGCCATCTTTTGCTACTCCCTCAGTCATGGAGATGGGGGAGAGTGGTGTGTTTTTTTCAAAACCAGAAATCATTTAGAACATATAAGGAACCTCCTTTTTTTTAAAAAAAGGCAAAATGGTTCCCTACTTCCACTTGAGGATATGAACGGGCATTTCCAGTTTAGGATTTAAAAAAAAAAAGGAAAGGAGGAACTGGAAGCAAATATGTTCTTATAAGGTTGGAGGTGGATATATGCAGCCCCCAAGCAGTTGAACTATTTGGAGGAAAACCATAATGGAAAGATAGAAAATAAGCGCCTCCCACTTACCTATCGATACCCCAGCATGGGAGCCACAAAGGTTAATATTTCCTTGGGAGATGGCACCCATCCGAATATGGTCAAATGCACGGGTAAAGAAGGCAGCAAAAGTGCTGGCAAATGCAATGGTGCGGTTCCTTGCTGCACAGCCTAATGCGACACTGACCTACAGCACAAAGCAAACTGTCAGCACAAGTTTGGTTCCACCTGGAATACACGACAGCGTGTCACATTTTGAGACTCACCATGTTCTGCTCAGCTATGTAACACTCTATATAACGGTCTGGATGTGCCTGCTTGAAGATGTCTGCGAAAGTAGAGTTCTTAGTGTCTCCATCCAAGACAACCACACGGTTGTTAGCATTTCCTAGTTTTGCCAGGGCTAAACCGTAAGCTTTACGGGTGGCCACCTGAAAAAGGGAAAATCATACTGTAGTCCACCGTTATGTCTGAAGCAATTTTTCAAATAGACTAATTTTCTCTTGGTATCTTTACATTTCTTTTTTCATCCTCCTTCCTTCTGCTTACCTTCCCCTCAGCTGAAACTTGGGCACTACTCTGTCTTAATTTGCAAAATAGACTGCAAATGCCTTACACAAAAAAGGCAGTTCAGGATACATGCCAGAACCTAAAATCCTTACCTAAATTGCTATCAGCTGTGAAAGTGTACAATAAACATTATTCCCTTCAAATTCAATATATGCATTTATTTTGGTTGTGATGCACACTTTTTCATGGGCTTCCTAAAATATATTTACTTCGTGTACTATTTCGAGTTCCGGATAAGATCTGAATATGTAATAAAGGATTCTGAGATAGTTTTATTGCATACAGTCACAAAGACTCTTTGTTAAAGTTGAAACGCTGAAAGATACTTCAGCATATTTAGGCTGAGGAAGTAGTGTTGGAGGAACTGCAAAGGCTAAAAGGTTACAGCAGACAACCTGATCCATATAATACCTTTTCCCCAATTTTGAAGGCAGGCGGAGAAGGCATTTTAATATCCCCAATGTTGATCTGCGGCACATCTTGAGTGGGTGGGTGGATAGGCAACACTTTATTAGTCTGTATTTGACCTTCAATAGTGCTGATGATGGAGTCCACTTTGTCCTTTGGCATCGGCTTTCCATGCCAGTTATCAGCATCCTCCACACCTGAGGCAGAGAACATTTACTAGGCACTACTTAGCGATGGAATGAACACTGCAAACTACCCTTTATCTTCCTCCCTCAAAAACCCCATGACAAAGAGGCTCATGTTCACCTGGAATTCCTCGTCCTTTGAATGTTTTTGCTATAACAGCCGTGGGCTTTCCCTTCTGCTGACTTGCTTGCCACAGCGCCCCACACAGTTCTTCTACATCATGACCATCCACAACATAAGTATTCCACCTAGCAGAAGAGGACAGGGTTGGTATAATGGGCTCCTTGCCAGAATAACAGCAAAAGCAGCCAGCAGTACTCACCCAAAGGCTTCACAACGCTTGCGATAGATATCAGTGTCATGGCGCAGTGGTGCTGCTTCACTTTGTCCCAGCCGGTTGATATCAAAGATGGCCACCAAATTGTCCAGTTGGTAGTGGGATCCAAACTGGAGGGCTTCCCACACAGACCCCTCTGAAGATTCACCATCACCCAGCAAACAGTATACTCGGTAACTGGGAAAGAGTGGGACACATTAAGGGAGAAAGAAAGATGGGCCCTTCTGCAACTCATTATTTCCTCAATACAGTTGCCAGCACACAGGAGTATAAGCATGGTGGAAGTCACATAGCCCACAGACCTCATGTGGTTCTCAACACCAATTTGGGACCCTTCACCCCCACAAAAAAAGAGAACTGGTGCTCCTTGCAAGCAGCTAGGTGTCCCAATTCTCCTAAATCTCAGGGTCCTTTGTATCTTTTAAAAGTGAAAAACAGAACATTTAGAAAAATATGGATGTCTGGCCACTTTTGGTTTCATCATTCCACCTCCACCCCACCCTTCTGGATATGTGAGGCTTCTGATGGGTCCATAGGGCACTCCTGATAGATGTCTTTGCAGATTTACCAAGTAGCATCTCACCTGGACTTATCAAAGTATTTGCCTGTATAAGCCATTCCGCAGGCCGCTCCCAGGCCCTGGCCTAGTGAACCAGTGGCCACATCCACAAAAGGAAGCCTCTGTTAAACCAAGAGAGAAAGACTGCTAGAAACACAGCATGAACTCGCTATTCCAGATTAGTCTCACATGATTCATTCTTTGTCCTCTGTTCTCTTCATTTGCATCTATCCCATCTCTAGAACAAAATACAAATATCTCCCTATGCAACTACTTTGGTAATCAAGGTTTACCTTTGCAGTAAGTGGTTATTTTACAAAACACTATCATAGAATGGAATAAGATCTGTTTGCCATGTTAACTATGTTGCTTTGCCACCGGCACATAGTAATGTAGAAGAGAAACGTAAAAAGGAATCAGATTTTCAGGCCTGTCAGAGAGGTGTTTAAATGGACTGTTGTGCCTTGTTGTTTTGAATGTGTTTTTTATGTTGACTTTGTTTACTATTTTAGTGTGGTATTTGTTTGATTCTTTTTCAATATATGTATACTTACTGTTTTTAGATTTTAATATTGTCTTTTACTGATGTAAGCTGCCTTGGGTCCTTTTTAAGGAGAAAGGTAGGGTAAAATATTCAAATAAATACATCATTTTTTCAGGGAAATTGGACTACAGTTTCCATAATTCTCCATCCTGAGAGTTGTACTTGATTGACAAAATACCTTACAGACACCTCAATGTGTCTCACCTGGGAGAAAGGCCCATATTGGAATGTTTTGAGGCCTAGATGCACATAGTTTTGTGTTCAGAAAAAAAGCACCAGGGCAGAAACATAACTCTTGTGTACAGCTAGGCCTAGCTGACTCTCAGAATCTTCCAATTTGGGTCTTTCTACCAGGTGAACCACATTTAGGTGCCTGTATGTCAGGCAGAATGCCAAAATAGAGGATTATGGGGGTTGTCGTTCAAAAAATCCAAAAATTGCATCCCTAAACATGAATGCTTTGCCAAACTTTGTATCATCTCCAGCTTTTGAATGTCAGTTGCCCATCAGTAGCAAGGACTATCAGTACTATTATGCATTATGTTGTATGCTGCTTTCCTACTATGCTGTTATCCTGGAAAAATGTTTTAAAAATGCAAACAAGAAATTCCATGTACCACTTTATATACATTTAATTAGGATCAGTCCAAAACAGTCAGGTGTAACAAGACCTTGTAAACAACCGGAAAGCTCGAGATATACTTTTTTGGGGCACAGATCTCAAAGAATGCCAGTGCAGCGCTGACAGAAGCACTTACAGGAGTTGGGTGGCCTTCCAGGTCACAGTCTATCTTCCTGAGTTTCAGCAGCTCTGGCTCTTTGATGTAGCCAGCCTCAGCCCATGCAGCGTAGAGCACAGGTGCAGCATGGCCCTGCCAGTGAAAACGAAGTGTCAGTCAGTACAAAAACAAAACACCGATTTCCAAAATTACCACCCTTAGATCCTCCTGCTGCATTCAAAACAGTAAGGAGAACTAAATCAAGCTCTTCATCATTATGTGGAAGTGGGGCTTTAAGAGAATTTAAAGAGATGTAAAAGTTCCAAATGTCCTCCCTCTAGTCCCATCTCTCTCACAGAGAAGGCTCAGGCATCTCTCACCTTAGAAAGCACAAAACGGTCATTGCTGGGGTGGCCTGGCTCTTCATGCTTGTAGCGCATAGCATGAAAGAACAGCACAGACATGATCTCTGCAGCACTGCAGCATGATGTCGGATGGCTAGAGGGGCAGAAAGCAAGTATAGTGAGAAGAGACAAGGACAGCTGGATAGCATGGTGGTTTAGATATCTGGCTGCGGAGTCAGAAGTTAGGAGTTCGATTCTCCACTATGCCTCTGTGATGAGGGGAAGTGGACTTGATGGTCCATAGGAACACTTCCAGCTCTGCAGTTCTAAGATGATGATGAAGGAGTGGATGAAAGACCAAAGGGCATTACTGAAAGCAAATCACAGAATTCGGTTCATTTGGAGAGCCCACCCAATTCAGTCCACAGCATTAGGTTAGCAGGCACTTATTTTAAAGGCCCTGTCGCACCTCGATGGGCCTCTCAACGCATCTTCACCCAGTGCCAGCCATTCAACGCCCACCAGTGATCAGAAGAGACCATTCATATGAATGGGTTCGTTCAAAGCGGCTACGGAGCACAAGAGCGCCCCCTCTCCTCACGCCCCGCTGGTCACCGAAGCCTTCGGCCTCCACTTATTACAGCCCCCCTCCCCAGGAAAGCGCTGCCCCGCCAACAGGGGCAGCATCGGGCTGCGAGAAAGGAAGAACGTGAGCTTCCCAAAGGGAGCGAGTTGCCAAAAGGAAGGGGGGCGTGACGAAGTTATCCCATTCAAAAAAGGAAGAAATGCATGGGTACGATAAGGGAATGCTAATACCACTGCAGCTCACTTCACGCAGATCCCGGAGATCACTGCAAGAGGAGGAGGAACGCGATGCATCCTGCTTACCCAGAGCCCGAGGCGCAGGTTGCACGAATGGAGTGAATCCGCAGGCGATTGGCTACATCTCGCAAGGCCTGGAGAGCCTTTTCCTCTGGCTTAGGAAAGGTGCTGGCCATGCTGAGCCCCTCAATGCCTATGTGACTCAGGAGAGATCCTGCCGCTCCGCCCTCGCCACTCTTTTATCCGGGTCTTCGGCGCCCCGCCCTCAGAGGAAGTGAGATCAGATGTCGGGGGGGGGATTGGCGAACACAACTGGGATGTGCAGATGTCGGTGGAGACATCACCCCATGTGGGAGGCAAACGCTGCTCTAGGGCGCCGGGGCTTGCACAAGGCCTGCGCTGTTTGCAGGCGCGATAATGCATCGGCCATGGTTGGGTAGTTCCGCCTCACATGATCCTTGCCTGCCTTTGCCCTTCGCCTTCAGTAGCCAGCCACGTGCTCCCAAGTAGCTACTTCCCCCCCCCCGCACACACACACACACGCTCCAGGATTGCCGCCTTAACGCTTGTGAAAATTGGGGCGTGGATGATTGGATCTCACCGAGAGGATATGTGAATGGTGAAAGAATCCTGCTTCGTATTTACAGCAAATCCAAGTAGGCCTAGATTCTCTCCTACTTTCGCCGGATCAGGCTCCTTGAACTTACTGCAGCGTTCGCCCGTGCTTTGGAATCTGGACGTTCACTACTTATTGAGCCTTATTAAAGCTGTGTAATGTTTCTAGTGCCTGATGTTTCTTAGATTTCGATTATAAGGCCTATCAAGAGGTTAAAGGAAGCGTTTTCCAGGAATGTGCCATTTAAGCTTCAAGAGGCATCCAATTTATTACTGGTTGCATGCTAGAGTTATCCTTTGAGCAAAATGTTCTGTTTTATAATTATTAATACTAATAAATCCGCTTATCTTGCTGGCAACCAGAGGTGGTTCAGTCCAGCAAAGTACTCTCCCATCACCAATTACTCTCCTAACTAGCAATAACTTGAAATGACTACTGGTGAAAGTTTTTTTTAAAATGCAAAAGCAGAATTGCAATTGAACCTGAAGACAAAGGTACGTAATGAGTTACAGAACAATTCTATAACTTTTATGTTGACAAGGAAAACATTGAGACTGGAATGGCTTTTGCTATCAAGGTACTGTATAGCAAAATTAATCAAAAAGGAGACTTGCAAAAAAAAACAAAACCAGAAAACAACTGAGACACTTTGAAGGAACTTAAAAAGATCCTTAAGTGAATATGTGTGTTGCTGGAGACAGATGGATTGGATTGTGAGAACAGCAGTACCCATCTTGGGAGCCCAAGGAAGGAAGGAGCATGTGGCCTGGTCCAGAAACATCAGGCAGTAAAGAATGCAAGGAATTCCCTTCCAGAGGCATGAATATGCCTGGCATGGTAGGCTTGGCATTGCATGAGGGGAAGGGAGCCGCTGGCAGCTAGCCTAGAAGTGTCCCCTTGCCAGAAGAGTGATAGACAGCTGCAAGTGGTGACAGGCAACACTGCAAAAGTGCTGGTCCGCCAGCTCATTTCATTCCAGCCTTTTAAGTGGGGAGGAAGGATCCATAATTTCAGTACTCTGCCATTTTTCTACTCCCTCTGCTTCTGTGATCTGCTGGATAAAGTAAAAATAATTTTAAATTACAAATAAACACAGATAGTTTACTACGAGAAGTAATAAATTCCCATATTAATGTGTGGCACAGACATTTTATGAAAATCACATAGTCTCATTTCCCCCTTGGAATTTCTTCACTGCCCATGACATTTAAAAAAATCTATAATCTGTCAACATTTAAAAGTAGGAAATATAAAAAACAGCACATTTAAAAATCTTACATAAAAGTCTCTGAAAACAAAAGAGCTATTTTTGTGATTCTAGACAAAGTTGTCATTGTACAATCACCATCTCTCAAATGTAGACTATTATTAAAAATCCAGAAATCATTTTCTTCTGTTTAGAATCCTACTACATTTTCTCGTAATGTGTTTTTTCTTATTACAAGAAATCTATAAGGATGGAAAAGCAGAAGAGTTGGGCAGTGTCTGAAATTCAGCAGGAAGTTACGAGTAGAGGAGGTCCATTTGAATCAATGGAACTTACAGAGGAGCTGACTCACAAAATCCCCACTGATTCAGTGGGCCTATTCTAATTGCAACCTACTGGATTTCTGCCTATGTATTTTGACTGGCAACTAGGCATTATATGCCTGGAAACACCCTAAAAGAAGTCTGAAAAATGAGCAATGAAAGATCCTTGCAAATTTTTAAGAGGGGAAAACATTCCATAACTTTGGCAGGAACACAGAGAAATGCCATATCTCTTAAACTTGCCAACTTCATTTCTCAATGAGGTGGTGGCTCAACTGGAAAACCACTTGAAAAGTGTGTTGTGTTCTTTGGTTTTCAGGTATATGCTATAAGCCTACTTAAGCAACAGCTACCAGGGCAACTGATCAAAAACTGTTACACAATTATTTTGTCTTTCCCTCTTTTTAATCTCAGATTCTGCCAATGGCTTTATGTTGCTCTGCAGGTGCCTTGTTTTTTCATATCTTAGCAGGACAGTTGTTTTGATAACCTTGTGATAGTTTTCTATTGCTCTGAATTGCAATGAATTTTTTTGTTTGTTTTGAATGGCTACATGTAACTATCCCAAATAAATGCATCCAGTGAGCAGTGATTCTGGATCTTAATGGCTGGGAAAATTCAGGAGACTAGGTTTCCTTCAGCTTGGTTGCAAGTTTTTATTTAGAGCTTGAAAAGGAAGGTTAGCGTCTTAAAAGATTATTTTGCTTTAATAGATCAGTGATGGCGAACCTATGGCACACGTGCCACAGCTGTCATGCGGAGCCCTCCCTGTGGGCACGCGAGCCATAAGTCACTGGATTGCGTTAGGAGGCAGCTGCAGCCGCAATGCTAACGCCCCGACAGGCGGTGAGCCAGGATCCGGATCAGCTGGTGCTCGTGGTGGTGGGCTGGCCAAGCTATAGGTAGTGGCGGGGTTGGGCATGACTGGAGGTGGATCTGGAGTGGAGTCTGGAGGCACCTCCATGCCCGGGATTCCCACTTCTGTCACCACCCGCTGGGTTGATTTTATTTTTGTTTTTTGTTTGTTTTTTGCAATTTGGGCATTCGGGCTCAAAAAGGTTCACCATCACTGTCCTAGATGGTACTTTTAATATGTGGCACTGATAAAGGAGAAGCTTCACCCATGGATTTTTTTTTCTTAGATTATTCTCTTACAGATATACAGTAGTTACTGTTGTTGGTTTACCTCTCTGGAGAGCATAGCACCACTTCTTGTGAAGAAAAAAAACATGACAGACATCTTCCCATCTTGAACAGATTTCTCACTAGGAACAACTGACGTCATAACAGAGATACTAACATAGGAACAAGGTCCCATGGCATGCCAAGATATCTCTCCCTTTCTATAATAAAACATCATTACAGGACTTAATAATGTAACCCACAACTTTAGGGGATTATATACTTGCTTGTTTGATATATGCTATCTTTTGCCAGCAGTGCTCCAGAATATTTTACATAGGACAGTTTAGAGAAAAATGAATGGATGCAACTCTGACATCAGAAACTGTAAAATGATGGTGATTAAGATGACGAGAGAAAAAACGCTTCAGTCTAGTAATCTGTCTGTGACCTCACAACCCCATCCTTAAACAAAAGAACATCAAAGACAAATTCTTAAGGGTAATAGCTGAAAAAAGAATACATAAAGATGTTTTAACAGTACTGTTCATCACTTGGCTTGAATAAAGACACTTATTCTCTCACTTTGCATGCTAATTGGATCATCTGTGCAGGTTTATCTGTACTGCCGACCAACAGTTATTTGTTTTCTGAAAATAGTTTCAAGAACTTTCTCTGTTCGTAATTTTGTATTCCTATTCCTTCTAGTTCTGCCAGTCCGGTCTCCTATCAATTTTACGTATCTGTAGATTAAATTCTTCTCATATACTTGGTTTAGCTTTTCTCCACCGTACATGTTTTAGTCTGCTTGATTAAGCTTGGATGTGCTTATTACCCACTGTCAGCAGCCCCACATATCCCTCCATGAAGACGCAGAGGGGAAGACGCAGAGGGTGTTTGTAGGAACAGGTTCTTTTATTAGAGCAACACAAGTGCAACGGAGCCAACGTGGCTCAACAAAACTTAAACATTTCTATGGGCACTAGGGAGTTAACTGCACTCCCAAACAGGTTAGGTCAACAAGACCAATTCATAACAGTTTTTTACTGGGAGGAGTGGAGCCCCACCTCCTCTTCAAGTTTGAGGACACAGAGTGCCACAACAAGGATGTCAGATGCAAACACTCAACTGTTCCTGGAATAGAGTAGCCTGGGCACCTTCTCTGGCTACTCTCCTGCAATCACCGCTAGTGGCAGCTCCACCACACATGCAATACTCTTCCTTGGAGACACCACCAAAGTCTATATGGACACAGCTAGGCTCACCTGTTTAATGAGGTGTAGGAGAAGGCTGGATAGGAGAAGGAAGACTGGTTGTCAAGTGTTGGGAATACTGCCCAGGAGAACCTGGTGGCAGAGCTGCTACTTGCCCCTGCTGCCTCCTCTGCCAACATCGTGCTCTATGCTGATTCTACAGCCCTTTCATCTCTTGCCACACCCCAATGCACTTGGGTTGCTTCCTCCAGCACCACAAAGAAGTTCTCCCAATGCCCAGTGTCAGGGTCACCGTGATGGATTGCCTCCCAGTCGATGGTGTCTGCCCAGCAGTCCTCCTCTTCCTCCTCACTCTCCTCCTTAAATCTCCAGACTTCCGTGTCCACACATGTAGCCTCTAAGATGTCCACTTCATCGGCCCAGTCCACAGGTGAACTGTGGGTCAGGAATCTTGCCCTTACTCTTGGGGAGGGGAAAAGCCCACTCTCACTGGGAACAGAGCCGGTCCCACACCAACCAATAATCTTTGCATGACTTTTAATGTCCATCACTTTAATTTTGTATTTATTGCCTCTCAATAATTAGTAAATGATCCTTACCAGTCACTGTTAAAACCATCACCATAATGGTAGTTTTTGCATTGCACACACATATGTGTATGTGTGCATTACACACATCTACCTGCATATTAAGATATGTGGCATCTTCAGTTCATAACTAAGCTCTTAATTTTGCACAGTGCATGAGCTCTTGTTTGTTAATGATCACACTCTAAATGCAACCAGATTTCAGGATCTGCAAAGAAGTCTCAATCTATTTTTTTCCACCTGTAACAACTTTGACTTGAAGATAGTGATAAGATGGCGGTGACATACTGTACAAACCTGCTTCAGGTGTAGTTTATGAGAAACCGATCCCGAAGATTTCTGCATAATCCCTTTCTTCATGAGATATAACGTATCTTG